GTATCCGGCCATGCAAAGCCGGCCTGTTCCTTGCAGATGCGACTCTGTCACCCTGTGCGTGACGGGTCAACACCATGGGTCTGTGGTTCACGATGTCTCGCTGCATGCATCGGGCCAATCACCATGCGTCCGATTTGCTGACCACGCCCATACCCTGCGGCTTGTCCAAAATCCACCTGCCGCGGATCATCACACAGGCCATCTTGGCAATGTTTACCAAGTCTGGGATCTGCGGCCTGGCCCGGCCACAACTTGTCCACCACTCGGTGAGGAAGTATCATGGGAAAAAGTAAACAAAACTTCATCCGATCTTGTCTTTTTCTCCACCTCCGCACATATCGAATTCCATCCCTTCTTTCCCAAAGCAGAAAGCTGGGCCGAGATCACTACTCGCTTTAGAGCCCGTTCACCAGTGCAAAGGCCCTACAAGACTACGGCGCGACGCGGCTCGCTAGAGGGCTAGGGAATCCCCTAGGGAGGCTCGATTGAATCCTCTAAGCCCTCTCGAGGCATTGCTAACCTGTGGTAAGTACCCCTCTGCACGAAAGCACCCGTGGCCGGCGCCCCCCTCTAGTTAGACCTTCCCGGCTGGCCTCCCCGTTCCATGCCAGCCATGTGGCAGACAAGGACGGACCAGCGCTAAGCCATGTGAGGTAGATCACCGTTCCCAACCATCCAGCCCCTCGGTGCCACCAACGGGCTTATCCCCTATTTGGCACAGACAGCTCGCACCAGTTCCCGACCATTGGTATTTGCACCACAAGAAATCGAGAGCAGAGAAAGAGGGGCAGCTTAGCCAAGCCAGATGAGGTGTGTTTGTTACTCGCTACTGTCTGGGCACCAAACTCCGCACTTCCAGCCCTGCAGGGGAGAGGGGCTCCGGACCATCAATTTCACAATTCGACTAGCCTTCAACATGGTGGAATGGTCTGGAGGCCATGGCAAGTTGATTGATGCGGCCCCAGCGCGAGGCGAGATGTCCGTTGTCTTTCTGTCACAATTACAGATTGCCTACGGGTCCTCTCTCCATCTGCAGGGTGACATTGGCGATATGAGCCCATGCCCCTCTTCCTCCTGCAGGGCCACCCGGGCTCCAGCGCGCCAAACCCCTTCCGAGGACACGAGACGGCTCTCGGGGGGCCAGCCTTTGGCGACGCCGGACTGTCAAAGTCGGCACTCATCGTGATGATAGACGCCGCAATTGTGCGTCATGGCTAGCTGGAAGCGGCTTTTGATAATCCGAAAGGGGCCACGGGTAGCAGTCGAGGTGGAGAGTGCGACGCCGGTCCCGGCTCCGCGGGTGGGCGCCGAAGCTATCAGATCAGAATTCTGATATTGGCAAACCAACAGTCTCTCGCCAAATGCGCAATGAAGGTCGTTTCCGGAGCGAGCGACGTGCGCTTACGACTGAAAGAGGACCCCATTAGACGAGCACGTCGGATGTCTGTCTCATCATTCTCCCTCTTTGAGAAAAACCTCTGAACCGAACTGGCCGCAAAAGGAATGGGCCTACGGGCACGCATGCATATGCATGCCATGGGCGAGTTCAATTTCGGTGTGGAGACCTCAAATGTCTTGCTCTCTCGAACCGGCGGGGATCAGAAGCGACGAACTGCTGCAATGCGACGTCAAACAAGGTGAGCAGTTCGTCTTGACCTGACCTGCGCGGTAAAGTTCCTGACTGTCGGGCAGTTGACCGCTCCCTCCGGCTCTGCCGTTCCTGCCGCCTGTCTTCAAACTAGCCACTTCTTTTCCTGGAAAAAGAGGAAAAGGACATGAATTCTGGTTTAGGACTTGGGAAATGTGACAAGATGACAAGGTGACACTATGGTTTTAGTTCGCAGGCCCTGCCGACTTCCGATCAGAGACATCATCTTGCGCTCGGGGAAGTAAGCATACGACTTTTTAGCTGTGCTGGTCCGCGGGAACTCCCGACGCCTAGGTTGGAATTGAGGGAATTGTTTACTCTCGAGTCTCCATCCCTTCCCCTCTGGCGCAAGTGTCGATCGCGTATTTGGGGAGGTTGGTGCGAGGGACATAGTTGTCTCCATGGGGAGAGGGGCCTTGGCCAGAGTTGAGCTGAGGGGACCTGGTCCTCATAGCGAGAGAGAGAGAGAGAGAGAGAGAGAAAGAGAGAGAGACTTTGTGGGCTCACATGTCCTTCCTCGCCAGGGAGTGCCCCAATCTCGCCATTGGCATTCGGTTTAACGAAAGAGGGTTGGTTGCCTTGGGCGGAGAGACAGCGGGAATGGGCCGAGGCCAGTGAGTCTGGCGACAGGTGTTGGCCCCTTCGCCTCTCTTGTCTCATGTCTGAGTTTTGCCGGCGCTCTTTGCCATGTGCCTAAGGACTACCTGCTGACCAACTCAGCCATCTTGGCTGGCAGGTAGTTCATTGCGTGCTCTGGCCATGATGCAGTCTACTACGTGGTGTACTACTTGGTGAGCCGAGCCACCTTGTTCTGCGTCTAGTCTACATGTGTGTGTGTGTGTGTGTGTCTGTCCATGTCTATGTAATGACTTCTCTACTGACATTCCGTGGCTGTCAAGCTCGAAGCAAGCCCCCATGCAACAACGGCAAGTCGAGCCTGGCACCTTTCCTCCTTCACAACATGAGACACGTCGTGAGGCATGTCGGGGGGCCCGGCCCGTAGGCCTTGAAGGAATCCGAATGGTCTTCATACACCTGCCACACCTCAGAATGCCGGCGGCCGGGAAAGGTATGGCAACAACGGCTGGGGGGGAGCCACATCGAACCACAAACGCGGGATAGGTACCCAGACCTTGTATGAGACAGGAATGAAGGGCGGGCTTTGCCTCGTGACAGATGAAGTCTGGCGAATACCTAGAGGCTGCAAGAACGCAAGGGTCTCTGGATAGGGCCAGAAGCGTCAACGTGTATGGCGGCAGGTGAAGCCGGTTCTTGCATTGACAACTCGTGGCCGGGGAGTGTCGAAAGATTTCTTGATCGAAAAAGGTTGCCACATTCCATTTGTATCAATGTACGAATTGAGAGACGGGAGACGGGAGAGTTTGACGTGTTTCCATCCTGGGGGTGTTCCTGCTGCTGCACACCATGACGCTTGGAACTGAGATTCGACGACACTCAGGCGAGTACAAGGTTCCTGTGTGTTGCTAGCTATCCACTGCAGTACTGTGATTTTCTATTAATATGATGACTGGACTGGCTGAGAGTGCTCGCGTATGTAGACGTTTCTTTGGCTGGTCTTGCATGTGCGCCTTCCAGGCTGGCCTTGCCATTGTCGTGGCCAGGTAAACATATCTTTGCTTTCAAAGCATCTGACTCGGACTGAATCAGGTATCCGGACGAGTACAATGCTCCTGCGTCCTCGACTACGCGCTCAACAGAATGCCGTATTGTGTCATCGCTGCTTGTTGGTAACTCTGTGCTGAGGTGAGACTGGCTTTTTGCAGAGATCTTCCATCCGAGAAGGGTTGCTTCCCAGGCCTTTATCTCGACCGTCCTCGGGTGACAAGCCCGGGGTTGCACGTAGAAAGGCGGGATTCCGCGCCACGTGTAAGTCTGTAAATGTTATGTTATTTCCTTTGCAATATGAAGTTGCAGGTTGGAAAGATTGGACAAGGTCTGAACCATGCCCGACAACGCTTGCTCTTCTTGATGTTAAGCAAGGGCATAGATAAATACATCAATGAACATTACTCGGCTGTGTTTTAATCTGGGACCGAATCAAATAATTCATTCATTCTCACTTACAGCATTCAAACATAGAACTTTAATTGAACACTCATCACAGGATCCTCATTGTACTTTACGACCACGATGTCACAGACACCAGACAGCATGAGAATCACAATACATAATACATACGCACACTTGAACAGCTCAAGAGAGGAGATGAACCTTCAAAGAAAATCAAAGCTAGAAAAGAGTAAAAAGATGGTCTTCCCCTAACGAATTTCCGGAAAAGGGGAAAAGCACATCTCCTCTGACTCCTCTCATGGGGGTATATTTTGGTTTTTCTTGGAAAAATTCATCTGCCAAAGAACAACCACTTCCGCCGGCCAAGATAGAGCATCTCGCCCAAGACCTCTTCGAGCCACTCGTCCTCTTCTCCCCGGGGCTACTCAGACTCCTCTCGTGCTCCCTCCCTTCGAAAGCCACTCTGTCTGTGTCCCCTTATCAAATCCTGGCCAGGAACCAAAAACGCCCCCGTCACCACTCAGCCGTTTCGTCTCATCGTTGATATAGAGTAATCGGTCATGGCAATGCCCTTAAAGTAAGTACCCCCGACTTACAAGTCGTTGGAATGGGTAAAGAAGAAGAAGAAGAAGATGACCATGGCCGTTCGTCCAGGAGCAGCTGTCGAACCCCCAGGATCTGTCGAAGATAGAGTATATGAATTTGTTTTCTTTTTCTTTCCATCGGAGACAAACCCTCTAGCAACTAGCTAGGATCATCGGACGGCGTCCGCGGAGTACTGGCTCCTTACCTGCCTGTCTGGCTGGGTTGGGTGTTGTACGCAATAAACATGCTATGCCGCGCCGCGCGATGCAAAAAAACGAGTTTCATACGCATGCAGAATGCAGTAAAATCAAAGACAAGGAAAGGGGAAGAGAGAGCAGGCAACAGTGTACCGTCGAGGGCATGGGGACCCCTGACAGCAACGTTGGTGTCTATGATTCTGAAAGAGGAAGAAGAAAAAGAATAACAGTGAGGAGTCGTGAGTCCCAAATCCATCTGCTCTCCTGAGCAATTCATTCCTCCTTAGTCTGTGACGACAAAGTCCCGTGTCATAAAATACCGGTTCCAAACAACTGGCCAGAAGTCTCTGTCTGCCCTGACCGTAGCCAGCATCAAGACTTGAACTCCTTGTTCGGCCCCCATTTGTACAAGCGCCATGCCAGGCGAAATCTCTCAAATTCCGAACTCCATCGCCAAAAATCGACATGGATTCCAGATTGACCGTTACAACAATCCATTAAAAACTCCATCCGCGAGTACGCAATCCACCGCGGCGTCTCTACAGGTAGATATCGCCCGGCTCGCCAGCGACCCATCGTCGCCACGCCTCATCATAGGCATCCTCCAGATCTCGCACCCATCGTCTGGTATCAAAGAGCGCACAACTCCATTTGCTCTTCCACAAAAGTTTGCGCAGTTCCGCAAGGCGACCCGAGCCCTCACCGTACCCATCCTTGGTGATGCGGTACGAAAGGCTGTTAGCCAGTTTGACGGCGCGTTGTTCGTAATTGATCTCGTCCGGAGCTATCAGCTCCTTGGCAGCCTGGTCACCCTCGGGGCTCTTGGGAAGCGCTCCCTTCAAGATCGATGCTGCCATGCGCGAACACATCTTGTACTCGTACCGCGGCAGCGTTAGCAGAGGGGTGCTCGACCACAGCACATCTGCAGCCGTTGTATGCGCGTTGCACTCCGGAGTGTCGAGAAACAGGTCGCAAACACGAGCACGCGAGATGTGCTGTTGTTTGGGCGCTACATCGGTGAAAATGATGCGCTTGGCGACATCCTCGCCAGCCCAAGCCGCTGCCGTCTTCTTGAGATTGCTCTCGCCGAGCTCAGGAAATCGAAGAAGCCACAGGACAGCTCGCGGAACACTGGACAAGATTCGTAGCCACGTACGGAAGGTGGTTGGATCAATCTGAAAAAAGATTAGTACGAGAGACAACAGTGTCATTGACAAGATTTAACATACCTTGTATAGCTGATTGAAGTTGCCAAGGATGATGGCACTGTCGGGCAGATTCGGGAACAGCTCCTTCCGCATCTTCCACCGTCGGCGTTGCTCATTCTCCCAAGTTATGCTTCTCTCGTCGGCATCGGCAGACTGAGCGTGGTCGCAACAGAAGAACGTATCTCTGCAGAAGACAATGTTCTCTGTATAGACCCAATCCTCCGTCTCGGCGTCCGCCTCGTCTTTAAAAACGTCGTCGAGACTGACATTGTCCCGGTGAGGCCTCAGAGTAGAGGGTGGGACCGCTGTCGAGTCCGCCAGGAGATAGTCGCACCACTCGGCGCCAAGCGTGCCAGCAAAACCCATGAATGACATCTGGATGGGCGCAGGCCGGGCAGCGAATATCTCGTTTCGGGCACCTCGGGTGTAACCATTCAGGTTGACGAGGATATGAATCTCGTCCTTGACGATTTGATTGATTAGCTTGTCTGAGGCCCAGTTACTGACATCGCGGAAGACAGGTGCCTCGCGCTCAATCTGCTGGCGGTGGACGGATTTGTCGCTCGCGGTTGTCGCGTAACAGAACGCCTTGGCCCGGGCTCGATTGTGGAAGCCGAAGACAGATTGCATACTGTTGATTGATCAGTATCTCCAAGCGTACAGAAAGACTGTTGGATTGCTACTTACAGATGTGCCAGGGGATGGTTGTTGAAGTCTGACGAGACGTAGCCAATGTTGAGATACGGCTTCGGTGGCGGAGGCGGAGGATAGACGCTGTTCGGTAGCCAAGGAGATCGAAGTGTCGAGCAAGAAATCCTCAGAGCATTGCGCTGAGAGATCATCCGTATATCCTTGGCAGTCAACGGGCAGGTAAAAGTATGGAATGGCAGGACTGTTGGCGCTGAAGGCACAGTCAAGCCGCTTGGTGGCCGCACTCGTGGGTAGCCAGCAGGCGACTCGGCACCTACGATGTATTTATCGTGATACCATAATCGCATGGCCGCTCGTGCAGATCTCTCAAGCAAGCGAAGCAAGCGTGAGCCTTCCCAAGATTGACCGGCCCATTTGCGAAGCGCCGCGTCCAGGTCGACGTGTCCGTCGGTCTTGGAAGCCCCAGAGGCTTTGAGCTGAGTGACGAGCATTTCAATCATGTTGTTTTGCAGGAGACCACAGCCCCAAGTAGCTGATTCCTTGAGCTGGCGGCTGACAATGTCGACCACGTTCTTGGTGAGCCCGCTGCCATGATTGATGACCTTCACATCCTGGAGCATACCGCTGTCGTCGACATGCCACCGGTCAAACTTTCCACCACGGAGCAAAACGCCTCCGCGGCCTTTCCAGTCACAGACCGAGTTGAGTGCCGTGGATAGCCCACATACGGCCTCTGAAAAATCTGGATTGGACGCAACTGCGCGCCTGTAGTACGAGATCGCATCCTGGATTCGGCCTCGGTCCTTGACCGCGTTGGCTAGATTGGTGAGGGCGATATCGAACGTTCCGTCACATTCAACCGCGCGTTCATACATCTGAATCGCGAGGTCGAGCTGGCCAATGTCTTTCAAAAGGCTGCCAAGGTTCGTGTGCAGATGAACGTGCTTCGAATCGAGATTCAGGCCATAGTTGTAATATGCCAGGGCAAGAGCAAGCCCACTGCCCGCAGCGATGCCAGGAATCGTCTGCGAGACGGGAGTGTCGACAGAAGAGCTATTCTGTGCAGCAGGTTGCTGCACGCTTGCCAGTAGGATACCGACGTTATTAGCAGTGGACGGGCTTTCCTGCAACGACAGAGAGAGGTAGTAGAGCGCGAGAATATCGCCGACTCCAGAAGGCTGTCGGAGGAGACCTCCAGGTGACCCGCCGTTGGAAAGCGCATCTTGGAAGATCTTGGCAAGCGATAGTAGTGAATTGCTGGTAGTTGAGACCGCTGATTTTCGATGGCTGCCTTCTGGCACATACCGCAGTCCTGGAAGCTGACCGCCATAGTTTGCGAAAACGAGTTGAGCAGTGTGCTTGGCCTTTTCAGGCGGAAGAAGCAGTGGATTTGATAAGGATCGCTGCGACGAGTTCGACCGCGAAGGCAAGGCGTTGGGATCCCTTGGCGATAGCACGTACTGGATCCTTCGGATTAGTCGGTCCAAACGTTGGATGTCCCTTCCTGCACTGATGAGGACAGCCTCCTCAAAGGCTTCTGAAGCCTGTTCAATGTCCTTCAGCGCATAGAGCATGTTGCCCTTGGCGTGGACAAGGAGCAGCATGCGGCCGTTCTCATTGCCCGGGACTGCGTAGCCACTGGAGCCAAAACCTGGCTGGAGCATAGCATCGCTGTTCCTCCTCGGAAAGGGGCGCTCATGATCGTCCAGATCCGAGTCCAGGGCAAACCGGTCAGGCGTGGAGTCGCGGACAGTTGCGGTCGAGCAGCTGGTCTCACTGGCAGTATCTGCGCTATGCTTACGCGACAGCTCGGGCCTGTTCATCCGCAGAGCGTCCTGAACAAAAGTAATGGTGGCCACTGCCTCGGAATTCCGATGATTTGAACAGAGAAGCCCAACAAGGTGCTCCACAGCTTCGAGATAGCTCGGACGGAGCTTTACGGCCTGCACCCATTGTTGTTCGGCCTCGTCATGTCGATTCAGGCAGTAAAGCGTGGCCGCAATGTTGGATATGGCTTCGACATGGCTCGGATCGAGACCAATGATGCGGCGAAACCACTCGAGTGCCTCCTCGTAGTGTTCCAGACCATAGTGCAGACAGCCACCAAGTAGCATGCCGTCGATCCACTTCCAGCCGCTTTGCGTGCACAGCGAAGTGAGCATACCCAGCGAAAATTTCGCGTTCTGAAGGGGCGAAGAGACGTCACCCAGAGATTGAGTTCGGTAAGGTTTGCTGGAGTATGGATACCTGTGCAAAGCTGGATTGCCAATGACCTGAGCCACCACTGTAGCGCCCGAGTGTCGATTGTCGAAGTTGATGGCGGCAGCCGCCGGGGTGCCTGATCCATTCTGAGCCGCTAAACCTTGGCCCAAGTGTGCATAACGGCCGGGAGCAGCCGCGTTCAGCATAGAACCTGGGGGATACGACGGTGAGATCTTTGGTTGTCGTGGACTCAGGCCGATGCTCAACTGCTTTGGAGGTCTGGGAAAGACGACCATCTTGGAGGAATGTCGTAGCCCGGCAAAGTTCTTGCCCGGATAGATCTTCTTTGTATGGCTCAGATATACCAGTAGATCAGCGTAAGTCTTGTGAGCATGTGCCAGGGCCCGCTCTTTGAAATGGGCTTGCGATGAAACACTGCCCGAGGCCAGATCATAGTTGATGGTCGGAGTCGCCTGCAGGGACAATGATTCAAGTCGGCGCCGTGGGGACAGGGGAGTCGTCGGCGACTGCTGCTGAACAGAGAACGGCCCGTCCATCTGCGTATTCGGCATCTGGAAGGGGAAGCCAGAGGCAACCCCTACCCCGCTGGTCATGGCATGGCCCATGCCGCCTTGGACGGGCATGTAGGCATTGTCAAAGGCAGCATTGGCAGGGATGAAGCCCAGGTTTGATAGAGGAACCTGGGCATAGTACTGGAAGGCGCTGTTATCTCTCCAAACAGGCGGCGGTGTAAATCCAGCGGGATTGAAGGCGGTCGGTCCGGCCGAATATTGATACATCGGAGCGAAGACGGACTGCATTCTGGGCACTTGGTTGTAAGGGCCCTGAGAAGGGGCATGCAAATACATGGCTTGGTCAAACGCAACTGCATCGGGGGACGAGATGTTCTGCGTCTGCGCCCACTGCCCTTCTATCGTCGAGTTTGCGGCACCTGCAAGACCTAGGTTCGAGGGGAACATTCCGTTACCGTGCTGCTGCTGCGGTAGCGGCCAACCCATCGCTGCCATGGATGATTGCTGGCCGGGTCCGCCAAGGGGCGTATCTCGGTGGGTCATGGCCGTTGGGAATATTCTGGACGAGGCGGCGATTGCCATCTGTTTCAATGGCGGCGGCCCGGTAGCAAGTCCCGCTGGTGAGCCGTCGTATCCTGCATCTATCGTTCCGTTCGGCGTCTTTCGCCGCAACTGATGCTCGTTGCTGTCATTGCCATGACCAAGGGCCAACGAATCGCCCAAGTGATATGTGGAATGGTGGGCGGCCCCTGAGCTGCGGATCGGGAATGCTCGTCGTGCATTGTCGCTTGCTGGTTGGTAGGGATTAGAGAGGCCGGAAAGGCGCTGTTGAGCGAGGTGGAGCGACTCGTTCGGAGAGAGCTGACCTTGAAAAGAACCGAAGCCGCCCAGCTGGTGGGGGTTCTGCACCGCCTGGTGCGGATGGACAAGCGGCAGCATCGGAGAGGTAGGCGCAGGGAATATCGGGAGAATCTTGTGTTGATTTGGGTATCGTGGGCGAGGTGAATGTGAGTGGCATTAAAAGAGTCGTAAGGAGCGTAACGATCGCAGGTCGCCTGAGGGAATCAGACAGATCTAGGATCCTTGCCTGCTGGTCGTACCATGGCTGCACAGGCTGCTTGTTGGCATCTGGACAAGCAAAGGGCGGGACAGAGCCAACGCCGAAGATTCCCAAGGATTGCTCTGTCTTGCCGCGTCGATAGCTGCCTCGTCCTCGTTTTGATGTCAGTGTCGCCGCGCTCTCAGCTTTGACGCTACCGCAAACGGTCACGCTAAGGTGAGCTTCTGGTGAGCCAACAGAGCAGAGCCGTTGGTAGTGTATCTAGGGGTCCCGCGTCTGGGACGTCGTATCTCGTGAATGAACAGAAACCGTGAACGCAAATGAAGCTGCTCTTTTTTTTTTTGCTTGATCTTCTTCACTTCCACCAAGATGGCCCTTCAAACTTGAAGGCGGTGGGGTTGTGGAGGAGAATGCAAAGGTTGTAGAATGGAAACCATGGGGTGGGGAGATGATCAAGAGTGGGTTTTCAGTGGGTGTGCAGGGGAACAGCTAGCGAGGTTTAGGTAAGGTAAGCACGGCACAGGCATGAGCTGGTGATTTTGGACTGGTGTTTTTGCTCTCGCATTGGCTCGCGGACCAACCAAGACACGAATACCGGTAGGCACCTACCAGTGAGGCTGGCTGGCTGGCTGGCATTTGGCACTGGCACTGGCGCCCAGGGCTTGTGATACAAAGTACCACTTTGGACAGGGCAGGGCCGTTTGTGTTTTCAGACATGCAGGCTAAGGGGGGCGCCCTGCGCTATGCACATGCCCTTAGACCGCCTCTCTACCTACCTACCTAGGTGATTAGAGCATCTAACTACTTTATTTGATGGAAACTGGCACTGACAAACATGGCAGAAAACGAACAACCCCAACCATGGATTGAGCTGCCTAGTATTGATGCAACAGCAGCGGTAGTGGTGAGCGGCCAGAGATCAGCACAGGTGAGGGTCCTGGCACTAGAGCATCACGCCGGGCCCCCTGCGGGAGACCTGCTGGCCCTGCGTGGGGGAAGCCGTGCTTGCCGCCCCCGGGACCTACCAAACCGCCATTCGGGCCTAGCTGCTCCCCCTAGCACCAAGCACTTGAGGCCCTACCGCCGGCCCAGCAAACCTAAGATAGCTCGCCCGATGCACCACCACCCTCCAGCTAATATCAGACCAGCGTTTTAGCAGCCACCAGACCGTGGCCCCCCTGCCCCCTTGGTATGTACCTTACCACGGTACTGCTATGTGTGGCGCGCGCTGCACTCTAACATCCCGACCGTTGCTGACAACCGAAGAAGGAGGGATGATGATGCTGATGATGGGTATTTTATGACGCGCGGCGAAAAGAGGAGGGAGACGAGAAAGAAGCGCTGAAAAAGGCTGACAGGCTGGCTACCACAGACACCAAATCTGTACACCTCACTCACCACCACCACCACCATCACACCCTCTTTGCTGCTCATTATCCAGCGCATGGGAACAAACAGCACACGTAGGGATTGACAAGGTGGCCCTGGCCTAGCCCCAATCCACGCAGACATCTATTTGATCGGCGCCCGAACTGGCAGAGAAGCCGGCGATTCTGCCCCTCCCAAACTCCACCCCAGAGGGGGACAGAGCCCACTCAGCGATTACCTTACCCACTGGCGCTAATTTACCACATGCACCTCTGAGCACTGCATTTGGGCGATCCCACGGATGGATCCTGCGCCAGGCGGCAGAGAAAGTGTGAAGAATGGAAAGGAAAGAGAGAGAGAGAGAGGGAGAGGGAGATGAGAGACGAGACAAGCCACAACCCACCCATGGAGACGGGATGGACACATCCTCCGGTCCAGCTCCCCAAGTGGCCAACCTGCCGCTACCAACTCGGAGCACAACTCCCAACACCTCAGCACGTCCTGTCTTGATCCCCGGCTCCTCCATTCCGGGAATCTCTTCCCTGCAGAAAGATGCAGAAAGAACAGGCAAGCGGTGACAAGAAGTAAAACTCAGGAGACAAGGACAATGAACAACCCTCGCGCCCGTCACCTCTACTTAGGACCATGTCACCACCACCCTCCTACAAAGTACCACGAGCAAAGCCCCCGAAGTACCACCACATAGCCGCCTGGTCAGCCCGCCCGCCCGCCCGTCCAGTCGCCAGCCGTCACTGACCCTGCTTTTTGTGTCTTCTGCCCTGGCACCTCCTTCCAACTCCCACCGCAACCCGGGCTCCACCCCGTGGTAAGAAAAGATGCCAGTCCTCCCGGGCGGTGGTGGCACAAACCTGCAAGAATCTTGCCTGCCTTGCCCTGCCCGAGTTTGTTGTCATCCTGCGCTTCGTAATACCGTGACTAGACTGGTCCGGGGTGTGTGTGTGTGTGTGCGCGCGGTGCAGTGCGTTGTGTGGGTGGCAGCACACCCCAAACCTTGCATGCAGAAGCGGTGCTTTCTGTCTGGCTGCATCACACCTCCATCCTCGGCCGGCCTCCCCTTTCGACCAAGGCTGACCGGGATGCAAAAGGCGACTTGCCGTTGGGAGGAGGTTTGCCTGTCGTCGCCAACGCTGATCTCTGGGCGCCTGCCATCCATCACAGAGGAGAGAGAGGGCTCCACATGCGAATCATGTTTCATTTACACCTTGCTTTTCCCAGTCTCAAGATGTGGCAGCATTGATACGACGGGATCCTTGCGCCTGCATTTATGCGTTGGGATTGGGAGGGGGGAAGAGGCGAATGCATTTAAGAGTGTCCTCTCGGCTGTGGGCAACACGCAAAAAACCCAGCGGGATGGATGATTGCCCAAAGCTTGTGCCTGCCCGTGATGTACTGTTGCAGCATTGTTAGACGAGCAAGAACATCAAACCAAGTACCCGTCCGTCCTATGTCCACGAGAGGAGGTGAGTTGAGGTACTCTGTACACCACAACGGGATTGCAACTCATCGTAGTACCTCTCACCGCAGCCTTATCAGCCACCCGCGACACGAGACAAATAGAATGGCGCGCTAGTAGGTATATTTGAGGGTAGCTATATGAATTTTGTCTGACTACATCCCACCTCCCACATCGATATCCTTTGCAGACCTGATATGCTTCTGCGCTTGTTCTGGAGCATAGACGAACGTGGCTTACAATATGATGAGATCTTTTATCTTTCGCTCGAGCTTCTTACGATAGATGAAGATGTAATTGCTACCAAGACATGACACCGCTTGTCTGATTAACTCATTCTTTATTCATCGAGATGCTTCCGTGCATTGGGCTGGGGTCCTAGCTAATGGCCACATTGCATGTGAATCTGTCCCAAAACAGCTTTCCAGCTCCCCAGCTCCCAACAGCTCGCTCGGCTTTGCCGGCTCTTACAGTGATACAGTGTCAATGTGATATTGTCATCATGTATTACAACAAGTCGTCCCAATATCAGAGCATGATCGGTTGTCTCACCTTGCGATTCTCTACAAAGGGTCATCCGTAGAGAGGATGATGACTATAATGGCATCTCTCATCTCAATCCTACCTTCCTTTCTCTGATAACAAATCTTTTGTCGGTAAAAGAAATGTTGGCCTCGAATATGGACCTCAGCTCCCACCTCTACCGAAGTAGTAGGGGAGCCGCGGTGAGTAATGGGCCACGACAATCAATCTTCCTCAGCACTGAAATTGAGATTGAACATGGAGCGCAGTTCAACTCAGAGTGTAGGCCAGGTGTATATCCCTTTCGATTCAGTAGTGGCATCGTTGCGTGTTCGCGCGTCAACGAGATATTCGGACAAGATTCTTTTTTTATTTCGCCGTGGCTGGCAAGCCTGATATAAAGCAAGCCTGAACTCCTAATCACATGCCAAGATTCCCAACCCGCCAGGTCATAATCTACTCTTCGGGAACTGCGCGATCATGGTTAGCCTCACCCATCTGTGTCGCACATGGGGGAAGTAATGGGGGACGTACTGTCAATCTCTCCAGCATCGATTGCCTCAATGACGCTCTGAGGGGCCTTGCCGTCGACCTGGCAGCCAACACTGAAAGCGGTACCCAGAATCTCCTTGACGGTGCCCTTCAGCTCCTTGGCGAAGGACTTGTACCGCATCGTCCGCGCAATGTCGATGATCTCATCGAGAGAGACTGACTTGTTGTGCTTGATGTTCTTCTCCTTCTTGCGGTCGCGGGGCGGCTCCTTGAGCGCCCGGATGATCAGGGAGCTGGCTGTGGGAACAACGGAGACGGCGGCTTGACGGTTCTGGATGGTGAGCTTGACGGTCACGCGGAGACCTTTCTGTAACCCAGTATGTAAGAAACTATTGCCTCCCTAGTCGTGTGCGGATCGAGGTTTCCATACCCAGTCGCCAGTGGCCTTCGCGATATCTTCACCGACCTTCTTGGGCGAAAGACCAAGAGGACCGATCTTGGGAGCCAATGCCGAGGAGGCACCGACCTCACCACCGGTCGCACGGAGGTGGCTATTTCGAGAATGTCAGTTCAATGTCGGCTTCGTGGAATGTTCGCGAGGAACTCGGGATTGGTGGTTGCATACATGACCTTAACCTCGTTGGGGTCGAACTTGGGAGCTGTAAAAAAGAATATCAGTCATTCAAGTCTTTCGAGCAGCAATTCGAGTGTTTCTGGTGAACTTACGCATCTTGTCCGTTGGCTAATTGAAGATGCGATTGATGCTGGGTATGGGGTGGGAAGGTGGCAGCTGAGCAGAATTAGATCTCGAAAAAAATAATGTGTGGGATCTCAGGGTTTGTGAAGGTGTGGCTTGAAATTTTCGCGGGGTGGGGACTAAGCGAGAGTAGAAAGAGACAGGACAAAGTGCACAAGCCACACTAAGGACAGCCACAGTTTCCACTTTCTGGCAATTCGACGCTAGCTTAGTCATCACCAATTTGGGATATTCTTAGCCAGGCATTTGATACCTCGACGAACCAGGTGGAGACTGGTGATATGATGAAATGGAGACGGGCCGGGTTGCTAATAACATGGACTATCACATACGATCAATCACAAAGGTTGTGGAAGCACCGGGGTACGTGTGAGGTTAAGTTTCAGAATTTGAATAGCATATTTTTCTCTACAAACACCGGGAATACAGGAACAAGGCATGTATCTCATAATCCACCGCTGCTCATCATCTCATATTGGCTTCTCTCCCTCAGCTCGTACCGCTCACGGCCAGCCTGTAACGAGATTAGTTTTGGTCCATATTGTATACCAAAGAGACACCGAACTTACTTCATGAGGTGGTCCATGAATGTCTGCAGGGAGACATCGTCTGTGAAGATAGTCTGAGCCGTCTGTGCTCCAACACCGCCATATGCACCCGTAGTGTGAGTGGTCGACGGGTTCAGCTTAGAAAGCAGGAAGCGAGCTTGCGATCCGCCAGCATCGCAGACAATGAAACGGGGCAGCGGGAAGCGATCAGTGATGAGATCCTACAGTGACAAATTAGCTAGAGCTTCGATGCGTTCAGCACAGGGAGGACTCACTTTAGCATCCTCAATGGGCTGCTCCAAGAGGGCGGCAAAGTTCTCATAGCCCTCCTGGTCCTGGTAGCCAGCTTTCCTCCACTCAGCGATGGTCTCTCCGTGGAAGATGAGAATGTGGAAGAAGGTGTCGAGGAGCAGGATGTGGGTGGCCTGGATGGAGGTGGAATCCAGAAGTACGGGCTGGCCACCATCCTGGTCAAAGGTGTAAGAGTCCAGGGTGGGCTGGATCATCACGAGCGAGTTGCTCACGTCCTCGTGGTTCAGGACGTGCCTGTAGAAGGCGGTTTCATCAGGAGAGTTGTTGAAGACCTGTAGGAACTGACTTCTCCGCAGGTGGAACATGAACTGCGGGTAGAGAGTGAAGTTCTTCTCAAGACGGAAGGACGACGGGTCATCCTTGCGGTAGTCGGCAAACCTTGAGCAAAGCCTGATCAACATCCGATCAACCCAGCGAAGGACATCCGGACCGTCATCCACCTCGGCCTTGAAGACGGCAATCCGAGACATCAATACTGCAGCTGCCTCCTGGTCGAAAGACTGGGAAATGGCCGGGTCGCCTGATGGGCCACTGAGGTTCCGGGCGATGGTAGTCACACGCAGGTGGAACTGGCCTGAGGAGTGCTGGTAGTACGTGAGGAACTGCATCATGCCCTTCTGAGGGACCTGTGCGTGCTGCTGAGGACCACCTTGAGCGATCTCGAAGTAGATACCGTAACTCGCGTTGGGATCGATGCCGCACATCTTCCACGAGCACGTATTGCCGATACCACACTCGGTCTCGCCCACGGATGTCGATTTCTTGTTAAGCGAAACGGCATGTCCGATCAGGCCCGTGACCTTGAGCTCCTTGGTGGTCAACACCTCCAGGACAGCGTTGAAACCCATCAGCAGATTGTCGTCGCCATCTTTCTCAAACACGCGAACAAAGGACTGCTTGAACATGGAGGAGGTGAAGCTGTCAGTGAGAATAATGTGTCCTCCAGTGGAGTTGCACAGGCCCTTCATTTCGAGAAGACCGACTTGGTCAAGGCAGCCCGCAAACACATCAATGATGTGTCCGTTGTGAGCAGTCCGCTTGGCGAGATTATCGTAGAACTAAGTGTACACCTCGTTAGCCAGTGGCAAAGTCGGCAAAGCGCACTGCTTTTCACGCACCTTCAGAGCCTTCTTGTAGTACTTGATGTTGTCACGGTCGATATCGTGGTGAGAGCGAATAGGCTCCCTCAGCTCAGGACCGACAACCATGCCCGGGCCCTCAGTGGCAGGACCGCCAGCGAAGAGCATGATACGGCCACCCGCATTCTGGAAGGACGACTCAAGCAGACCGACGGCGACGCTCAGAGCAACGCCGGTGCAACGAAGAGCTCGGCGGTCGTTGGCAACGGGCCAAGGGTCCTTCTGCAGCTGCTCAAGCGCCTTGGTCAACTGGAATTCGCATTGCGCGACCGGGAGCAGGAATCGTGCGGCAGGGCCCATGGGCATGGGTCGGCCGGGTTGCGGCTGCATGCCGGGACGCAGGGCAGGCTGAGTCAAACCGAGCATCTCCTGGACCTGCTTAGGGCCGTATTCCTTGCTGCCACGGAATACATAGGACTTTGCACACTCGGTATAGCCGATCTCGTGAACATGGGTCTAGAAAATGGTCAGAATGCCGCTCGCAGGCAATGCAACGTGGATACTTACCATGGTGCCATAAGTGATCAGACCGACCAGAGCGTTCTCGGGCAGAAGGCTCAGGCTCATGATCAGAGACTCCTTGAGGGCAGCCAAGCTGTCCTCCTCCTGGCACATATCAACGACATAGAGGAAGATAGGGGGGCTGGGTGCCGGTCGAGAGAGCCTGTACTCAATAGTCGTGTTCGAAGGGTGCAGCTCGGGAGGGATCGCATTGGCGGTGATGTCCTTGTAATGGGGAGGCAGAGGGTTGCGCGAAAGGCAAAAGGGGCACGTCCAGAGACGAGCGCGGACATCGACTTGGCTAAAGCGGAGAGTCAGTATCGAATTGAGCTGTTTCGTTCAGGCTTCTTCACGCACCAGTAAGGGTTCAGAACTGAACGGCAGGGCTGCTTGCATGTGACAGGCTCGAATTGAAGCAGAGGGGTATCAGGCTTCTCCTTCAACGGGGTATAGAGAGCTCCGATCGGGACCACGAGACGGGATGCCTCCTACAGCGCGGGTTAGTCCTGGGCATCGTACAGGCGAGCCAAGAGCTCTTCGTTCCGATAAACTGACCATGCGAGTGCTTGGAAAGACATTCCAGCTCAGGCGAACGCCATCGCGGTCCTCAATCTCGCTCCACTGCTCCTTGAGAGCCTCGTAGTCCATGTTGTCGTCGCTTGATCTGGTCGAGGGCTGAACTGGGATGCGAGGGTGTCCTCGAGAACAAAGAATGAATGTCAGACAGACTTGATGCCAGCGACCGTTGCTGTCGAAGAGAACAGCTGGACGGTCCTTATCTGACTGGCAGGTGGAAATTCGGTGAGATCCTCGTGCACGCGCAGCTAAGGACAGCAAGTCGGCCCCACGAAAAGGACAGGTGCGATGAGGTTACCTGTGTGGCGCCAGCTGTGGCTGCTCTCAGCCCAGCTGGAGCTTTGGGGCTGCCTGCATTCACCACCTACCAACATCAGTGGGCAACCGACAACAGCCGGCCATGGCCATAGTGAGGACCCCACCCCCAGCACCGAGAGGACCACTGGAGGATACAGCCCAGTTCCTACAATCTTCGAGCGGAATCAGCGCACCCTCACTAGTCCAAAATCGTGTGCGAGGTGAAGCCGATTTGTGCGCTTTCCTTCCCTCATTACGTGCTTACACGTAAGAAAACTTGGCTTACTCTAATTCAACTTCATCTCTCATGGCCTGCTTATAAGAGCCTGTTCGAGTGCATTGTCCCATTGCATTATATCTACCATCTTACGAGCACTGGGCTTCGAATTAAACACCAAAATTCAATGGTACTAGCAGCTTCTCAGGCAAGATGCTATGCTTGTTGTCGAATATACGAATTCCTTTCTTCTACATTCTCTTACACTGTCTCTGTCTTTCTTAAGCCTGTCGCTCATGCGTCCTGGGCTTGTTCTCCATGCGGTGACAGACTTGAGATTCACCCTTGCACTTTTTCAAACAGATAGAGAAAGCCGCCCCTTCTATGCCAGCACCATCGAGACCGTGGTGTACACTGCCATAACGCGCAGAGAAAGGTCAGTCAAGCTGGCCAGGCTTGAGCCCCTAGAGCTTGCCATTAGTATCTGCAATACGCCTACAATAGCCTTGAAGAAAGGCACTTACAAAATGCGACCCTTGGGGCCCTTCTTGCTGGTGTAGCCCTGGCCGTAGAGAACGCGGGCCACAACCCAAACGGCACCGAGCCCGGCACTGGCAACAGGGAATCGCAGGCCGGAGATGAGCAGGGCGCCGAGCCAACCACTGTGGTTCTCGACAAAGTTGGACTGCGCGCGTTGGGCTGCGATGTGGACGGTCAGTCGTCGGGATGCCGGTCTCTCAAGAGGAGGCACAGTCCTTACCGCAGTTGAACTTGAACACGGCCGGGTCCTTGTCTGCCTCCTCCTTGGAAGCATAAGCGACAGGGTAGGGAACCTTGGCCTTGCCGCGCGCCACGGCAGTCAATATGTAGTGGTAAGTGCCCAGCAGGAAGCTGGATGACGCCACGGCCAGCACGTAGCTAAAGGTTACGGTTAGCTGTCTGCTTGTGGGTTGCTCCCCATCATACCTGTGGCACAATATGCTTACCTGTACTCAGTGGGAAGGGTGATAGTGAGAACCATGATGACGTTTCTAGACTAACAAGAATACGAAATATAATAGGTCAATTCAAGATGCCCAATGTTGCCTTTGATCCTATGTCGAGAAGGCGAAAGACAAGGAGGAAATGGTGTGCTACCCTATCTCGATTTATACTTCTTCGATGCATCCAGTCCAATACGACCTTTCCCATGCTCCCTTGACCGGGGCACTAAAAAGCTAGGCCTACAATCCACGTATGCAATGACGGCTAACACTAGTTGACTAACATGGCCATGCTCTGCACTGCGAAGAGGCGGGCCGTGGGGAAAGCTTGGTAACAGTACTCCACGGCTTCTCGTTGATCACGGCAGAAGCGCCCCGAAATGGATAGAAACAACACAAAACAGACAGACAGACACGCCCCCTTTCTAGCACACGGACACTGCCCAGACATTCCGTGTTCCGTTGGATAATTATTCACATATCGAGGGCCGCGATCATGGAGACACGGTAGTGGCAATGCACCAATCGGAGACTTCAACGGAATACTGACCATCCGAAGTCCGATAGTGCACTGAGCAGCCAACATTGAAGTCTCAAACCCCGGTTAGTAGCTTCACTACGACGGCACTCGGCTGCTTCATGTTAGCACCCTGCAAGCCCCGATCTATCTTTCGCTTTCTTGCCTTTCGTCATTCCAATCCCGCTCGAGGTAGTATAGAGGGCATCCCGGGAACTTTCCGCTCAATATATTTCCAAGTTATGCCTATCCAGCCTTACTAATACCGCTCTCGCGCTCCATTCTCAGCCGGTGCATCTCTCCTCCGGGGGCCTCCACTCAAGGCCCAGGCCGTCAAACACGCGCCGTTCCGCCGTGACCATGTCGGGCGCCTTTCCCATCCCAGCATCCTCGAGATCAACCCAAGCACCATCGGCACGGCTGCGGATACCGCTGCTGTCGAACTTGAGGCCTCGCTCTCTCTTGCAGTATCGTCGCAGGTCTCTCTGAAATGTCGTGCCGCTCGTCCAGCCCAGCACTGCGCAGCCGGTGGTCTTCCACGGACTGATGATTATGTCGACACGCCGGTGCGGATTCGGGTTCTTCTTGAGAGGCGTGCCGCCCGAATCATGCGCCGGGTAATCCGGATCTTGCCAGACAACCAACGCCTTGTCCAATGTATCGAAACCCGAGCTTGGGCCCTTCCTATCGTTGCCCTTCCAGCTCACCGGGTGCTGCCCACGCTCCGAGTTCTTCATGCTGAGAGTCAAGGTATGTGTGATGTACTTGTTCTTCTCCAAGTTCAAGACAATCTTTTCGATGAACCCAGACGTGGCCGACTCGTCGGGATGGCTGAGGATGAGGTCGACGTCGCCGCTCATCTCTTTGCCTCTCCGATAGCCACCAACAATCACCATCTGGAAGCCCTTGCGGATCCGGTTGGCGTGGGCGAGGGTGATCTCTGCTATAGCTTCAACCTCTTTGCGGTGGATCTTGAGTTGGAATTCGTCGTAGTACTTCAGGCCGATTTGCTGCACCCGGCTCAGGCCGTTCCATCCGTACTCCACGACATCATCAAGATCTCGCCATCCCCGCTTGTAGAATTCCCGGGCGGTCGTCTCTGCCACGCCCCAGATCTCATAGAACAGCTTGAGCACCGAAAGCTTGGCGTCTTCTTCAGCAGCCTTGGCCTCGCGTAGGAAGCCCGTTTCCTTGTATTCATGGAACAATACGGCGATCTTAGAGCCGCATCCTGGAAGTCGACCAACCTCTGAGAACATGGTCAGCAAGGAGATGCCCATGCTACTACTCCAATATGTGCCATTTACTTACCAGCAGCTGTTAATAGTCGATATGGATAGGCAGCAATGGTTGCAATCGCCGTAGAGTAGGCTCGGACCCCGATCTTGTCGCCTGTCAGTGTCCGAACTGTGCGGATCTTCTTCAGCTCTTCGATGAAGTCCTCATTTGGTGGGTTGACTGGGGTCGGCCTCTGGCAAGAGTAGGTGGTGTGCAAGAAGTCTGGTATGGGCGGTAGATGTTCATCGATATCATGCTCCGATGTCGTCTGTGACAACAACGCGGGAGGTCGGGGAGCAGGCGAGCTTCTTGCTTCTCGCGACCTCCGCCAGCCAGGTCCATGTCGCCTTGATGGAGACGGTATGGTGTTGGCAGCATCAGCAGCTGCTCTCGCCAAGATTTCCTTCGGCTTTGGTGTTGGACTCTTTGGCTGTTTTGCTGCACTCTCGGCATTGATTTTACGGCCCTCATAGACCAAATACTTATCGACGGGGAGAACCTTGCCTTCGGCTACAGAATCAGTGAACCAGGCAAGCTTCACCACCCTCACGATATTTGTACTAGCAGTCCTCTTTCTTGGGGCTTCCGCTGGTAATGTCTGTGTAGACGAGCCCACTCTTTCACCAGAGGTGATATCGTCAATGCCATGGTCACTATCCCATAACGTGTCCAGCGTGCTGACTGTGCTAGTTGCGCTTGCAGGACTCGAAGGAGCTTCAGCATGCGCCTTGCTTGAAGGCGAGGAAGCTTGAATCCGAGCCTGGATCGGTATATCCTCAGTCGCTATTTTCCGGTGGCGAAGCTCAAAGAGCGCTCGTTCTCTGCGGGAGACCTTCCCCAATATCACTTCAGCCTCGTTGGCGTCATATGTCAGGCTTGGTATCTGCTCCTCCACCTCATGGAGCTCATCGTGCGTGAGATGAGTTGGCAAGAGATAGATTGTGGGGAATGCAAGAGCCATGGTCATGAACACGAGCGTGACATTGGCTGGTGTAAAGCACAAACTCCTTTGAAGCTTGAAAGCCGATGCATCGTTAGCATAGCGTTGTCGAGTTGGTATTCACGTCAATGGCTGGATGACGGGAGGGATTTGCCAGCTCTCGAATGGCAGAGACAGCTAACACACGCAAAGAGGGGCCAGACGTCAAGTCAGGGTAAGATTCGATGAAAGTGAAGTTGGATATATAGAACGAAAGGTAGCTAGTAAGACGGGACGAATGTGACCGACTGGTGATGCAATCCATGGCACATCACTAAGCAAGCCGTCTCACACCGAGCTAGTTCTCCCGCTGTCTGTAGTCATTCTCAATTATTGCATGCTCAAGCATGCTGACATAGCAGTGGTGCAGAACCGAACATCAAAAGTATGTCTGGCCCTGAATTCCAGAGCTGCAAGTCTCATGGAGTGGAAAGGTAGAAAAAGAAAAAGAAAAAGAAAAAACAGTCAAAACATTCGATATTGTGAGCCCTTTGCCTTACAAACATCGTCCAGATCCCCGCAGAGGCATCAATCACTCAGTTGCGGGGCTCTCAGCGCCGGCAGTGATGTGATGTCACACCTTCTAGCTCGGTACTCTTGCTGGGAGCTGTCAAAACTCTGTGCACGTGTGTGCCGAGCGACCTGAGGCAGGGATCGACTTTAGTGGAGAACAGTGCAGGCAGCTTGTGCCTTGTACTCCGTAGCTGCACCTTATCCTAGTCGCCCAGCTATCAAATCAACCCACCACGCAAACTTCAACAATTCTCACCAGTCCCAGCAATCGACTCCTTTGCAGGACCAGGAACAAGGGATCTGGCATCAAAAGCGACTCTGGGTGGCCCAAGAGGTTGAGGCCTAATTCCATTCGCTTGTGTTCATTTCCCTTACCCAGCCAGCCTCGTTCTTTATTGAATGCTAGGCATTGTTGCGCTTCAGAGACAATAGCCTCCCTCATCTATTGTTGACGGCTTTGTCAGACGATCCTTGGATCGCGAACACTCCTCCTCCCCGACTGGATCTACTCGCTGTAGGTCGCTCGTTACCGACTAGATATGCGACATCCAACACATCCTTTCAGGTAGCGCGATTGCTACCGCTCTTCACCTCTCTCCTCGTCTCCAACCTCGATCTGACTTGAGCGTCCTCGACACCTCGACTACCGCTATCGATAGAGCACTCTGAATACCTTCTTCGATCTCTTGTAGACATAGCCGCCATGGACCTCGCAAAGCAACTTCTCCGCACGGTGATGCGAGCCTTCTACGAAACCCGACACATCCTCGTCATCGACGCCCTCGTTCTTCACTCTGCGTATGTCCACGGCGACTGGAATGGCCTGCGCACATGATGAGCCGGACTAATAGACGTTCTAGATTGCGCGATGATGACTTGGCATATCTGATGAGCATGAACACCAAAGACCTGCACAAGCTCTGCGCCTTCTTGCGAGACGCTCGATGCCTGGCAGTGTGCGTTCTCTGACATGCTACCCACCCAATGCGCCTAGAGCTAATCCAGTGCCGTACCACAGACACTCCCGACCCGAGAAGGCGAGCGAGACTGCACGGCCCGTCAACCGGATATACTACTACATCGATTACCGGCAAACGATTGATGCTATCAAATGGCGCGTCTATAAGATGGACAAGGACATGCAAGGCACAACGGTCCCGGCCAGCGAGAAGAAGGAGTACTTCTGCCCCCGGTGCAAGGCAGAATGGACACAGATGCAGGTTCTCGACAACTGGGGCCCAACCGGCTTCCTTTGTCACAGGTGCGGATCCGTCTTGACCCACGACGTCGAGCGACAGTCGACCGGCCACCAAAAGAGCACTCGTATGCACAACCAGTTCAAGTTTATCACCGACCTCCTACCGCGTATCGATTCGGTCTTTATCCCGGACAACAACTTCGATGTCGCATTCAACTCGAGGCTGAAAGTCGTCCGCGATGCGCAGCACCAGATTGCTCAGACGATCGCCGTTGACCCGGCAAGACCTACCGCCGTCAAGGGCCTCGCTAACACCGGCCCGACGTCCATGTCTGTCATTGTCAACAAGGGAGATGGCCCGTCAGAAGAAGAGAAGGAAGCAGAGCGGCTTCGTAAGGAGAAGCTTGCCAAGCAAAACGAACTCCCTGCCTGGATGGAGAGGAGTACGATTGACGGCGCCTCGTACAAGGTCGATGGGACGTCCGTCGGTGCCATCAGAAACGATACCACCGACGTCAAGGATCCGAACCTCAAGTCGCACGTGGACGACCAGGACAGCTCCGAGATGGCCAGCATCTTTGCCCGCATCAAGGAGCAGGCCGCAGAAGAGGCGGCCAGAAAGGCCAGGGATGAGGAAGAGGGCGTGACTGACGACGAGGACGAGGACGAAGACGAGTTTGAGGATGTAGATGTCGCGACCGGTAGCAACTCGGCTGTTGGAACACCGGCGAGCACGGCCGGCGCGCTGGCGCCCACCTCGGTGCCCGCCGTGCCCTCGCCGCTCCGCCAGTCGAACCTCAAGCGGGAAGCATCCAGCGGGGATAGTACACCGGCTGGGGGCAACACGCCGGGTGCAGAGGACCGTCCGGTCAAGAAGGTGAAGGTGGAAGAGCCTCCTGCGGCGGCCGTCAAGGCCGAAGAGGCCGACAGTGATGAGGATGACCTGGAGTTTGAAGACGTTTAGATTCTCTTGCAAATGATGGGATGGCCGATCATTGAGGACCAGTGCTATCAAGAAAGGCGTCATGGGGGGTTGGGCTCTACAAAGTCATCTGGCCGGCATGTATATCGAAAAAAAAAGGGACAATTCGCCGGATGCCAAAAAAGAAAAGGGGGCTTTGTCAAGTTTGGCGATGAAAAGTCGCAATACAGGGTCGCTCTTGCTACAAAGCAAGCATGTACGAAATAATCAAATGTCTCTTTCTGACAAGCATCATCTGTCAACCCTTGAAGGCTTTCGGTCAAAGATGACCCTTTACATAAGAGGGAACTGATAACCTGGTATATTATCTCCGGCCAGCGCGCCCAAATGCTGGTAGCGATATAGAAACCATAATTCCATTCCACTACCGATGACTGTGAATCCACAACCTCCGCCCGATAGCAACTTGGCCCATCATGAACTCATCAGATCTAACAAAAACAACTCGTGGGCTCAAATAGCGTGGGGATCAGGCATCCCACGTTCTGCAACGAGACGTAAAAGAGACTTTCAACCTATTTGCAATCTTACACATACTTTCGGAGCTAAGAAAAGGGTGGGTGCTATTAGTATACGAGGTTCGCAAGAGGAAGGACGAGGAAAACAGAAAAATACTCACATCCAATGTCAAGGTCCTCGAGCTGTTGACGTCTTGGTCACGATACACGCCCACCAGGCTCTCGCTGTCCTGGAACAGGCCCGTCTTGAGACTGATGACGATGAACTGCATGCCCGGGCCGGCGTGCTCGCGGATGTACTTCTTGATCTTCTCGACGTTGGCGTTGTCGAGCGCGGCGTCGACCTCGTCGAGCACGAAGAAGGGCGAGGGCTGGTAGCTGTGGATGGCGAAGAGCAGCGCCAGCGCGGCCATGGTCTTCTCGCCTCCGGAGAGGTGCTCCATGTCGCGGAAGCGCTTGAGCGGGGGCATGGCGTGGTACTTGATGCCCGAGAGGTAAGGGGTGTCGGTGTCCTCCTCGATGTCGAGGTAGGCCTGGCCGCCGAGCGGGTAGTTCTCGGAGCGCGTGAGGTCGCGGTAGACGTGCGAGATCTGCTCCTGGATGTGCGAGAAGGCCTTGTTGAAGAGCTCGAAGCGCTTGGCCTTGACCTGGTCGAAGGCGTCCTTGGCCTCCTTGAGCGCCGTGCGCGAGTCCTGGAAGTCCTGCTCCGTGGAGCGCAGGCGGTTCTCGACCGACTCGAGGCGCTCGATGGCGCGCATGTTGGGGTTGAGCTTCTCGAGCTCGGCCGTGAGGGACGCGATCTTGTTCTCGAGACGCTCCTCGACGTTCTCTTCGTCGGGCTAGGATGTGTGTTAGTAAACAAGTTGCATAAGGGGGTGTATACAATACAAAAGTAAGAGATAACCCACGTTCTTGAGATCCTCATCCAGGCTGTCAAAGTCCAGTTCGATGCCATAGTCGTCCATGGCGGCCTCCATGATCTCATCGTCGCCCTCATCAATATCCATCGCCTCGGTCTCCTGCTGGAGCATGGCGTCTTCGTTGGGGAGATCGTCCAATGAGCCTTGTTGCAGAGGAATGCTGATCTGTTCGAGCTTACACCTCCTCAGCAGGGCGAATTTACTGGCACTGTTCTTCTGCACCTCCGTTTCAAGAGCATTGATTTCCTTCAGGCGAGCATCAATGTCCTTGCTCCTCTTTTGGACCTCGGCCTTCGCTTCGGCCACCTTTTCGGATTTCTTTGCGTGCTCAGCCCGAAGCTGCTCAAGCGATTCCTGGAGCTCTGCCAGGCTCTCTTGCTCGTCGCTCAAGGACTCTTCAACGCTCTTCTTGTCCTGTTGGTAGGACAGGATATCAGCCTGCAGCCGCTTGAGCTGATCTTGCATTCGCTTTACTCGAGTAGCAGTCTCATTGTGCCTCGAGGTCTCCCAATTAAGGGTACTCTTGAGCCTTTGCTTCTGTACCTCGAACTGGTTGCGCTGCTCAGTAGCTTCTTGCTCGAGGCTGCCTTGCTGCGCTTCGTATGCGCGAATGTCGCTGTAGCCCAGCTTTTTGCAAAACGCAGCAAAGATCTTATCCTCCACCTGAGCAATAGCTTGCTTGAACTTGGCAACTGTTTGGCGCGTGTTCTCGAGCTTCTTAGACTCGGCCTTGTACTTCGGCTCCCACTCGCGTAGCTCTCGCTTGGCGTTGTCCAGCTCCTTCTTTTTGCTCTTGACGTTCTGGTCAAAACCCTGCATCTCGTTACGTGCAAAGTGTAGCCGCGACTCGAGGCCTGCGAGCTCTTCTCGGGTTGTCTCCTCGTGCTGACCCCGCCTGTCGGTGCGCGGGAGTTTCTGCAGATCCTCGACGAGCTTCTCCGCCATGCGCTCGAGGTTCTGAACATCGTGCTCCTCGAATTTCCTCTTGTTGCCCTTGTTGTCTGGAAGGCGACCACCCGTCATCAGACCACCCTTGTGGACAACGAAGCCATCAATTGTGACGGCCTTGACGGGCAATTTCCTGACGTAGGCGATGTTTCGAGCAATCTCTAGCGAGTCACACACGACCGAGTCACCACAGACGTAGGCCATGGCGCGGTCAAGAGATGCATCAAAGTCGATGGTGTCGATGGTGAGGCGTGCGCCAGAGATACCCTTGATGGACGAGTTGGTGGCATTCACCTTGATGTTGTCCAGGGGGATGAAGGTCATTGGCGGCAGGCGCTGATCTTTGATGTATTGGATACAGTCACCCGCTGCCTTCTCGGTGTCAACGATGACCGAGTCAAAGTCTCGGGCAAGGGCGTTGATGACAGCCTCGTCGTATTTCTTTTGCTTGGGCTTGCATAGCTCGCCAACTCTGCCTCTCACGCCAGAATAGAGTCGCTTGAGTGCCGAGACTGTCTCCTTGATCCGCATCTCTTTGTTGCTCTGGTGCATGCCCTCTCGTGCACTGTCAAGCTTCTTCTTGACATCCTGGAGCTTCTCCTCGAGTTCCGTGCGAGTATTGTTTACACGGATGCGCTCTGATTGCAGCTGGTTGAACTCCTTTTTCTTCTTGTCAATCTCTGACGACGTTTGCTGAACGGCGGCCTGGGCGCTATCTTTGCGCTCCTTAAGAGTGTCCAGTTCGGTCTGGTACTTTTCGACCGCGGCTTGGTAGGTCTCAACTTTGCCCTTGAGAGTGTTGACAGTGACCTCGTCACTCTTCAGCTGACGAGTCAACGCATCTAATTGGCCTTGGTTCTCAGACGACTTGGCCATGACCTGGGCCCGCAGGGCGTTGTACTCTTTGCGATCGGCATCGCTCAGCTCCTTGCCCTGCTTCTGCAGCTTTTGTCTCCATTGTTCCTCAAACTGCTGCTGCGCTTTCTCAACAAGAGCGAGGTCCTTCTTGGCCTTTTGGATGGTCGCCTGTTGCGTATCTCGATCCCTGCTCACCGTCTCGATGCGGGATTTGAGCTGCTCGATCTCCTTGGAGCTCTGAGCCACTTTCTCATCGATGGGCACAAGACTCGCCTCTTTGTCTTCGATGCTCTTCTCCTTTTGCCTGATGTTCTTCTCGATCTTGCTGACCTCCCGGCCGATAGTGGCTTGATCGCGTCGAGCGGCCTCAAGCTTTTTCTCAAAGGTCTCCACGTTGCGTCGAAACTCTTTGAGGTTGTCTTGATGCTCCTGGATCTGGGCACTGGACTCGTCCATGACACGCTGGAAGTGATACAGCTTCCACAGAATGTGAGTGACGACGGCATCATCGCGCTCCTCTGTCTTCTTCTGGAAGTTCTCTGCCTCCTTTTTCTGCTCCTGGTATTGTTTGATTTCTGAGTTGATACCCCGCCTACGGTTCAGCTGGAAGCTCTGGTTTTCCGTGGCCTGTTCTTCCTCCACCTTGAGCCGCTCGTATTCGGCCTTGTACTCCAGGCTTCCAGAGATTTGCTCGATCAAGCGGGTGAGATCTTGTGGCGATTGCGCAGCGATAGCTTCGACATCGCCCTGGAAGACCAAGAAGTTGCGGGCTTTCATGAGGATGTTCTCAGCCTCGAGAGCTTCGTTGTACTGCTGAGCAGTGACGACGCGGTCGTTTATCCTGTACTCGCTTGCACCCTGGTTCGTGATACTGCGCTTCCACTTCTGCTCATCGCCAGCGTCGTCCTCGTAGACCGCCATAACCCAGGCAGTCTTGGGGTCGCCCCTTGACGCCTTATGCGACTCGTCGTCCTCCCCGTTCTGGTACCCATTAGTCTGACCATTCGTCTCCGGGGCCGCTGCTGAGCCATCTTCGTTGATCTTTGATGTTTTCATGACCCTGCCCCGATACACCAGGTCCTTGAGGTGGCTTGATCGAAGGTGGGATGACTTAATGCCGAGGACGAAGGAGATGGCATCCATGCTGAAAGGGCCACTGTCAGCAACTACTGCAAATGTTTTGCTGATTAAAATGCAGGCAAGACGAGAAATGTCTTACGAGTTGGACTTTCCGGAGCCATTTGGACCGATGATTGAGGTGAAATATGAATCGCCAAACAAGAGCGTGTGGTGGCCCTTGTAGGACTTGAAGTCTGCCGCGAGAGTCAGCAATTGTCTGTGAAGCAGATAGGCAGTATATCTAGTCACGTACTGAAAAGCTCTAGCCGCAGAAGCTTGCCCATTGTGAAGAACGAATGCCGCGAAGCAGCGCGACGTCTAGCTGGTTATGAGGTCTCGCGATGGAGAAGAGGCCCGCATACACAACTCAGGCACGCCGGGATTGGGATAATCAGAAACGCGATGGTCTAGCCGTCGGACGGAATCAAACGTCAATGTCTCATCCCACACGGCTGCAGCTGCCCCAAGTTGTGGCGTTGTTGCAGCTTGTCGCATTCGGGGCAGTAGGTAGGTGATGGAGGAGGGACTGACAGCGCGAAATGCGATCAACTTTACGCGACGAATTGCGACCGCGGGGGAGCAAGCACGTCTGGCAGGACACAGGCGCACGGGCCAGCGCGACGGGCAGCTTCGGGTCACCTGACTCAGGCACTCACTGGTGTGTGCTTGTACTTGTACAAAGTACCTACGGAGTAGACCGTGACCCCACCCCAGCAGATCTTCCAGTGGCTGTGTCAGTAAACGAAGTCAACGAACTGCAGCTCTCCCGAGCCAAGCCTCTTAGAGATGAGCTTGAACAATGGCTTGGCAGGTGGTCACTTCCACAACTGCACCCGCGAGTAGATCTGAATGGCCTCGACTACGTCAAGGCCGACCACCCCGCTTGAACTCTGCCGATAGTCCGGTTCTCGAGATATTCAGCCCCAATGGAGGAGGTGGTCTCACCTGGTCCGTCCGTGTATTTAAAAGACGAGCATTTCTCGCTGCTGGTACCATTCAGCTCTTGCCTTGTGATTTAAGACGGATCCGATCATATATTCCGGTACATCCTGCAGCAGCCGACGAATGTGTAAACTCGGTGATATAAACAGCCAAAGCACATGGTGATAATCAGAGTGAACAAACAACAAGACGCCTCTATACCAAGCCGGCCATGCCTTCGTTCTTGAAAAAAGAAAACAAGGCTTCACAGCAACCGTTCCAAGAGCCAGCAGCCTCGGACCCTCCACCGCCTTATAGCGTTTCCACGGCGCAAGGGGAGTCCAGCAGTCGCCAGCCGGCTATTGATGTCACCGCTGCATTTGCTCGGCTCACGGTCACGAATGCTGTCCAGGATCCTACGCCAGACCTGTGTCTGGCGCATCTCAAGTTGTTACACGCCTTTCATGACTTGAAGGAGGACATCGGTTACACCGATGGACTCTTTGGTCTCTGGAACTCCCGAGCCGACGACGCCATCCTTCATGTCCGAGGCACGGGCATTCTTGAGGAGCGAGGCTCCCCGTCGCCGACGGATGAGGACAAGAAGTTCTTCCTGAGCAAGTTGCGAGAGAAGAGGTGGGCCTTGTTCGTTGCCCGCGCTGTTGACCGGTACGAGATATGGTGGAACGCTACATTTAAGCTCGACTTGACGATGGAGGATCAGACTATCCCGTCTGATCCAAGATACGATGCGTTCCCCACAACTGATCTAGATGAGAAGCGACCGGGTTGGATGATGATGCCACTCGGTAAGCCTGCTTTGCAATACTGTTCCATGTATCCAGGGACGGGGCTAATATCTCTCCAGATGTCTTGATGGTTTTCCACTCCCACATGCTGAATCCGAGAGCATTCCTAGAAGACTGTATGAGATATCAGGCCAGAACACTCTGGAGGAATGGCATTCCCTGGGGTGAAGTCAACGAAGCAATCGATGCAAACTTCAACTACGATGTACCCGACGATGGAAAGGCTGCCTGGGTCGCGCACACGGGCTGCGCTTGGAACAACACGGATGACCCGATAGTCAAAGAGCGGGAATGCCCTAGCTGTAAGAAAAATGTCGAGATACCTTGGACGACATGTAATACGGAGGAATCAGCCAAGGCGCCCGAGTACGTATTTTCCCCCAAGTTTATTAGAGTCGGCATTTCCTGCTCTGCCTTCTCCTTGGATCGTCTTGGACCACCCTTGCTTAAATACCTCTGCAGGCGGCCGGGACTCATTGGCAATGGGTACGGTGACGGAAACTTTTCTTTCAAATGTCCTTTGTGTGCCGACATCATTACAAACGATTTCTTATGTGTCTCCAAGTTTACCAAAGACTGCACCAACCTGATACGGAAGAAGTTCCCCTTGCCTGGCACAGTTCTACATCTCGGCAATGGCACTCCGGAACTGCTCCCCACGGATAACCGCGCCAACAAGGATGCCCGAACCTTCCCAAACCGGATGATCGAACGATCATTCCTCAGGACAGGCGTCATGGACCTCGACTGGCCGGCCGTGCACCCCATGCCGAGCATGCACGAGGCCCGAAAGCTCATCGAGGAGGTGCTGGCGAGCAACTACGCAGTCAAGCGCATCAACGGCATCCCCTGGGAGCTGGCCAACAAGATCACCTCGATCAGGCTGAAGGCCGCCCCGCGCCTGGCCGTGCGCAAGATGATGTCTCGCTACTGGGATAACCGCAGCTGTTTCGCGCTGGACCTCTCCGGCGCCGTCCTCCGCCAAGGCATCTTTGTCGACAAGATGGTCGACATCAACTGGCTGCACAGCCCTGCGGCGCCTGACACCATGGCCCGTCTGCTGGCCAAATATCGCCGGTTCTTCCACATCATGGCGACGCACCCGGGGGATGTGGCAGTACCCACGCTCGATGTCGACCTGGCTTGGCATACACACCAGCTCTGTCCTGGGGCGTATTACAGGTATTCATTGGAGGCAACGGGCAAGTTCATCGACCACAATGACAAGATTGATGAGAGTAAACTATCGACGGCGTTTGAGTGGACCAGTAAGATTTATCAGGAGACGTACGACGAGGTCTATTCAGAGTGTACCTGCTGGTATTGCGAGAGTAAGTTGTTACAATTGAACAGTCAATATCGTACCTAACATTCAAAAGGCATCCGTGCATCCCACATCTCATCTGTCGGCAAGCTTTTGGGGACTTCGAAGCAGGACAAGAGTGAGAGACCCTGGTTTTTGTTGTTTGTTGGGCGATACTAAGACCTCAGGCAGTCTCGGACAAGTTTCACGACTCGGGAACTGCCAACTATTGCCCGCCGGACAAATCGGCACACATCTCGGCGCACAATGCCGTCAAGACGAACTTGGTAGGCGTGGACGTGAAGAACAGCAAGTACCGCGTCTTCGAGCAGATGCGAGCCGCACACCAGCGCCGATTGGACGAAAGCTATGCCAAGGCATGCCGGCGCGCGGAGAAGAAGGGACGGAAGATGCCACCCAAGGAAGGGTACTACAGCAACTGGGGCTACTCCTATGCTGGTAAGAATGATGCTGTCATTTCGCGAACGATGGCGTCAAACGAACTGACGGTATATCAGCATCGATGCCGTTCTTTTATCCCATGTACTTTACCCCGGTCATGTACGGAGGCGGCGACCCGTGCCACATTGATATGGGGCAAGGGCAGGCAGGAACCTGCTGCGAGGGCAGCTGTGGCGCGAATGGCGTGGCCGCGGGAGCATGCGGTGGGCCGGGGGGCTGCGGATCGATGGGGGTAAGTAACGCCCTTATTGGGTGACCTACAAGTTTGAGGGCAAGATCACTGACATGAGCGCTTAGGGATGCGGAGGTTCGAATCTCGGAGCGTCCTGCTTAGGAGGCGGCGGTAAGTCTGGCTCACCAAGGAGAAGGACCAAAGCCATGACTGACAGATCGCAGCTTGTGGAGGCGGCGGCGGCTGCGGCGGCGGAGGGGGTTCGGCCGGAGCTTGTGGTGCCGGAGTGGGAGCATGCGGAGGCGGAGGGGGAGGAGGGTGCGGAGGCGGTGGAGGAGGGTGTGGAGGAGGAGGCGGAGGTTGTGGTGGAGGAGGTAAGTCTTGTGTCCCTGTTGATATTCCCGCAGGCCACTTTGAGCTGAACTGACATCTGGGAAGGAGGTTGCTAAGCAGGCAAGACGATGACCGTTATGTATGATGGTTTTGGTGCCATTTGTCTCATGTGCCGCGTTGTTCGCCGTTTAGGCTCCATTCCATCCATTCTCATAATATACCAATTTTAGATTGATGATTCTGAACCTGAGAGATCTTGAATGAAGCAAGTGAAATCAATGTAGCCCTTATCTAGGTGGAAAGAAAACGATGCTGATGAACAAGAAATATGTTAAAACCACGATGTCCAGATCTGCAGCCTGGTTTTGACTTACACGAACAGACACTAGGCACGTCAAGGTAGAATTGCCCAAAGGAGTGCCTTATCTTATCTCTACCAGAGTCCCACTTGGAAACTTTATTGCATTAGCTCGCTTGCCATTGGAGAGCCCCGGAGCTGTCCAACCAGTGATGGATCTGCCTACACGCCCCTCAAGCTGAAGGCATTACAGGGGCCATGACGGGCCAGTTGCGGGCCTCGCTCAGAGCACGCTAGCGCTGCGCGCAACGTCAACACCCTTTCCAAGCTTTCTCCAGGCCAAGCCATGATCACAAGCGTTCAAGCTTCCTCGACATCCTGACACATGTGCGATTCTGGACCCCATCACCTGGCCCTCCACAACGCGCTCTTACTCCTCTTGCATCTATTTCCGCTGTTATTCATACCCATCTGGGAGTCCTCGATCAACTTTTAGCACCAAGATTGCCCGAGCCGGCTCGTGCATCGGCTCCACAAGGGGCACCCTCCGAGAGTACAGACGGGGCAGATCGCAGTGCGCGGCTCTTTGTTGCCCACCTGATACATCAGTACGCTTCTGTCAGCGCCGTACCTGGTATGTTGAGTCACCTTCTTTCAGATGCCGTGGACCCCTGCCCTTCCCGTGCATAAGACCCTTGATGGGACTTTTGAGCCCACCCTGCCTCCAGGATATCGTGGAGGGGAGCCGCCACGCTGAAGGCATATCTACCGTCCCCTTGCCCTACCCTCGCCCTCTCCCACAGAGTGGTTATTTTCTCTTGCGCTCGGGGAACGATCACCATGGCTGACGTGATAGTTGTTAGAGCTGCCACAGCTCTTCGTCGCGTCTCTTTCCACAACGACCACAAGAAATACCCCGTACGGACCTTCAGTATGGCGGAACCCGAAAGTTCTGCGCCCATACCGGTGCCCAAGGCAAAATCCGAGGGGACTCTGACGGATAGCGAGCCCATATACACCCCAGAGGGAGCAACAACGCCCTCCCTAGGCTCCTCTCCCGAACAGGCTATCGCAGACACACCTACGCTTGGTCCCACGCTCTCTGCGAGCCCGAGACTGTCAAGGAACCCTTCTTTCTCTAATAGCAGCTCCTACCAGGAGGACTGGGATATTCCGCCTCTGGACAGACTCACCGTCCTCGACCTTCTCGACAACTTTGCCCTCCCTCAACACCTCGAGAAGATCTCCAAGGGAATCTCGGCGCAGACGCAGAAGCTGCGTAAGTCGCGCGATGCTTTGACGTCGAGAGGGCAGCTTGCGCGCGAGCGCATGGTGGAGGAATGGAGGCATCGCGTGCCCACCGCCGACGAGCAGCTCGACCGCTACCGGAAACGCATGCAGCGCAGCATCGACAGGCTGGGCAAACAATGGAACGACACGCGCGTAATCACGGTTCGGGAAAAGGTGTCCTTCATCTTTGGCGTACTCAACATCTTCATGAGCGGCTACATCATCGGCGCCTACCCAGAGCTCATGCATCTCTGGTACTCGGTGCAGATCATGTACTACATGCCCATCCGATATTACACCTACCACCGACGCGGCTACCACTACTTCCTGGCTGATCTCTGCTATTTCGTCAACTTTTTGCTGATGCTTAGTATATGGGCATTCCCGAGTTCAAAGCGCCTCTTCACCGCCACCTTCTGCCTGGCCTTTGGCAACAACGCTGTCGCCATCATCCTGTGGCGCAACTCGCTTGTCTTCCACAGCTTCGACAAGGTTACCTCGTTGTTCATCCACGTCATGCCGTGCGCGACAATACATTGCATGGTGCACCTGTTCGACCCAGAAAAGCAGGCAAAGCGCTTCCCGGGCATCTACAACGTCAAGTACTCGCCCAAGGGATCGCCGACGGCCTACGTTAACCTCGTGTCCATGCTGCTGTGGTCGACGATCCCGTACGCGATCTGGCAGCTCTCGTACTACTTCTTCATCACGGTGCGCCGCCGCGAGAAGATCGCCGCCGGCCGCCCCACCTCGTTCACCTGGCTGCGCAAGTCGTACGCCAAGACCATGGTCGGCAAGTTCGTGCTGTCGCTGCCCGAGGTCCTGCAGGAGCCGGCCTTCATGCTGATCCAGTACGGCCTCGCCTGCGCCACGATGCTGCCCTGCCCGCTGTGGTTCTACAGCCGCTGGGCCAGCGCCGCGTTCCTCATGACGGTGTTCACGTGGTCCATCTACAACGGCGCGACGTACTACATCGACGTGTTTGGCAAGCGCTTCCAGAAGGAGCTCGAGGCCATGAAGGCCGAGGTCGCCAAGTGGCAGACGAGCCCGGAGTCGGTCGGCCTGGGCAGCCCGCCGCTCGCGCCGCACCAGGAGAAGGAGGCGGAGGCGGAGGGTATCGGCTCCAAGGTCGGCGGCGGCGAGGTGGAACGCAGCAGCAGTCTTGACAGGATCCCGCTACTCAACGAGGAGACCTCGAAGCAGCAGCGGGCTGCCTCCGATGCCGAGGTCTCGGGCTCGGACACGGGCGCCAAGGATGTCGCGAGGCAGAGGAAGGGCGTCGAGTTTGAGACTGGTGCATGATCTTTTGAGTCGTTTCTATTTCAGCGAAAGCGGGGACATGTTGATTTGCATGGAAATGTTTGGTAGAGACTTTTTTTTTCGGCCTCGGAAGGTTCAACACACATGATTTCGAAGCTTTTGCTCTTTCCCAGCCGCTCCCCTTTGGTTTCTGATTAGCGAGTACATGTATGCGGTGCACTGGTGTTTCTGCGAAGTCGTCATTGTTGTTTGTAGTTTCTTGTCTCTGGAGAAATACCCCCCAACCTTTCCGCTCATTTCGTCGCGGGTAGCTCATCATTAGCATCGATGTTTTGGTTTTTTCCCGCGCTTGCATTGCAGAGTCGTTCGTTTTTTCCAAGTCCATGCAAATGGCTTTGTGAGGTGTTTCATGGGGGGAAGATGTGAAGGGTTCTGCATTTGAGATCATGTCAGCTGTAATCGGTGTTCGATACTGTGAATGTTTTCATCTCAAGTCAGACATGGGGTGTTTGTCTACAGACAAGCGAACGAGGAGTCAGTAAGAATTACATGTATGGTTGGTTATACCCTCAATCAGAATGGATCTCAATCCCGACAATCATTTCCTCGATCAGGTCTTGCCCAGTCACAAAACACTTGGCTTGATCAACTCTGTCACAGTGAGACAAAGTTCGAGAAGAGAAGGTGTTACAATTTCCTTTGGCCAAAGGTAGCCAAAAGCGCTCATAATGCCATTTCAGCTATCGCTTCTAATATGAGGGAGTTTGGTATTTTCCATCCGTAACAAATACATCATGAGACCGCTCCTGCCAAAAAAAAAACCAGACGCTCCTGTCACAAAAAAAACCCAACCGCTACTGAAAAACACAACCGCTCCTGTCAAAAACCACAACCGCTCCTGAAAAAACAAACCACGCTATCATCCCTCGGACATTATTATAAAACACAGACATGACAACGCTTTTGAATGGGGTGTCCATCCAGTCTTCAGCGAATGACACCCCAGTCGGATAGCCTGCCGCCTCCATCACTGCTGTCCTCTCTCGCCCCGGGCCTCCGGCCAAACACGTTCCAGAACCGCAGCGTCTCGTCGCCGGCGCCCGTGACCACGACGCGCCCGTCGGGGCTCATGGCCAGGTAGAGTACACGGTATGTGTGACCCGTGAGGCTCGCGACCTGGGTCATGGACGGGTACTTCCATACGACGATCTGGTTCTGAGAATAGCCGTGCGTCGAGACGATCTCGTTCGAGTTCTTGGACCACGCGAGGTTGCAGACCTGGCTGCCGGTGTCGATCTCGTTGATAACGGTACCTCGGACGGTGTCATGGAAGATGATCCTTCGGTCGGCAGTACCGCCTCCGGATGCAAGCAAGCCCCTCTGGTGCGGCGACCACGCGATCGCCTTGACCGCAGCGGTGTGATCCGAAAACTTCCACAGGGGCGTTTCTGAGAGCTTATCCCAGACCATGAGCTTGTTGTCGTTGCCTCCGCTGGCAAGCTGTCCGTCTTCGCAGTTCCACTTCAACCCGCACACTTCCTGCTTGTGGCCGACTAATTTCCGGAGCCACTGGTCTGGGGCGCGGACGTCTCGGTGATAGATCAAGCGATCCCTAGAGCCCGAAGTAAGAATATGGGTATTCCACGCCAATGAGCCGACTCGGGCCGTGTGGCCAGTCATGGTCCGCAGGCGTCTAGTCTTCTCGGCATCCCAGATCTGAACGAGGCCCTTGCCGGTGCCAATGGCAATATGCGTGCCTTTTTGAATCCAAGAAACACTCGTTACTGTATCGTCTTCCAGTGTGCACAGCTTACTAACCCGGCTCGTCTGTGCATTCCACATGTAGACGCTCGAGCCGAGACCTACACCCAAGACGTTGGCACTCCCCCAGTCGACTAGGTTGAGGTAGAAGTCATCCGCGAGCTCCGGCGCGTCCAATACTTTATACGGGACCTTGCTCACCGCCCTTGGTTGTCGTCGCGGGCTCAGGAGCATCTGCTGGCTACCAAAGCGGACAGGCGAAAGACTGTAAATCTCTGAGCGGGTGTCCAGGTTTGGTCCGTGCCGGCTTTGCGGCGTCCTCGTAGGTGTTGGGTGCCCCGCAATGTTGCTATGATGGCGGGGGGACATGTATGAGAAGAGGTTTTTGTGAGGTGTTGAGGGGGTCATAGAGGTGGGCAGCGCTGAGGAGGACGGGTTGGCTGGTGGGGTATGTGACCTGGTCCCATCATGGGCATTGGACACTCTCCCGGTTCCAAGAGTATGCTCGGGCGATAAGCTGGTCGGCGTCGCTTGAGGAATAGTATTCTCAAAAAGTTCCGCTCGTAGCAACGTGGAGAAGGTACGATTCGCTTCCTCGGCTGTGGCAGCTGTCAGTCCAAACTGTTGCCATAGAGACATTTAATAAGCAAGGTTTGGAGGACTCACTTCGCTGGAAATGTAATTCGCCATGAGGCGTTCGCTTCTTCTGTCGAGAAGGAGTCGCAGGGGATCCATCATCGTGTAGAAGACTGAAACTGGCATGAAGGTCCTGGCCAGACCTTGTGGGAATAAACCTGAGAGCCCAGAGTTAGTCCTCCTACCCGCCATGGCACTGTAGCGATTTTGGAATCTGCCTAGCGCAGTACTCACCTGTCGCCATTGATGCGTTGTCGTTTCCTATGTGGGCTCGCGCCCGGTGTGCCTTCCCTTTGTTGCCTGCTCAACTCTCTGCGCAGGGCATAATCGACGGCATCGGCGTCGAGATTGCTACTCCTCCGCAGGTCCGTAACCCGGCCGGCCTGGAACAACAATCGAGTATTGCCGCTGTCGACATTTTGCTTGACGTCGAGGTGGACTCTCTCTCTCTCTGGAGGCGGCGGCGTCGATATCCTGGCGGGACTGGCAATCGAGGGGCTCTGCGACTCGGTGATGGGTCGCTTAGACGAGGAAGCCAGGACGGCACCGCCAACACTTTCTGCGTTGAGCGGCATTTTGGCGGGATGGGCGAGTGGGAGGTTTGGGTGATGTTGTTGATGGGGAAGGAAGTTGGCGAGGGAAGTTGAAGCTGGGCTGTCGCGCTAAAGCTGGGCGGCCTGGGAAAACGGCTTGTCCGGATTGGGGCTAGCGCCAGATGGGCCTCTGGCCTCCCTCCAGATGCGCGGCGGCAGCTCGACACGACTAAGGTAGTTAAGGTCAGTAGTAGCAGGGCAGATGTACCTCCCTCTAGTCAAGGACAAGTACAACGTACCACCGCTACTTACTCCCTCGTGCTGAATGAATGGATGATCCCCTCGATGAAATTGATGAAATGAGCGATGGACTGCAAGCAGGAATTGACGGGGCCAATGCGTGCTGCTGTCGGATCCGTGGTGAAGAAAACGACAAGATCACTCAATGCCTATTGTTTGGCTTTTCGACCTGGCCTTTGTTATGGCCTCTGATATATTATCTCTAGCGAAAGACGACACAGAATCCCACAATGGGCGTTGTCTGACTGAGTAGACGTTGTGCAAAGTGTGCTGCTGATGGTAGAATGAGAGTCTACCGCGTCACGTCTCCCGAGTGTTGTGTATCTGTGAGGGAGGATGAACGATGGGCTTGTGTTTGACCAAAGGCGTTTCCTTTATGCTTGGGCTCTGCTGCCAGTGGGGCTTCGTTAGCTGCCGTCGCCCATGAATCGCTCCAACTTTGCCGCCTACTTCGTCAGCAGAACCCCACTACAAGCCCACTGTGAGTGCGTTCATTATTGTGAGGCTGGTGATTCACACTCAATTCACTCACGTTCAAAAACCTTAAGGTACAAGCAACCCAAAACACACCCCACCAGGATCACAGATCTTCAATGTCACCTCTGAGCCAATTGTCAAAAATGTCGGGTATGGTAGCAGGAACTTGGAGAGGGAGCGGGAGTCTGGTCTCACATATTTTAGCCGCACTTTAAAGGACCCCCACCAGAGCTTTCTTCACCCTGTATCCCGAAGGAGTTCAGGGTTTCTAGCTACAGACTTCAACTCGCAAGAAATAGGCTCTTCTAACAAGCAAGCACACATTGTTTACACCGAGTTCGATACAAGAAGATGCCCCGGGCCTTCCAGTCAGGCCTCGTTTCGCTAGGGTATCTGCTGCCCTACGGGGTACACTCGTGCCTTTGGCGTGCTTGTTTTGATCGTGGAGATGAAAGGGATGTTTGTTTGTTTTGACTCCTTCTTCGCCCTTCCATCGACGGCACCCCTTCATCACCCCTTCATCACGAGCGTGAAAACCCCCCTCTCTCTGTATCGAATTCTGGCAATGCCGACGCGTCTGACTGGCTGGCAGGGCATAGTCTGCCAGTCCATCGATGGCCGAGCGGCGGCAAGGGGGTGCGAAGCTAGGGGTGCCAGGTGGCCGCGACCCGTGCTGGCACGTTTTCCATAGGCTGTGGACTGCCCCCTTTGCTGGCCCCCCCACCTTCCGGAACGCGGTTGCACGTCCGCAACGCGCCTTTTCGCGTCAAAAAACCACTTTAACTCTTCACAACAGCGCCAAAAAGCGGGGGGCACTCCCACGCAGACTTCCGAGAGATCAACGCCGGTGCAGGAAGGAGCGACCTTGCGCCACACAGCCTTTTCACGTGTGCCTTTGTTTCCATCATTGCTTTTGTTTGACCTAGGGAGACTCGTTTTGGGTCAAGACCCTGTGGGATGGCTCGGTTTTCGTGTCGTGCGATGGGCCCAGTTGAACGTGCATGTAAACAATAGAAAATAGTTCCGAATGGAGGGTCCGGCCTAGCATTAGATGTCGTGTCTTGGTTCTCCTTGCATTTATTCATATGCTGACAGTGGAAGCGTCATGACAAGCATCGTATTGTCCAGATATCAAGGCTTTGCTGTTGCTTATCTCCGATGTCTGGACAGTCCTGGGGTCTGGTACGTCATGTTCTCGACTTCCCGGCATACACTGTCAATTCCCTGGCTGTCAACGCTCATATGCCGAGCACGGAAGCCTGGGGCTTCTGCCAGAGAATCAGCATGCATATGTAGGTAGGTACTGCGTACTGACAGCTGACCTGAGCAGCCATGTTGGTCGCATTGGACCTCGGTGGGGTCCTGCTCTGGCGGCGCCAGCCGTCCGTCCGGTATCTGCGGCCCGCGGAAGCCTTACAGCACAGCGCATTAGGTCAAGATTCGCCGTTTTGCTCAATGGCTTGGTCAAGCTAACCTTGTTAAGGCCTCAAGTCAGCGTTGCCGAGTAGGGTGTACCCATGGGTCCTTGTGAACATTTCAAACCTCATCTATGCGTACATTGGTCAAGAGGTTTGCAGAACTTGACCGTCATTAAGCACCTACGGTGCATCACTTGCTTAAGTATCAAAGCTGTTCAAAAAAGAATATTCGTATCATTCGTCAGTAGGTATTGTCTTTCACTAAGTTCTATATGTCCCCTCCGCAATGACGGCTGACAAAAGCCCTGGTATATATCTCTTTCGTATAATTCAACGCCATCGTCTCTGCCCGGTCGAGGATTAGAACCGCCATCTATGCGAGATTAAAGGAAAAAGAAAACAAAGGGAATAGAACGAGCGCTGTGTCAGACCCAAGGCCGCCTTGGGGCCAGGAAGAGAAATACGGGCATTTATGCTTGCGCACCCTCGGCTTGCGCCAGTAGTCTCGCCCTCCACGAGTTGCAGACCTCCTCGAATCCGCCGACGACCTCGCCGCAGATGTGTGCACATTCACGGTTCTTCAGTCTCTCGCCCCAGTTGCCTTTGGCGATCCACCGCTCGCCCTCCTCACGCAGCTCCTCTTCCTGCCTCATCTCGGCAACGAGCTCCTTTGCGCTCTTCAGTCTGCGCGTCGCTGTAATGCTGGTCTGCCTCGACATGTGTAGAGTATCGGAAAGGTAGTTCAGGGTCTGCACCAGATCGTTGGTGAGCGTGTGCAGTCCCGATAGTGAGTTGTAAGCTGTTGTCGACGGCCGTGGCATCTGCTCCGACAGAGACACTAGCAACGGAAGGATCTCTTCGATCGTCTCAGGGTCTGGCGGTGCCACAAGAGGCGACAGCAGGGGAAACGCCAAGGTCTGGACCTGCCGCGTTTGATGAGTCAAGTGAGTGGTCAGTGCGGAATGAGCCGTGATCAACCTGGCCCTGTGTTAGTATTTGTCTTCGGAGAACATTAAGGAGTGTCGCCTGAACATACCTGGTCGCTCCGCCCTCCACGCCAGACTGCGAGCCCAGGTCCCTCAGACTGTCTGTGACTCTAGTGAAGACCCCGTCCGTCTGGCTGCCGTTGTTTTCTGTCCCTCTCCGAGCCAGCGACTCCACTGCATCGATCTTGGCCACGAGACTCGGCGGCATGCTGGGAGAGTCCAGGTCAGACTCCGATCCATACTCGCTTCCGTCATACTCGCTACCGGCTCTTCGGTGCCGACCGTGGTTTGGTGACGGTAAGCTGAGACTCATGTTTTTGGAATGCGTCAAGTGTTTCGGGCTTGGGTCGACATCGACGCCGCTGTCCCGCTGTCCCTCGACGCCGTCTGTGCCGGCTTCTTGCACGTCAAAGCTGACGTCGGGTGCCCCGGTATTGTCGTCGTAGTATTCGTCATCTTCGCCGTCCGAGAGAGCATCGGCTAGTTCGTCGGCAAGGTTTCCCAATCCTCCGCCACCTCCCATACCGCCCATCCCTCCGCTGCTGAAGACATCCAGCCCATCGCCCTGGGTGAAAGACTGTCTCAGAGGTGTGCCGGGATCCTGTAGCGATGATCTTGACTGTCTTCGACCTTGCGGTGATGAGCCCACGCTGTTGGCCTGAAAGTCGATAGTCGAGTGGCGCGAATGGCCAGGTGTTTGCGGTTGGCTCGACATGGTTGCCCGGGATCTGTGGTCTATGGTTGCGCTTTTCTGATTCTCTACTTCTCACGAGCACGTCGAGGACCTTGACCGCTGCGTGTGCGGGATTAGGAAACGATACACGTCGGCGCTGAGGCGACGAGCGACAAAGAGGGGATATTGTTTGCTCTTAGGCTCCTCTCTTTGTTGTCGGAGGTATTGCGTGGTTGCTGAGGCAAGGATGAGCAACCAGGAGGTGATTACCGAGTTATATCGAAACGTGGGTGTCTATATCAAATCCAGGCTCGGCGCAGCCCAAGCTCGTACACGACAGTCGTATTTGATATGGCTCGGGAGGGAAAGCTGTGAAGCAAATATCTCTGCTTGACGAATGATGATGATCACAACAAGATCTGCCTATTCGAGGAGATGGGCGGGCATGCTGTTGCGCATGTCGGCATTTGCGCAAGTTTAGAAACAGTGAGTCCCCTTTCTTTGTCAACAAGTTGCGACCTTAGTGTCCCGGTACCCAATTTCCATGACCCAACGCGTCCCTGTCAGAGGATCCGTGGGCCAAAAATTGGCCGGTGGGTTCCACAGACAAAACCCGCCGCCTATCAGGAGCACTAGCATTGCTGTATGGCCATTTGATAAGACGCCATGTACAGCACCACGAGCACTGAATGACATGTGGCCGCCATTACCCCAAAAAAGCGGGACTGGTGTGCGGGCTGCACCGCACTGAAAGCCACAGCTTCAGGTACGAGAGCCGCTAAAATGCGGGCGAGAGCTTCTTTTTTTCCCCTTTCGGTGGTGCAAAAAAAAAAAAGCCGACAGCCATAAATAAAATCCATGTCATCCTGTACGAGAGCTCGCCCTCAAGAAGTCAGAACATTTAGCCTTGTTCAATATGGCCAATTTCCGTCGGTTCAGGCCAGATGACCTGAACAAGCTTTCGAAGTGCAACCTCGATCCTTTCACCGAGACGTACGAGCTCGGGTTCTACCTTCAATACTATGCCAAGTGGCCATCATTGTTCCAGGTCGCCGAGGATGACGAAGGCAATATTATTGGCTACAGTGGGTTTTTTTCTCCTTCATAAGGGTCCCCTATCTCTGTTGTGTTCTGCTGAAGGCTGACAACACTCAAGTTATGGGCAAGCTAGAATCTTCCCCGGACGTCTATCAGTTCTCCGAGCACTACCTGCCCTGGCATGCCCACATCACCGCCGTCACGGTAGCGCCGCAGGCGCGCAGGCTTGGGATTGGCAAGCTTCTCACACAGCAACTCGAGGCAGCGGCCGATGCGAACAACGCCTGGTTCGTAGACCTCTTTGTCAGGAGCACCAACTACAAGGCCATCACCTTCTACAAGAACATGGGATACAGCATCTTTAGAGTAGTAAAGGACTACTATGGCGACCACTCGAGCGATCCATCACAGTCGACCGAAGACGCCTACGATATGAGGAAGCCCATGAAGCGAGATGTGAAGCTAGAGCATATCCGAGAAGACGGCGAGAAGTATGAGGTTGATGCGCATGACGTCTGGTGATCTTGGTCCAAACAGAAGCCAACCCATACGTAGTCGGCTACGGCTCAGTCTCACGGCGCAACAAGGGGATATCAATGTCGCTTTTGCTGATCCGGTATCAATCATTGTGTGGTGAAGCCATGCCGGGACGGCCATCAAGTGACTAAACGACTTTTAAAGCAGGATTATCTTGCCCTCAGAAGATCACTTCGATATCTTCTTTCTTCACTACAGTCGTTCGCCTAAGAGGGCACCATCCATGACGTCTTCAGAGGAGCCCTAGACTCCTTTTTCAAACAAAGACGTCGGATATCCGGCAGAGTCGGTATATCAGAGGTCGTGGGACAGGCAAGGCCGTGAATTCACCTCGCCAGGAGTGATACTTGCCATGCGACTGTGAAATTTTCGACCTAGGTTAACCAATGTCTTCCTCGTTATCAATGGCCATACGTTGCAAGGCGTCACTTGTGTCGTTTCACGTCGGTTATTGCTAGCTGCAGTATTAGGATATGCAGCAGACAATACCATCAAGGGAGTCTTACGAAGGCATCACGATTTTCACCCCGGTCTTCTCTGCGAGGAAAAGATCTCAAGCCCATAGATAGAAACCGGCCTTTCCAACGGCTCAAGAGGATCGACCTACTTTCAAGATCCAGCAATAGTACACAGCACCCTATAGCTCTGCGTATGCTACTCGTTTCTGCTCAACATTAGAGCACCTTCTTATGAGGCTTGTTCGGTTGCCAACATGATCACTACTTAGCAAGCTGTATCTGAATTGTCCAGGAACAGGCTATACCAGTATTAGTGGCGGTGTAATGCTACCTCTCGGGGTTAATCTTCTCTATCTTGGACTCAGTCGACAGCCAAGATATTCAAATTCAGCAATATGTGCTTGCATCGTCAACGCAAGGGCCTTGTTCCCATTGACGGCGGTATGATCATACTGCTCGGGGTTAACATTTTCCTGTTTTGGGCTCAGTCAACAGCCAAGATTCTGATTCCTATTTCGGCATTGAGCAGCATCAGCGAGCACTGCGCCACCTCATGGCCCTTTTGTCACTTTCGGGCTGCATTCAGCTTTGTTCGACCCAGCAGTTTGGAAGTGGCTTCTGGGGAATGTTTGCACGTTTGCGCTAGGCTGCCCTTTTCAGGGGTATTTCAATAAGCGCCCAAGCCTCGATGAGGCTCTATTTTCGACCTCATTACACAAGGCAGCAACATGAGTATGGCGTGGAGAATTCTAAACTATCGTTCGGGGATAGAGCGATACAGGAGTCAAAGCCGTCGAGCTTGGTATAAAAGAATGCCACAAGCTCGTCGAGGTTGGTGAACTTTGATACGGAGAGCATCAAGTCAAATTCCAGAGTTCTTCTTCACGCAGAAAACCATCTTAAAAAATCAGAATCATTCCCATACGCCTCAAACCGGCCACCATGCACGCCCGAACCTCGCAAGGACTGACTGTCCTGGCTCTTGCAGCCCTCATCTCCACGACCCAGGCCACTTTGGCCATGGTGATCGGAGTCCCTGCCTGTGCAGCCAACGGCCACGGAGACGCGAAGGGCATCTGGGAAACCAGCGCCGAAGACTGCCAAAAGGTGATCTATGCCATGGACGGCAAAGGAGCCGAGCTCTTTCACCCCCCCGAAGAATGGTTGCAACACCAGTACGTGAACCGCAACTCTTGCCTACCCGAAACCCAACTCGTTACTAATCTGTGGTGCTCTCGTACAGTCGCAAAGGAGGGCAAATGCGAGGTGTTCCTCTGTGGCAACGGCCATGGAGACGCCGAGATCTCTGCGGGCGCCATTGCTACCGCCGCGGCAGATATCCACGCGTTCTGCCGGCTCAACGGCAACGCCGGCGGCCGGACCACTGTCTACACGCAAGAAGGCGACGGCCTGAAGAATAGCGCCCTGGTCCAGCTTGGTCAGATTCACAAGGACGAGCTTAAGAAGGTGAAGCGTGGCGAGGAGGAACTACCCGAGGAGGAGGACCTCCTGAAGAAAGATTCCTTGATCAACGGCCACCATCTCGAGCTTCCCGGCCCCAGGGGTGAGCTCTCCAAGCGCCGGGCCGAGCGTGCCTTGCAGACGAGGTCCGACCCGGACGACTACGACAACGGCGACGGGGCCAACGAGGGCGAGCAGCACGACATCGACCCGGCCAACGTCATGCAGCTCGCGACGCAGTTTGTCAACGACATGCGCCGCGTCTTTGCCGAGCCCAACCCCAACTTTCGCAACACGGCCGGCGTGCGCATGCGGTTCCAGGACCGGCACCGCAACCGCCAGGTCTACGTCACGATGGCCTACCTCGCGGCCGACGGGCGCACCGTCGTCGACCTGCAGCGCGCCTCGCGCGACTCGACGCTCAGCGACATGGTCGGCCGGGTCGTCGGCGGGTGGCACATGGGCGGGTTCCGGACCTTCTTCACGAACCACATCTGGCGCTTCCAGAGGGGCAACCCCAACGGCCCGCACACGGACCTCGGCCGGATCGCCATCAACGTCGAGGACGTGATCCCGGACTACCCGCTTCCGCCGCTCGCTATGATTCCCGGCGGCTCTCTCAACTGAGCGGTGTTATGGGGGAGTGAAGGAGGAGGCAGTATACAGGGCAATGGGTTGACTTGGTGATTGCTGGTACTTTTGTTTTACATGGGTTCTGTTGTTGAATAGCATACTTTATGCATCGCTTTGGAATTTAGTAACTGTATCGTTTTGTTCAAGTAGTTCTGTTAAAAGGCCGTCAAATATCTGCACGAGTTTCGAGGCTGCATTTGTCACTGGTCGACGATGTGTGTCTGTCGTCCTCAGGATTGTCGATGCTGAAACTGCGGGGTAGGGACGGGGAAGAATTAGGACTGGCTGACGGCGCCGTTCTGCACCAGCGACAGCGCTTCACTGACGCAATCGGCGCCAGCACCACTGCAGGTCCCTCCACACATGACCGACTTTCATGTGGGTTACAGTGGGCCTGCTCCAGTTCAACCCCTGTATTCCCTGCTCTGGCGAGTCGCAAGTTGCATGTGGGAGGGAGGGGATGGAGGAGAGGAGCTCCCCTCTCCCAGGACGGATGAGACGTTGTCTTGAGAGAGCAGAATCTCAAGATCTACCAAGTTGTCTCCTCCTCACTTGTGCCCAGTACCATACCATATTTATGTTCTGTTCATTCACTCTGAGTTGCCATTATTGATTGCTCCGCGCATCATATCATCATCATACGCTTGTTGCTGAAACGCATTGTATTACTTGCCGCACCCGTCGCCTTTTGTCTAGACCCGACGAGAGCATTCATTCCTTTTTGTATACTCTTATCGTCGGTGGTTTCGATGCTTCGTTGAATATTCTTCTGCAACGGCGTCGTCGGAGTCAACACCCATCGAGTCGCCAACATGCGGCTGAGCCTCCTCGTCAGTGCTGCTCTTGCGAGCGCGTCGACCCTGACGCCTCCAGTTCTGCCGCTGATTGTCCGCAACCCATACCTCTCCACTTGGTTGACTGGTGCGCGTGAGGAGCCGTGGGAGAAATGGCCCATCTTCTGGACTGGGAATACTGTAAGCACTCTTTGTTTGGCCATTTAATTTATTTCTGTAGCTCGTCCCGGCCAGACTATCCTCTTTGCGCCGAACTGAACACTGACTCTGGTGGTCAGGTTGGCTTCTCGGTGATGGTATCCGTGCCAGACACCTCTACAGTCTATCCGCTGCTTGGTCGGCCCCAAGATTCTCTGCCTCGTGACCATCAAAGATTCAGAGTCTCCCCTCCCAAGTACCTGGGCGCCACCTTTGACGCATCGACGACCAATCTCACTTATGCAATTGACACATCGGGTTCTGGCGGTGATGATGCCGAGTCCTCTGTCTGCAACTCCCTGAAAGTGACGTTGTCGTTCCTCTCCCCCATCACCCCTTCCTCTACATTTCGGCAGTCGATTCCTGCAGCGTATCTGACTGCCCACGTCGAAGGGTGTCAAGATGTAAACCTGTATATTGACGTCAACGGCGAATGGGTCAGCGGGAACCGAGACAACCATATTAGATGGGAGCTGGATCAGCCCGATCTCGCGAACCCTACGTCAGGGCCAGGCTTAAAGACATGGAAGGTACAGCGGATGAACGAGGAGCTTTTCACAGAGTTCGCCGACCGTGCCGAATGGGGCACGCTTTACTTCTCTGCTCCCACCTCGGTCCGCCACGAATCGGGAGTCTCTGGTCGTCTGCGGACTCATTTTGCGGTAAAGGGGCAGCTCGAGAATCACGTCGACGACTCGTTCCGGCAGATCATGGATGAAGAGCCCGTCTTTGCGTACTCGAAGAGCTTCAAACTCAGCTCCAAGAACCACACAAATCACGACAGTGTCATGTTTACATTTGGGCTCATCCAGGATCCTATTGTTCAGTTCGCTGCTGCCAGGGGGTTGACTCTGATGCGGCCCTTCTGGGCTAACTTCTTCCATTCCCCGGAAGAACTGATCAATTACCACTACCACGATTTTGATACTGCAGACCGGTTGGCTAGCAACTACTCGGAACAGCTGTCAAAAGACGCGTACGCTTCTGGCTCGACCGAGTATGAGGAAATAGCTGCGTTATCTGCCCGACAGGTCTTGGGAGCAACCGAGTTTGGAGGAACACCAGATAACCCCTTGCTATTCCTCAAAGAGATCTCATCCAACGGTAATTGCCAGACAGTGGACGTCATCTTCCCCGCATTCCCCTTCTTCCTATACACCAACCCTCGCTGGCTGGCGTATCTCCTCGAGCCCCTGTTGGAGCATCAGCTCAGCGGCCAATACCCCAATGACTACAGCATGCACGATCTCGGTTATCACTTCCCGAACCAGACTGGACATGGCGATGGCAACGACGAGTACATGCCTGTCGAAGAATGTGGGAACATGCTCATCATGGGTCTCGCGCTGGTCAACGCTTTTAAATACGACACACAGCCGGCGTTTGTCGCTGCTGTGGACGAGGCTGCTCGGCCGCTACCTCTGAGCAAGGCCCAAGAGCACTTCATTGACGCATCGGGCATGGACAAACCTTGGGGCGGCATGGCAACGACTGGAGAGAAGCAGGCCATCAAGTGGGCAGCCAAGTCTTACAAGCTGTGGAAGCAGTGGACTGGCTATCTGGTCGAGTACTCTCTGGTTCCGGAATGGCAACTGTCGACTGATGATTTTGCTGGCTGGCTCGCCTACCAGACAAACCTGGCATTGAAGGGCATCATCGGGGTCCGAGCCATGAGCGAGATTGCGGACATCCTTGGCAAGACAGAAGATGCCAAGCACTACCTGAATATCTCAGAGACATATATCGAGAAGTGGCAGGAGTACGGTATCTCTCGAGACGGCAGCCACGCCAAGCTGGCCTACGACTGGTACGGATCTTGGACGACACTCTACAACCTCTATGCAGATTCGCTCCTTTGCTTCCACATTCCGAGTGCCAAGTCGGAGAAGAGCCCAACCCGATCCGTACCGGGGAAGCAACTCCCTATTGAGGGCGGCAAGCCGGATCCGACCAAGTCCAAGTCGACCTTCATTCCAGACAAGATCTACAGCATGCAGAGTAGCTGGTATCATTATGTACTGCAGAATTATGGTCTGCCGTTGGATAGCCGTCGGCTGTGGACAAAGAGCGACTGGGAGTTCTTTGCAGCGGCTATCACGAGCAAAAGTACGCGAAAGGAAATTCTGGATAGCGTGGCCAAGTGGCTGAACGAGACCATCACGGGCAAGTCTTCCTTCCCATCGCCGTATGTTCGACGAGGCCCCCCACTGACTTGATCCTTCATAGATCGCCCATTCACCGACCTGTACGATACAGAAGGCGAGGGAGGCTACCCTGGATTGGAATTCAAGGCCCGTCCTGTGGTCGGCGGCCACTTTTCTTTCCTGGCCCTCGAGCGAGCTTGTGGCGGCAAGGCCGTCGAGGCCCTCAAGTTCTTGGACGACGAGAAGCTGCCCAAGATCAATGTGAAGGAAGCATTGGATGCAGATAGGGCGCCTTTCTTTGAGAAGTCGAAGAACAAGCAACAGGCGGAGGACACGGAACAGCCGGAGATGGGCGAGCTATAGGGTGCGCTCGATTGACTCGTTCCAAGGTCAGATTCTCATGATGCTGCTAAGCGACATTGCTCGTATGATCGACGCGGTTCGGTCTTCGAAGAAGCATACTTCGTATACATATGTAGAGCCACAAGCGCAATTTGAAGCTCAGAACCGTGGTTTCTAGCGGTTTTACCTCTCTCATTTGACCCGAAGAGTTCTTAACCTGTCTCGGATGGTCGTGCCAATATTGGATTGGATTGATATTGACCCAGTTGTCCGGAGGACCCCGTGAATGCTGGTTCCTTGCACTACTTGTAATCAAAGCGGAGACAGCGCGCATGCTACCCCTGCCTGGAGGAGCCTTGGAATTACTGGCAGGAATCGTGTTCCAGGCCGCCGGCTCCTCCCCCCAACCCTGGCCATCCGGCGAGGTCCGTTTGGCCAGCTCGCCCCAAATGCATGCAAGGTCTGGCTTGCTAGCACGGTTTCGCTATGCAGACGAGTTTGCATCAAAGCTGGGAGGGCCACCGCGCTAAGGCACGGGCGATGCTAGCGCCAGCCAGTTGCTTTTGCTGGATGACCAGGGGGATGCAGATGCAGCCAGCCAGCCAGCTTGTCAAGGTCTGGTTGTCATCAGTGCAGGTGCGTTGCAGTTGCATTTCCCGCTGGAGGATGCAGGAAATGCACTTTTGACGAAAAAGAGAGGAAGGGGAGGGGGAAAAAGCAAGGCAGCCAGTAAGATTTGGGTATCGATGGGGGGGATAGTGAATGAGAAGTACGGTAACATGGAGTGCCTTGCCGGGAAGGGAAAAAGACTCGTGGCCAGTAGCTGCCCACGCGCCCACGCCAGGTAAGCAAGCACCCTTGTGCGTCACCTCCAGGTCTCCGTCGCCCTGTCTTTGTTTTTCTCGTCACCTGTAGCCTCACGATTTGTTCAATCCACCCAATCGATCGATTGACCGCACTGCGTGCTCAGCCAAGGCCGTTTGTGACATCTGATCAATTTCCATTGTCTGCCTTCACCCGATCTGCCACCTGCAGGTCTCTCTTTTTCTTTGTCCCCCCCGTCGAGTCCTGCCAGTTGCCCTTTTTCTCGACTGCCCACAAACACCAGCAAACAACAAGCTGGGCACATCACGTATTCATTGATCCAAGAAGGTAGGCAGCATCCATTCTCTGCGCGAACAACTCCCCCTCTTGGTCCTGGGATCTTTGTCAGCCTACTTGGCCTTTTGCGTACCTCAAGTACTTGGTCAGAAACCGCGGTTTTGAGCCGCTTTGTCTTCGAGCCTGGTCGCATTGCGGCTTTCCTTCCTCCCACTAGTTAAAAAGGCCAGCCTATTTTTTTCCCATCTGGCCCTGCCAATTGTCGCCCCCCCCGCAACATTAAATTCCTCCACTGGGACCTGGACTGGGCCACTTCTTCCCCCCAACACCAAAAAAAAACCAGGGCTCCGTCAAACCTTCTTTGCATCTCCCTCATCTCAGCCTCGTATCGAAACCCGCGCATTTCCGCAAGACGCATCAGGATCCTGACAAGTCAACATTAGTCCGAGCCATCACCGCACACATGGCTACCACAGCTATGGATTACGAAGCCGCCAATGGCGATCGCTTCGAAGGTCAGTCTCAGTCATCACTCTCGCCATCTGCACGCCTCCACCAGCAAGCAGCACCATCCAACACCTCGGCCTCGACGCATGCCCGAGGAGGCCCTTATCGAGCAGCATACGATATTGACACCAGACACACGCCTGCAGATGAAGCTCCTCGTTACGAGCGCGACCAGCGTAGCGCCTCTCCTCGCCGCGATGACGGCCACGACAGCTCTCGCCGCCGCTCTGCCTCTCCCTCTGGCAACGGCGATCCGTATGTCAACTCTCATCTACCACCAATCCCTCCTCACTCTCTCTACAACACCACTGCTCCATCAGCATCGCACTCACACATGCATGGTTCGCGTCTCAACAGGATCTCGAAGGATGACACCGGTTCCAAGGATGACGATGGTGCGGTCAACCCCGGATCTAATCTATTCGTGACCGGCATCCATCCCCGGCTGACCGAGGCCGAGGTCACCCGTCTCTTTGAGAAGTACGGTGAGGTGGAGAAGTGCCAGATCATGCGCGACCCTCACTCCAAGGAGTCTCGCGGTTTCGGCTTCGTCAAGATGGTCCTTTCCGAGCAGGCTGATGCTGCCAAGGAGGGTCTCCAGGGCGAGCAGATCGAGGGCCGCACCCTCAGCATCGAGAAGGCCCGCCGTGGCAAGCCGCGTACTCCCACTCCCGGCAAGTACTTCGGCCCTCCTAAGCGAGGTAGGTACCCAGGCACATATTTTGCAGCTCAGGCGTCTCACTTCTTGAATGATGCTGATCGATTTCTCCCAGACGGCGGCGGTGGTCGTGGTGGTGGTCGTTTCGACCGCTACGATGATAGGCGCCGTGGTCCCTATGGAGGCGGTGGCGGTGGCTACGGTGGCCGAGATGATCCGTACCGCTACCGTGGCGGCGGCGGCGGCGGCGGCGGCGGCTATGACCGTCGCGAGCGGGACTACGACCGTAACTACGATCGCGGTGGCTATCGCGAGGACCGTGGATACGACCGTGGATACCGTGGTGAGGACCGCGGCTATGGCGGCCGTGGTGGCGATGAGTATAGCCGGGGCGGCGATCGCTATGCTGGCCGAGAGGACCGTGATCGAGGCTACGGAGGCGAGGGACGCTCCTACGGCGGCGGCGGCGGCGGCGGCGGCAGCCGTGAGGACCGCCGTGGCCCTGGCTACGAGCGTGAGCGCTACGACCGGGGTGGTGACCGGGACGCTGCTCGCTCTCGCGACCCTGCCCCTGCGGGCGGTGCCGGCTATGCCGAGTCTGCTCCTCGGGGCGATCGCGAGGCGTACGGTGGCGGCAGCCACTAAACTCGGTAACACCCACCATGGCGTTTGTGGCTAATGCACTTCCACCACCTTTGATCACAGCACAGGACTTGCAGAAGGACTTGGAGTGAGCTTCACAGCAACGCAAAACTCTCCAAAATCTATGCTGCGCCTGCAGGATATTCAACCTACCATACCAATCTTTCCGTCTCGGGACTCGAAGGGTCATATCGGTATCAGAAAAAAAAGAAATTGGGGTTCAAGGAGTTCAGTCAGCTTGTCGTTTTGCAATCTACAGATACGGGTTTAATCGGCATTCTCCGCATGGAACGTCAGCTAGCTTTCCAAAGCTTTCACTATATGCATCGTCGTCGTCGTCTTCGGCAGTACTCTTTCTCCCCCCTTCCCAGCATGGCGAGAGATGAAACGACTTGGGAGTCGGCGTGACTTCTACAATTGCACCCCTTCACTTTTCTCACCCATTCAACCCTTGGATCACGGATCTGTCAACCCTGTCTAGTCTACTGTACGATATTTCATCTCTTCTGTCTCTTCGCGCCAAATTGCATCCGGCAAAAACGGTAAATCTCGGGGCGACATTACAGGCAAGGGGGGTTCTTTCGCTCATATTCGACGGTTTCTTTTCATGTTTTCGTAGTCGCCAATCTTCTGATAAACCCAAACCACACACACCTCTTCGCCGTGACTCCGCAAAACTTCGCCTGGCCTGCCAACATTGAAGCAAACTACGAGCCGCTCTTAAAATCGTACAGCACCTTGATCGCAGTTACTTCGACTTGAAGGAATCAAAATCTAATCGTGTGCCAACCTTGTCATTGAACGCCAGCCACACTACGTCCTTTTTGCCGAGATTAGACCAGATTCGCGCCATTGCTTTGCAGCCACCGCAGAGAAGCCGACAAAACACCCTGGACAATGTGACGATGTCTCATTGCGGAAATCCGCCTTAAACAGGGCTACAACGGGTTTGTGATACCCCATGGCAAGCAACTCTTTTGGGTAAGATGATGGCCTTTTTTGCTTCCGAGAAGCGGGATCGGGAACCTTGACCTCCCCTTGCTGCGGCTCGGTAACGCAAAGCAATGCGCTGACCTGCCGAGAACCACTGGCTGCGAACCGCTCCGTGTTTCGCGATCAAGACAGCCTTGCCCGCATATGCAGGCGGGACACGTGGTGGCTGCAGCCTTGTGACCAAGACATTTGAGAGAGGACGACAGATCTGGGGGGGAGGGGGAGCGGGAAGAACAAAGGTGACTGTGCCTGTGCGACGAGGCTGCAGCAAGCATGCCCACACACACCAGACCTCTCTCATCTGGACTGATTGCCTGATGACTCTCTCTAACTACCTGCTCTGATAAGGGCAAAGTCTTACCCGGTACACTTTTTTCTTGTTTTATTGTTCTTCTGTTGTCTCACTTCGGACAATTTTTGGTCGTTTGTGCATCCCATGCATGAATGGCCGCCCCTTGTTTGGCTTCATGCTAGTTGTCCTTCTTCCCTTTCTCGTTCTAGAAAGCCCTGTTTTGGGCTCGAGGAGGACAATGATGCAATGCTTCCTAGGTGGAGTGAGCGAGCGAGTGAGGGTACCTCGATGCTTCTTGCCGCCGCGCTCTTCTTTCTCTTGTCTTGAAAGCTTTCTTCCATCGAGGTCTCAAGATGACGGCCTTTGTTCACGAGTGTGCTGCCTGTCTTTCCCACCCCCGTGGGCTTTCTTCCATCCGAGTTCTATGAGACAACCTTAGCAAACCCCCTTGCACTAACATGCCTAGGCATGTACTCATAGATGTCGTGATCCCATGTCGTGAGATGAGGCTGGACTCGCCAGATCGTGTCGGTGCCTGCCCTGAATTCGCCATGCATTTTTGATGGTCAAAGGTGATGCTTGCTACCTTGCAAGCCGAGATTCGATAGCAATACAACGAGTATACTCTCACGCGTGCACTGTGCTTCCTGGACGCAGACACCCTGTTTATGATCTACCATCAGGAGACAAGCCCGTTGATGGTCGCCGCATGATCGATCTATGGCATGCTGCTGTTCGGTTCTCATATCATGTGCCTGCCCAGCCTCTTGTGGCCCCCAGACAATCCTTCGCTGAGCAACCATTTTGACGATTATGCTATCCGCTATAGTATCGCAAGCAAAGGATATGTATGTACAGTAGCCATACAAGAAGAATAAACCTTTTTCATAGACAGCCGCCAGACGTCCCTAACTCGCTCATGCCCATTTCGGCCAGGTGACTTCTCGCCTCCCTAGGCAGGCCGGCCTCACTACCCTTCTCCGCTCGATTATATATTTTATTTCTTCAAGGCGTCGTCATCCGCAGCGTAATGTAGAGTGCGGCCCAGAGAGATACTACAGCTCTTCCTACGAGCCCACACTGCTGTCCTTCCTCAGCATCTCCGCCACGTCCTCGTCGATCCCGTCGTCGTCGCCGCCGAGGTCGGGGAAGTCGTCGTCGCCGCCGCCGCCGCCCGAGCCCGAGTCCAATCGGCGCCTCTTATTCGCGCCGTTTGTCGATACCGGCACGGACTGGTACGGCGGCAGCGAGCTCCGGGAGTTGGTGGTGGTGGTGGTGGGGAGCATGCCGTCCATGGCGATCGAAGAAGAAGCGGCGGCGGCGGCGGCGGCGGCGGGCTCGTCATCCTCATCTGCGGGGGGGCCCGCGGGGGGCGGGGTGCCCATGATGTTGTCGTAAAAGTCGCCGGGGCTGTCGTGCGCCGAGGGCGGCGTGAGGGCCTCCACCTCCGGGCGGTCGGGCTCCGGGGCCGGGCTGCCGGACCCTTCCTTGTGCGAGGCCGGGTCGTTGTCGCCGCCGGCGCCGGCGCCGGCCGAGGACGAGGCCAGGCCGCTCATGATGGCGAGCTCGATGTCCTGCTTCTTGGTGTCGACGGTGGCCTTGCGGGACACGAGGTCGGCGAGGCGGGCCTCGTCCTCCTCGAGGGCGGCGCGGTTGGTGTCGAGGATCTTCTCGAGGGCGCCGATGAGCGTCCTGCGGGCCTTGACGCACTCGGCGACGGCGCCCTCGGCGCTGGCGAGGGCCTTGAGGAGGCCGTTGAGCCGGGCCGCGTAGACCGGGGCCGAGGGCACGGGGGCGGCGGGGTCGAACAGCTTGCCGTAGTCCTGGTCCGCCGAGCTGGCCGCGGCCTTGGTCGGCAGGAGCAGCTTGGAGACGTTCTGCTGCGGCGCCACGAGCGCGCTCAGCTCCGAGGGGAAGGCGGAGGAGGAGCTGGACCCGAAGATGGAGCCGCCGCCAAAGGCCGACTTCGGTGCGCCCTTAGCTTTGTCCAGCTCTGTGGTTCTTGCATGTCAGTACGGGGTTTGAGTTGGCGGGGGACAGTGTGATGAAGCAGATTTCGACGGACCTTCAATCCTCGCCTCGATCGCTTCTTGGATCGGCTGCTCAAAGATGTTGCGGTCTTTCCAGACGTCGATGACGCGCCGGAGCTTATTCTGTATGTCAGACGAGCCGCCCTTGTAGGCTGAGGCGGTCGCTTCGGCGATGACGGGTGAGAAGGCGAGCACAAAGTCCTCCTTGTGGCGGGCCTTGGACTGCTGAGTCACTTCTGTTTCCGTTGTTAGCGTGTTGTCCATCCGCCTGACATGACGAAACGTAGCACATAGCCGATGTTTCCATTGAACGGTCGGGCGAGGGCGAGAGGAACACTTGCCGTTCGCGAGATAGATCAGGTTTAGTCTCTTCGGGCTGGGTGAATCCTTGAGCCGCTGCAGCCACAGCTGCACCGTGCGATCTGCATGACGCCTGTCAAGGGGTGAGAGCTTGGTCAGAACAGATTTTGAGAACATGGCTATGCAGGACTTGCAGCCCCGTGTGTTGTGTGGCTAGATTCGACATACCTATGAAACATGATCCATTGTGCCGCCGTGGCGATGCTCTCGTGGCTTTCATTGAGGGCCGAGAGCTTGGCCAGGACGGCATCATCTGTGTAGGCCATGGTGGGAACGGGTTGGATCTGTTATGATATGATATGCCGATGCTTTGTTTGCTTTGGGGAATCGAAAGAAGTGTAAAAGGGGCTTTAAAGATCTACTTGGCAAACTGGTCTCGATGAGCTGAGAGATGCCCGTCTGTGTGATGGTGCAAGAGAGCCGTGAGATGCTTGGTGTAGCCGGGCTTGTTTATCTTTTGCTCATCTACAGGGGGGGCAATATTGTCTACCAGGAGAGGTCCAGTCCACGGAGCAAGCAACCCGTGTGTGTTGCTGGTCTATCGACAGAAACCCAGGTGGTCCAGCTTGTAGTCTCAGGCTACCCCAGGATCGTCAGGCCGGGAAGCAACAATGGCAATTCAACTTGGCTCGTCTATCAATTGTTACACACGACAAAAGTGATGGAAGCTGGCCAGCAAGAGTGGAGGAGCTTTGAATCAATTTATGTTCACTGGGCGAAGGAAAGGAAGCTTGGAGCAGCAGTGAGAGGCGAACTAGGCCCAAAGGGGGCTAGCGCTGCACAGCCTGCATAGCCATTACAGTTAGGTACCGTACAGTGCATGGATACCTCAGGTCTCAGGTACCAACTTCCCAGTAGATGCAACACCTCGATAGAGCAATAGTGCACCTGGATCACACACAGGCTTCTTAGTGCAAACTGTTGACACCTGTTTCTGGCAGGCTAGCGCTTTTGGGGCCGCTGCAGCACAGAGCACACCTGCCTGGCAAGCCAGCTCATTACCATTACAGAGACCTTGTAGTCCATGTCCAACTGGATCTCAACATCGACGTTCAGGAGACTGCCAGCTTGATCAAACACAACATCACCTTTTTCACCACCACCGAGCGCATCCGAACTGCCTCTTGACTCTATCTTGACTGCTCATTCAAATATCACATCTTTCGCTCAACGACATCTACACAATGGCGGATCGTTTTCCCTCCTTGGAGGAGTTCGACTCCGGTGGTAAGTTGCTTCGCATCCCATTCAGCGACCAAGTGCTCATGCTCTATTGCGCGTTTCAACAGCCCAGACAGACATCAAGGACCCTTCCGCAGAGCCCTCCGCAGACGACTTCCTTGCCCGTGAAAAGGCCCTTCTCGGAGACGATGCCAACCAGTTTGCGACAGTAGAGGATGCCGGCCTAGACGGTGACGACGACCTGCTTGGTGGCGGCGGTGCATCTGGCGAGGCTGCTCAGTTTGAGAGCCAGTTCCCCGACATCACCAGCCCCAACGAGGTAGGCAAATGTCCCAGTTTGGCGCGCCGACCCTACTTGAAATGATACTGACGTCAGTCCCCAAACAGGGCCAAGGCATCACCGGACCTTCGGTCAGCTACAACTCGGGCTTCGGCGCCTACACCGAAGAGGAGGAGGAGCCGGAGGTGATCAAGCTGTGGCGGGAGAAGCGGGATGCCCAGAACGCCAAGCGCGCCGAGCAGTTTGCGCAGCAGCGCGACGAGACGGTCCAGGAGGCGCAAAAGAACATTGACGACTTCTACGAGAACTACAACAACAAGAAGGACAAGGCCCTGGCCCAGACCCGGAAAGAGGCCGAGGAGTTCCTCGCCAAGCGCGAGGACACCACTTCGGGCGGCACGAGCTGGGAGCGCATCTCCAAGATTGTCGACGTCTCGGGCAAGGGTGCCAAGGGTGGTGCCGCCGGCTCCGGCAAGGAGCGTTTCAGGGAGCTGCTGATGAGCCTGCGGAAGGATGAGAAGGCTCCCGGCGCGGATGGTTACTAGGCGTTCTCCCAACGCAGGGACTCGGATATCTGGGCTTGATGAGGTTGATGTTTGCTGTGTCGGCACGGTCATCTTCCTATCCCATGCTATCCTACAAAACTCATGTACTTTAGAAGATGCCTTGGAAGGGGTATTAATTCACAACGGAAATGCACGGCGTTCACAACCATGTTTAGGGTTTGTCACAACAGGTGGTGCCTCATCAAGACCATGCACAAACGGCACAATGTTATGCACTTGTATACTTGAACGATGAGATCTGCATAGCAGCAGCACACCAAGCACACATAAGGAAGAGCATGAGAATGCGGCAACGGCGAACGTGTTCGTCGTCATTCCATCTAGAGATATACAACCATCTAACAGGACCATGTCTCGTCCCCTCCATCACCTCGAGTCAAAGTGCTTTACTCCTTGCCGAACCACGTGTTGTAGCCCAGAACCTTGCGGCCCATGGCGTAGGTGGAAGCTGCAGAACGATGTTAGCGTCTCGTGATTATGGTGGCCCGTTGTGCCGTTGAGAAGTCCAAGACATACCGGCGACGCTTCCGTACAGGATGAAGACGAAGGGAGTGTACATCGCGGTGCTTCGGGGGTTCTGCGCCATTTCGTTAGTCCACGGGCTCTTCCTATCACGGCGTGGCCGGGCCCACGGCCGGATCTGTGGCTAGAAAAACTCACGATCCTCCAAATGCGGGTGTGGGCCTTGTAGGCAGCCTGGTAGAAGCGCTGCTTCTCAGGGACGGTGTTCTTTGCGTTGACGAGACTGTGTGGAAGAGAGACGAGGTCAGCGTGCTGGTCAGAGCGAGGCGAGGGGATCGTATGATGCGCCGGTCCTGGCGCCATTGGCGGGCGATGGGACGGCGCAGGGCAGATTGACGGTCGGAATAAGAGTTTATAAACTGTAGATATGCTGCTTACCCCATTGTGATCGTTGCTGGAGGTTTGTAGAGAGGAGATGCGGTGGTGGTCGTTGGGTGGTTCGATGGTTGTAGGAGCTGGAAATCGACGATTGCACGTCAAGTTTGGAGGATACTGTGAGCTTCTGATTGGCGCAGGCTAGCCGAGCGTAAGTGACTAATCAGGAGTGGAGTACCCCCCCGTCGCTCTACGATCCGGTGCGGACCGGCAAAAGTTGAGAGCTCAATACATCAATTTGATTGCTCGGGCAGAATTATTGCATCAAGTCTCGAACCCGAATCCAGATCGTCAGGACCGGCCGGACATTCTTTTTTTCATACAGATTGTCTTACCCGCAACCGACATATCACTGTTCTTACCCAGTGTGCAACAGATGCCACGCAATCGCTTATTATTCCCCGAAAGCGGACCAATGCAATGTTAAAGCGTGCAGTAGCATTGGCATCGCGATGCGACTGGTCTCTGCGAGACTGGGGCAGGTGAACCAGCATGCGGCTCGACCGACGCTTTTCTTGCCCTTTTCAAAGCGGGATCGATCGACTCGTCGGCGCTTGTCAGCCGTCGCGGCCCTAGAACGGACACATGAACGAGAGGCTCCGGTTGCGCACGTCTCATTGTTGGGAGTTCCAGCCAGCGACACTTCCTTATCCACGAGACAAGGCCGAAATACTATCTCCAGGCCTGCGCACGGCTCTTTGGCCCTGTCGCAACAGGATTCGAAGCGAGCATCACTCCCAATCTCCAATACCCATATCTACGGCAAATGGCAGTCGTTACTCCTCGATCCGGACCGGTTGGCTCTGGAGTCTGACTTTCAAAGCCCGGCCACGAACATTGGACGCCTGGTGGACCACCCTGATCATGCCCACGACGTTGCTCTATGGAGCTGCATATTCAACTTCAGGCAGCGTAGAGGACATCTGGACGGTGCTGCAGCGGTGTGGAGAGCGATACTCATGAGAAAATGCCTATACCAGGTCGATGGCCTCATTGCCCAGTCTTTCTGGCACAACGTCCTCAGCACGGCCCTGCACGACGAGTCCTTCCTCCAAAGCACATGGGTTTATGCCGAGTGGATGTACGAAGAACATGGCGTACAGTGGCCGGATTTCTACATTACTGTCCTCTCCTTCTGTATGAACAACCGGCAGCTCGATCGAGCCATCCGTTGGCATGTCCGGCTCAGTGCGCACTTCAACCCAGACAGGGCGACGTTTTTCAACTTTCTGAAGCAATTCTTGCTGGATCCCGACCCTGACATGGTCGAGACCCTACAGTCGATCTATGTCACCAGCAATCATCGGCACCTCTATGACACTCTTATTCCCTATCTGTGGTCGCATGGTCATTCAAGCCTTGCCCGCTCATGGAGGAAAACACTAATTCAGAGGAACGATCTTCCGAAGTCACTTGCGACAAGGCCTTTTTTGGAGTTTATCTCAGGCTATTATCCCAGTATAAACCTCTGTTCGGACGAGAAGGCAGTAGCTGATGCTGATTTGGAGAACAAACATGTTGCCAAACCTTTCAAGCAGGCGAGCAGGCTCCGCGAAGAAGTCTACCGGGCTCACGGCGCTACTTTCGGCATCAAGGAGAAAGACTATAGCGATCAATTTGGAGCACGGTTGTTCGCAAGCTCATGGATTCCGCTTGACGTTGCCATCAACGTCGTCCACGCTCTTGGCGTGACACACATAGGGCCTTTGTCTCTGCAGTCTATCGCGCTGCGGGAAAAGGACGCTCAAGGTGTTCGCCAGCGAATCAACCAGCTTGACAGCCTCCACATTGGGACCGGACCTTCGAGTTACAGCAAAGCCGTCAGACAGCTTGCCACTGCAGGCGACTCGGAGACCTTGAGTACTTTGCTTCATTCTGACCTGCATCCGGACGTTCTAGAAGAGCCATTCACCCTCGAGGAGATACTCCAGTCCAGCGTCAAACATGGCGATCTGCAGAAGTACAGGCTCATCCTCACGGTACGCCTTGCGCTGTCCATGGACTCTCTTGCGGCTTCATCGAACAGTCTCCTGGGATTGAGCTTGACGCAGAACAAAAGAAGCAATGCACTGAGTCTGCTTGAGGACATGCGCTCAAGAGGCGTTCAGGTGCTTCCAAATATCGGTCTCGAGATTTCAAAGATGGTCTTGAGAGATCTTCCTTCTGACTGCGACCCAAACTTTGCCAAGGATGATCTGGATTTCTACATTTCGCTTTGCAGGCAGAGCGCAAACTTGAATGCGCCCCTTTACACTTCGGTCTGGAAGAGAATACTTTTTCAGCTCGCTCAAACGGGCCGTCTCGAGGAACTGGAAGACTTGTCGATTGAGATCGTCGACCGATACCTTGCGCTCGAGTCCTCCGATATTGCAATGGCATACGTTCATATAAACGATGCACCGCGCACGCTCCCGGAGCGGCCTGATCTGCCCGGGTTTCGACTTGTGCCCCGTGATCTTCCTTTAACGCTCGAAGCACACCCTGTCCAACGTTTGTTCGATCGAAAGCTCTGCAGAGCTATCGTTGAGTTCTCTTTTCGGTTTATGGTCAACGGCTCTCCTCCCAAACTTAGCACCTGGACCTCACGTGGCGCCATCAATATTGCAGATTTTGATGTTGCTCGCGGAGTCAGACTGCTCCGGGTGTTGAAGGATAGAGGCGTCAACATCAATGATGCCCTGGTGCGCCGGGAAGTTCTGCTCAAGCTAGCCGCGCTCTACGGACCGGTGATCAAGCGCCCGACGCGGGCGTCTCAGGGTAGGACAATGCGCGGACTTATTGCTCGACGACGTGCGAACCGCCTCAGTCTGGCCGAGGTGAAGGGTCTGTGCGATCGAGCTTGGGACGGCGATCTTTTGGGTCCTCTGGAGGCCATCGATGACTTTGTCAAACGCACCACTGATTCACGCCGTCGACGGGCGTGAAGGGACATTGTATAATTATTCTCATGTGGCATTAGCCCGCAGCGACTACGTTTTTGGTTAGCATTTACATCAGGAGGGACATGGTGGGCATGATACCCGTCCGAAAGGACAAATCTGTATGAACAGAGCTTATCACTTTTCATAATGACAATTTCGTATAGTATATAGACCAAGACCTTGGTCGTCATCACATTCTTCGAAACCGGTCACTTCTAGATGATGTACATTCAGGGTATTAAAATACTACACTTGGGGACGCCAAACACATGCTGGAAAACAGTCAAGAAAACCAGGGTGTATAGTCACCCGCTCTACCCATCGCCGCCCTTCTTCTTCGGCTTGATCACCAACAGGATGATCATGCCGACGATGATTAATATGAGCAGCAGGATGATCTTGCGCTTGGTCGTCTTGCGCTGGTACCCGGAGGCCACCTTGATCTCCTTCTCGGCGGCCTTGACGTCGGTGGCCATGCGCTCGACGTTGTAGTCTATCCGGTCGAGCATGGTGCCCTGGTCGATGACCATGGTCTGCAGGTCGCGGAACAGGTCCGACAAGTCGATGATGCCCTGCGCGATCTCCTCGATCTCGCGCTCGCGCTGCATGATGGCGGCGTCGTTGGAGTGCAGCATCTTTTGCTGCGAGGTCGCCTGCAGGGTCGACTGGGAGAAGGACCGGTCGGCGTCGGACTCGAGCAGGGACGGGTCCGTGTACCCCGTGCTGGGCATCGGTGTGGACGACCGGTCGCCGGTCGGCGTGAGCGAGCCGCTCATGCCTCTTAATTCTGGGGGAGGGAAAGGGAATCTCGTTAGCATATATGATCATGCGTGCTACCCCCCCGAAGAACAATTACACGGGTCTTGTGGGTGGACTCACTCTTGAGGTAGGCGCTCTGCTTCTTTCTGAAGCCGGCGCTGGCCTCCTGCACCCTCGACGCGAGGGATATCTGGATGTTCTTGGCCATCGTCTCCTCGGCCCGCGACAGGCTGCCCTGGCTCCGCGACTCCCGGACCATCTGCTCGATGCGCTGGATGCAGCGGTGGCACTCGTGGAAGCCGCGCGTGATGCCCTGCGTCAGCTTCTCGATCTCGCCCTCCTCGGCCTTCTTGGCCTCGTCGTCGTTGAAGCCGGGCAGCACGTGCTTCTGGTGCAGCCGCTCGAGCTTCTGGCTCCGGCGCGCGATGTCGCCGAGGAGGTCCGTCACCTCGTCCGAGACGTCGGCCCAGCGCGGCGGCAGCAGGTCCATCTCGATGACGGCGTCGCCGTCGTCGCGCTGGTCGTAGGCGCCGGCCGCCAGCAGGCCCGTCCGGTCGCCGCCGCCGTCGTCGAAGGCGCCGCCGCCGCCGACGGAGGCGGAGAAGGCCGTCGCGGTCGAGGCGCCCAGGCCGTCCGGGGCGCCGAACCGGTCGACCGAGGGGGAGAGGCCGTCGCCATACCGGGTCCGCTTCGCGGGGTGGTGGGCGTAGGACTGCCGGTAGGAGATGTAGCTGTTTGTGGGAAAAGCCCCCGGCTGGTCAGCAGGAGGAACTTCCCCCCTGGGGTGTGTGTCTCTCGCGCAGCAAAGCTGCCCAAACTTACAGGTTGGTGCGGTCTCGCCACATGGCGACCGCCTACCTAGCTTCTTTCGCGAGCCAGCTATCCACCGCCCTGCTTTCTGGTTCTCGACACTTTGGGACGGATAGCTGGTTGTTCTCCGGTGACTCGTACTCGTGATTACATGCCGAGTTGGTCCTGACAACAAGTCGAAAATAAAGAGACGATGCGTGACGCAAAACAGGCCATCAACTTTTGTCGGTACAACCAGTGAACGGACACAATTCCACACAGCTTGCTTGAAGGGGGTTGAGGCTGAGGAGAGGCTGGGGTAGTGATTGGGCCGTTGATGCAATATGCCTAATACAAGTCGGACCTGGCCCACGTCAGCACCTTTATTTAGCGCCTCAGTCTTGGGGCGGGTTGGACTGCTACAGCACCTGGGCAGCTCCGGCGGCTCCCTCTCGGCGACCGTTTTAGGGGCCACTTTGCAAAACCGGGATGCTGACGGGCAGCCCGAGGGCAGTCACGTGTGATAACCGGGTTAGGTTGCCTCAACAAGGCAGCCAGGCATTCTCCCTAGGAGAGTGTGGTGGCGGCCCTTCAGGTGCCCTGTGGGATTGGAGCGGTGACGGCGTGTTTCAGCAACGTTGAATCCCAGCTTGGCCCAGCTCCCCACCTCCATCCAGAGCGCGCACACACACACACACACTTGCTTGACGAACACACAGCACTGCCCAAAGGACTCACTGGGCCGCCATCCACTCTCGCACCACCCGCACCGCACCCTGTGTTAGGTCCCGACGCCGCCCATAGCTTCCCTGCCAAAAGGGCGACATCACCCTTCCCCATAATAAGTACATTATCTCTGCCCATCCCCAGCTAGGACGCAACCTGAATCTTTCTCCAAGACCACAATTCAGTGACGAGTTCTTGATTGCGACTTTTTTTCTTACAGGCCATCTAGGCATCAAACGATCTTTTTCTCGACACACACCCTCTCCAATCTACCCCATCACACCAACCTCGACACCATGGTTTGTCTCCCGCCCTCCCTGGCCAGCCCCGCGTGCCGAGAGGGGTTGCGCGCTCTTGAGGATTTGGACTGACGGCGATGCTCACGGACAGGCCGACTCTCTTACCGAGGAGCAAGTTTCCGAGTTCAAGGAGGCGTTCTCCCTGTTTGTAAGTCCTTTGTCAAATTACTGGTGCCTTTGGCCCCTTTACTGCCCTGCCCTGTTTCTCCCCTGTGGTGTGCTTGTTGTTCTACCCGACCAGGCTGCTAACCACTTTTTGTCAACCTGCAGGACAAGGACGGCGATGGTTAGTACAGCCCTTCTCAGCCTTCACCGACTCTTTATTGCCTCGCCATTCAGCAACTACAACAATAATGGCCTGCATCTTCGCCATTCACTACATACCTTGAAAGGAGTACACCTGGCTGAACTATGATATGTAGGACAAATCACTACCAAGGAGCTGGGCACCGTTATGCGGTCCCTTGGCCAGAACCCCTCCGAGTCTGAGCTGCAGGACATGATCAACGAGGTCGACGCCGACAGCAACGGCACGATCGACTTCCCTGGTAACTTTCTAGCAACCCCGCAGTATCTCAGCCGGGCCACTAATGCTGTGTTACAGAGTTCCTGACCATGATGGCTCGCAAGATGAAGGACACCGACTCCGAGGAGGAGATCCGTGAGGCCTTCAAGGTACGGCTTGGCTCGCAGCCAGAACGATTCCTGGCCCAATATTCTAACTTGTGCCTCCTCCAGGTTTTCGACCGCGACAACAACGGCTTCATCTCGGCTGCTGAGCTGCGCCACGTCATGACCTCCATCGGCGAGAAGCTGACCGACGATGAGGTCGACGAGATGATCCGCGAGGCGGACCAGGATGGTGATGGACGTATCGACTGTAAGCTCGCTCTTACCCCGCCCTCATGGCGACTCTCGAGTGCTAATATATTGCAGATAACGAGTTCGTCCAGCTCATGATGACGAAATAGACAATTCGTTCCTAGCATGGCCTGGACATCTCTTTATTTCTGCGTAATCACGAAAACACATCGTTGGCCTCACACGCCTGACCCACGCCTTTTTCTTTACTGTTCTGGATTGAGTTGAGCAGCCTGTTTCGGAAACAAAGCAATCCCCTTTTATTGCTTCTGAATTTTTGCTACTCGAGGATTTCCTATGCTGGATGATCAATGAGAAGCACGAGTGGATGAACGAAATATGAAGTGGTGACATCTGTTCCCAAGTTTCTAATTGTCGGAGCTGCTTGCTCATCAATCAGCCGTTTCGAGTGGCTTCAAAACATGTTGTATCGGGGATCAAGCCCAGGAGTTCGGTCCTAGAGTTGGTCCATCCTGTCTGTCAATCAATTGAATTCTGACCACCACCGTTGTGAACCCTTTGCAAGTCCATCTTCAAGTGTATGCGTGCGCCATTGGCCCCTCTCGCTCTCTTCAGCTACCCACGCACGCCCACGCTTTTCCATGATCATGCGACTCTTTTCCGCATGTCAAAGATGGATCTCTAGATAGCCCAGATCCTCCCCCATCTATTTCTGGAAATTGCATGTGAGAGACATGCCAGACCCTGCATTGGGAAGTCCCGATAGTCAGGGACGATGCAGCCCGAGGGTGGCAGTGCTCTCTAGCGCCCGCATCTTTGCACGTTTCCTGTCAACATCACTTGCTCCTACCAGCCTTACCGGAAGCAAGTCCATCTTGGCCCGGCCCATAGACGAGAAGCAAGCGGTCCCAGTGGGACCTTTTTTCTCTTTTGAGGATGCTGTGCCGGGTCCCGTGTTCTGCTGTGTTGTTTGTGAGCTGTCGGGTCCTTACCCATGGCGATGGTTGGGCCATCGTAGTCTCTGTCCCCTTTTTGGTGTTGTTGCTGCCCCGCCAAATGCCAAGCCGCCCTCCACTTTCCCAGGTCAGCCAGCGCAGTCCGACCCCGTTTTCTTGATCAGTGCCTGGAAGTCAATCGAGCAGTTGGGAGTTGTGTCTCGAAGGGACCGAAACTTTAGTGCACCAGTGGCGGAAACAGGCGGGTTCCCCCTAAGCTTAACGGGCTGGAGCCCCTTGATCCCTGGCTTCTTAGCGGTGAGATTTGGGCAGCGTCTGTGCTGTATTGACTCTGGACCGGCCCGCGCTATCGTCTTTTGGCTGCAGCCCCAAGTTGCCCAGGTCCCATATCACACGCTGAACCGTGTCTTAGCCAAGACTTGCACGCCTCCACTGTGACGCTGATTCCAGCATGAGAAGTGGATTTGGAAGGATCTCATATTGTAATGGGTTTCTTGACTTCGTCCTTTCATCTGTACATTAGTTGCCTACGTGTGATCATTGTAGTTGCAGGTGCTTGCTGGGTCTTTTCTCTCCTTCTGCATCTTCGTTCTATTTTTTCCTCATCAGGGTTCGGCGCGCGTTCAAAGATCCTTCCTGTTTGGTGGTACATTCGCGACACCTCTCCCTCCCTGTGTACCTTGCATTCATTGGCGTAAGACATCTTGAGAGACGGGTTGTCAGACGGAAAGACGGTCGCTTTTGACGAGCATCTGGCCCGCGGTCCAGCGATGTCAGGCTCGTGTCGCGTTTTCGGAGGCTTTCCACGTTCCTAGGCGAGTCGAATATTTGTCAAGCCGACCCTCAGGCCCCTTAGATCAGAACCATGGGCCCCTTGAGACGGTGGAAGCCGCTGATAGCCATTGTTGCCCTTTGGCTGCTCATCTGCTACTTCTTCCTCGCCGACGACTCTTTAGAGACTCGAGAGACTCGCCGGCCGCTGTCACAAGACGCCACTCACACTCAACCAAAAGGTGGCAAGGGCGGCAGCCACGACGGCAAAGTTCGCTGGAGGAAGACGGCCCCGCGTTATCCGGTTGAATCTCCTCGATCCCTCCCGAGGGACAAGCCGTACGCCGAGATACCCCGGATCCAGAAGTACCCCGTGCCGGAGGAGAGCAAAGACGCGCGGGCAGTCCGCCTGCAGCGCCTCGCCGCCGTTAAGGAGAGCTTCGAGCACAGCTGGGCCGGATACAAGGAGCACGCATGGCTGCGCGACGAGGTCGCACCCCTGAGCGGGGAGGCAAAGGACCCGTTTGGCGGATGGGCGGCCACGCTGGTCGACACGCTCGACACGCTCTGGATCATGGGCATGAAGAAGGAGTTCGAGGAGGCCGTCCGGGCGGCGGAGGGCATCGACTTTACGTACACCGAGGCCAAGGCGATCAACGTCTTCGAGACGACCATCAGATACATGGGCGGGTTCCTGGCCGCGTACGAACTGAGCGAGAAGAGATATGCTGGCTTGTTGAACAAGGCAGTGGAGGTGGCAGAGCTTTTAATGGGAGCGTTTGATACGCCGAATCACATGCCAATCTCGAGATGGGACTGGGCAGAGTGAGTTTTTTTCCCCGGCAGTTGGTTGTGGCTGCAGCCAAGAGAGAAGAGGCTAATATGGCGGCGCAACAGTTACATGGAGGGTACGAAGCAGATCGCGCCCAACTCGGTGCTCGTAGCAGAGATTGGCTCGCTGTGCCTCGAGTTCACCAAGCTGTCGCAGCTTACGGGGGACATGAAATACTATGACATTGTGCAGCGCATTGCAGATGAGTTCGAGAAGAGCCAGCATTCGACCAAGTTGCCGGGCATGTGGCCGGTTGTGGCAGATGCACAGAAGATCTCGTTTACCCAGGACTCGCTGTTCACCCTCGGCGGCATGTCGGACTCGCTCTACGAGTACTTCCCAAAGCAGTACCTCATTCTTGGCGGGACATTGCAGCAGCCGCGCAAGATGTACGAGGACTTTATCGATGTCGCCAAGAAACATTTGTTTCGCCGAGCGCTCAACGAGAACGATACCCCGCTGCTCATCTCTGGCGAGGCCAGGGCATACACCTACAGCACAGGCGGCAGTGTGCAAACAGCCGCGAAAGGGCAACATCTCACGTGCTTCACCGGTGGCATGGTCGGTCTCGCGGCCAAGATCTTTGACCGTCCCGACGACCTTGATATCGCCGCCCAGCTCACAAACGGATGTGTGTGGTCCTACAACATCACGGAGTCGGGCGTGGGTCCCGAGATATTCACATTTGTCCCCTGCGGCCAGATAGAGGATCTCCAGACGGGGCAGCGATGCAAGTACACCAAGGAGAAGTGGCACGAGGCTGTCCAGCAGCACTGGAACCCCACCCAGGGCACCGGCCCGGCGCCGGAGGATGTGATCCTCGACACTATCAAGAGGCACCAGCTGCCCACGGGCATGGTGGGCGTCAACGACCCAAAGTACATCCTGCGGCCGGAGGCCATCGAGTCGGTCTTCATGATGTACCGCCTCACGGGCGACGCCGCGTGGCAGGACAAGGCCTGGACCATGTTCGCCAACATCGAGCGGCACACGCGCTCGGGCATCGCGTCGGCGAGCCTGCGGGACGTGACGGTCGAGAACCCGGTCCAGTTCGACAGCATGGAGAGCTTCTGGCTGGCCGAGACGCTCAAGTACTTTTACCTCGTGTTCGCCGACTTTGACGTCGTGGATTTGGATAGGTGGGTGCTGAACACGGAGGCTCATCCCTTGGCGAGGCCTGACGTGTAGGGAGTGGGTGGGGTGTGTGTGTGACGGGACAATGACTCTTGACTTGCCGGCCTTTGTACGATATCGTTGTTGTTGTTTGTGCGGGGGTTCCAACAGCGTTTTCAGGACAACCGCTTGCATCTCAAAAGATGAGCGAACTCGGCATTATAGAGGGCAATACAAAAAGGATGGCGCTGGGAATCCACAAAGCGACGTACATGTCTTTTGAGAAAGTCGAGAATGACATGTCTCAATTCTGACGCCATGCGTGGGGATTTGGCAATGATTGTGAACGACAACTAAAATCCCATGAACCCTATAATCGGGGTTCCAATCCCATTAGCTATGAGACCTTCTTCTCTTGTCACTATTGCAAGACCTCTTTTATCTTCGTCTCAGGTGTATGAAAAGTCGAAACGGAGAGAGAGGTGATTTTGTGGCCTGAAAATTCCGGCGCCCACATTTTCTCCAACGTGTGCTGTGCTGCCATTGAACCCCACCAATCAATCGGTCATCACAGGTAGTAGGCACGGTCCGCCGCCATCTTCAACCACGTCGAAAAGGGACCTTGATCGAGGAGGGCTACGACAGGCAGGTCGCAAACTCCGAACAAACCCAACAACCCCTTCTAGATCGAGCTGGCCAGTGACCATAATCACTGCCCCACGCCGGGCTCATGAATTACTTCCAGATGTCGTCGCGTAAGTGATCGCTCTTGATGGCTGGCCCTCGCTAGCCTCCAGCACACCCACCCCTTAAGTGTCTGGTCCTTGATAGCTCACGCTTCGCCTCGCAATCACGCAGTCAAGCAGTTCATTCGGAATGTTCGGGCGTCGAAAACGATAGCGGACGAGCGGGCGGTCATCCAGAAGGAGAGTGCCGTCATTCGAGCTAGCTTTCGTGAAGAGAGCGGTGATCACACCGTACGGTATGGGCGCGCCTTTCCACCGCAACTCGCAGAGATCTCTCCCCTTCGGACGACTGACATGTGACCTTCCCCCCAGGCGGAACAATGTCGCGAAGCTCCTGTATCTCTTCACGCTCGGCGAAAGGACGCATTTCGGACAGATCGAATGCCTGAAGCTGCTTGCCTCCCCCCGGTTCGCCGACAAGCGTTTGGGACACCTGGCGACTAGTTTGCTGCTGGACGAGAACCAAGAGGTCCTGACGCTGGTCACAAACTCTTTGAAAAAGTGAGACAAAAGCTCCGATATGCGTCGTCATGGTTTGTGCTGACTGTCTGTTCTCTCCAGTGATCTTTCCCACTCCAACCAGTACGTCGTTGGACTCGCGCTCTGCACACTAGGCAACATCGCCTCGGTCGAGATGTCAAGAGATTTATTCCCCGAGATCGAAAACCTCGTGTCGACTGCCAACCCGTACATCAGGAGGAAAGCAGCGCTGTGCGCCATGCGGATATGCCGCAAGGTGCCAGACCTGCAGGAGCACTTCGTTGAGAAGGCCGCACAGCTTCTGTCGGACAGGAACCATGGTGTCCTGCTGTGCGGGCTGACCCTCGTCACGAGCTTGTGCGAGGCAGATGAGGAGGAGGGTGGAGAAGAGGGTATTGTCGAGAAGTTCAGGCAGTTCGTGCCTGTGCTCGTCAGGACCCTGAAAAGCTTGGCGTCCTCTGGCTATGCCCCCGAGCATGATGTCACTGGCATCACCGATCCGTTCTTGCAGGTCAAGATCCTTCACCTCCTACGTGTGCTTGCTCGCGGAGACTCGGAGGTCACCGAGCAGATCAACGATATCCTGGCTCAGGTCGCTACCAACACCGACTCCTCCAAAAACGTGGGCAACTCGATCCTTTACGAGGCCGTGCGCACGATTCTCGATATCGAGGCAGACTCGGGTCTCCGTGTCCTTGGCGTGAATATCCTCGGCAAGTTCCTGACGAACCGGGACAACAACATTCGCTATGTCGCCCTGAACACCCTTATCAAGGTAGTCGCGATTGAGCCGAATGCTGTTCAGAGACACAGAAACACCATCCTGGAGTGTCTGCGGGATCCTGATATCAGTATCAGGAGGAGAGCCTTGGATTTGAGCTTCACTTTGATCAACGAGAGCAATGTCCGTGTCCTGATCCGGGAACTACTCGCCTTCCTCGAAGTGGCCGACAACGAGTTCAAGCCCACGATGACAAGCCAGATCGGTATCGCTGCGGACAAATTCGCTCCCAATAAGAGGTGGCACATCGACACAATGCTGAGGGTTCTGACCCTCGCCGGAAACTACGTCAAGGAACCCATCATGTCCTCGTTCATCAGATTGATCGCTACGACACCCGAGTTGCAGACGTATGCAGTGCAGAAGTTGTACGCAAACCTGAAGAAAGACATCACCCAGGAGAGCTTGACGCAAGCAGGCTCGTGGTGCATCGGTGAGTACGGCGATACCCTGCTCAGGGGTGGCCAGTATGAGGAGGAGGAGCTCGTGCAAGAGGTGAAGGAAAGCGAGGTGGTCGACCTCTTCACCACAATCCTCAACAGTAGCTATGCTACCCAGGTCTCGACCGAGTACATTGTGACTGCCCTTGTGAAGCTCACTACCCGCTTCTCCGAGGCGGCACAGGTGGACAGAATCCGGAGGCTGTTGGAGAGCCGCCAGACCAGCTTGGACGTGGAGATCCAGCAACGTTCAGTCGAGTACAGCAACCTTTTCTCATACAGCCAGATCCGAGCGGGCGTGCTTGAGAAGATGCCGCCGCCGCAGATCAAGGAGTCGTCTCGCGTCCTCGGCGAGGCCACGACAACCAAGAAGACCAACAAGGCAGCCAATCGCAAATCCAAGGTGGTCAAGCCTTCAGAACAAGACCTGCTTTTCGACCTCATGGGAGACAGCAGCCCTGCCCCCTCTGCGACAAATGGCACTTCGCAGAACAACGCCGACCTGCTTGCCGACATCTTGGGCGGCAGCACCACCTCGCCTCCTCCTTCGTCCTCCTCCCCAGGCCCGCAGCAGTCAAATGTTGCTTCCATCATGGACCTGTTCGGACCCGGGGCCGCATCTGCCTCGTCTCCTGCTCCTCCCGCCGCAGCAATGCCGTCCTCTAACCTCGACCTCCTCTCGCCCGTGTCATCGCCGCCACCCGCACAAGCACAACAAGCTGCACCTCCAGCCGCCGCCGCCGCCGCCGGGCACGCCTGCTACAATAACAACGGCCTCGTCGTCACCATCGCGACGCAGCGCAATGCTGAAGGTGTCGTGCAGGCGTCTGCGCGCTTCCGCAACGTCGGGGGCGGAACGCCGCTCTCGGGTGTGGGCCTGCAGGCTGCCGTGCCCAAGTCGCAAAAATTGCAGCTGCAGGCGATCTCGAGCACGGAGCTGGGACCGGGCCAGGAGGCTACGCAGCTGATGAGGATCACTGGTGCTACAGGGGTAAGTTTACGCTCTCTGGGCTTCTTCCTTGCTTATCTCTCCAAAAGACGTTTTGCTAACCGGTTGTCTTTTCTTATAGCCTCTTCGTCTGCGGTTGAGGATCGGGTATTCCAGCCCTTCGGCCGGGCAGGTCATGGATCAAGTCAACTGGACGGAGCCCTCGTAGATCCCCCCCAAGGGGCGAAGGGGGTTCCCTTTGGGGCGCGAGATGTGAGCAGTGATGAAAGCGGCGTGTAGTTGGCATGCTTTTATGTGATAGAAAAAGACCACGGGATGATAATACATTCAAAAAAAGTGTCTTTTGACATTGGAAATGACATGTGATAATAGCGCAGCCGGCATAAATGGACAAAGATAATAAATCAAACAATGACGAGCTCCAAGGAGATTTCTTGGGCCAGGCTGGGTTGGCTCATCGGCGACGTCCACCAGTGAGTGCTCAGAGTAGTAGACAACACGATTTGCAGAAAGGTAGATGGAATTAATGTAGCTAGCTAATCATCCTAGAAAGCCCGTCTCCGTCCACGATTCAGGGTTTTTTGATCCATTTTTTACGATTGCACAAATTTGGGTGAGAGTGCAGCAGACGTCCGGGCTTTGGGGACGTGGCTCGCAGCTCGTCGGGAGAAACGAAAGGGCTAAATACTAGATTGGATATGAAGAAAAAGGACAAGGAGATGATAAGGAAAAGCCTTTGAACGCCGTAAAAAAAAAATAGGGTTGTAAATGCCAAGCACAAATAACGGTTCATTCTAGATCAGACAGCCGTTTCTGCTGGTAAAGAGCTCTTCGCCCATTTCCATCATGACTGCTGCTGCTCTTGGGGCTTGCCCTCGTAGAACCAGTACCTGAACAAGCAAAGCAGTGGTTAGTTAGTTTCCAAAATCCTGCCTCCTCTCCGTTTCTGGACCCCTTGGGAGGAGCAAAAAAACTTACTGCGCGGCATACTGCACCTCGAAGCTGGCGGGCATGTCCTTGCAGGAAGGGGGCGCGCTGCCGCCCACCGTCTCGACGCGGTAGACCTCGCGCAGGTCGCCCGTGGCGCCCTCCTTGGCGAGCAGCTTGAGCCAGGGCACGGCGGCCTCGCCCTTCTGGCCGCGCGGGGCCCCCGCGGGCGCCGGCTCGGTGTTGTTCTTGGCCGTGGGCGCCGTGCCGATCTGGTCCGCCGGCTGGGCGTCGAGGTCGAAGAAGGGCGTCGTGGGGTCGCGGAAGAAGTGGCGGCCCGACACGACGAGCTGCGAGGGCGCGAGGCGCGCCGTGACCGTCAGCGGGGTCTCGCCGGGCCGCAGGGCGAGGCCGGCGGCGAGGGACGCCTGGGCCAGGGGACCCATGAGCTCGGGCTGGGCGGCGGCGAGGCACGAGGCGTTGTAGAGGGCGGCCACGGCGCCGGCGAGGACCGGCGCGGCGGTGTCGTTGGCGCAGGTGTAGTTCTGCGTGCCGCGGCCGATGGCGACGTGCTTGAGGACGAGGCCCTTGGTCGGGTCCGGGAGGGAGGACGGGGCTTTGCGGGTTTTGGTTCCATGTTAGCACACACGAGTTTGTCGAATTACTGTAAGTGCGAAGGGGGGGGGGGGGTGGAGGGTGTGGAGGCTTTCTGAGGGGACGGGACTTACACGGCGGTTGGCGGGGGAGGACGGCCTTGGTCAGGTCGCAGGCCGGGGCCTCGGCGAGGCTCTTGCTCTGCTGGACCTTTTGGGCCAGCTTGTTGAAGTAGTCTGAGAGGGCGTCGAGGCCGGCCGGGGTGACGGCGTCGACGTTGAGCTGGGGGTAGGTCGGGGCGGCGACGGCGAAGGCGGCGAGCGCCGAGAGGAGGAGTGTTGAGGCGTGCATTGTGGAGTTTGTTGCCTTTGATTTCTGTTTCCCTTGCCGCGGTGTGCTTGGTTTCCTTCGAGTCTGATCTCTGTGGACACAGGATAGGTCTGTTCCTGAGAGAAAGTTCGAGTGTTGATTTGGTATCGTGAGGGTGTTCGTGTGTGAGTCGTGGTGAGAGGCCCAAACAATGAAAAATAAATATCCCAAAGAGAAATCACAACCCAAGATTCACGAGAGAGACCCAAAGAGACACGACGTAAAGGAAAACTAAGGAAATAGAGAAGAAAAAAGGGAAAAAAAGGGAAGAGTCGTCAAGATTGGAAAGGATCTGACGATGGTGATATAGCAAGATGCATGGTGTTTCTTCTCTTCCTCCATCTCGAAGAAGGAGGGGAGGGTGATCTTATTATACCAGCCTCGTCGACGCCCGGCAGCAGCAAGCCGTCCGTTCCCGTATGGCTACCCCATGTCGTCCGGGCGGCACGCAATACAGCAGCAGGCCGTGGCGGTCAAGTCAAGCCGTCCATCCAATCTATCATCCTTGTCTAGGAGGGCAAGGGTTCGCTCGTCCACTTAGACGGGCTCTGCAGGGGACCCGGGGTGGAACTGGACGAGAGAAAAGTTGGCCGCGTCTATGGGCCGGGGGATGGGTACCGGCGTGTAAGCCGTGGGGAGGGGAGAAGGACTGGCTGGGCTTGTTCCGTTCTGGCAGCCGCCTCCCAGGAATAGAATAAGCTCTGCGGGCCTGGTGGACATGCATGGCGGGTCGCAAGAGGAGAGAAGAGATATTGATTGCATCCTGGGGGATGTGGTTGGCCGAGGCAAGCGATCCAATAGATCTGGTGACAGGGATGCCGGGGACCAACGAGATGCGATCTGGCAGCCACACCACCCCGCCGTAAGCGCCCTGGCTGCCCAGTCGTGTGCCTTGGTCCGGCTGTACATGATGGGCCAGGAGCAGAGCAAGTAGAGGTGCCGGTCTGCCACTGGGCAACTCCTCGGGGATATCTGCAGCAGATGTTGGGCTCAGTTGCACCGCATGCTCTTGCTACAGCGACACCCGAAGACGACGAGGCTGGAAATCAGGAACTTTATTGGCTTGTTCTCCCGTGTTACTCACTCAGTAGCAGCAGCAGCAGCAGCAGAAGAAGAAGAAGAAAGAAGAAGAGATGAAGACTGTGTAGAGTGGTGTGCTCGCGGCTTCACATTTCCAACTTGGTGAATCCGCCGACTACCTACCGTGCCCTCCGGGGAGCCAAATCTCTCCGGCGTGGTGTACAGCCAGAATAGCTGCTGCACTTGTCTCTCTAAGCAGCAGGACGAGACCTGTAATGAATAAGCAATCAGCTGCCCATCAGGGCAAGGCGGCAATGGGCTTGCAGCTGCAGATGGCCTGGCCTGGGTAGGGTAGTGTAAGAGGGTGGGTGAGAGAGTGTGTGGGTGTGTTAATCTGGACCGTTCGATATCCGGCGGTAAAAGCCCAAGATTAGCAACCAAGCGCGGATCCAAGAATAGGTAGCAAGCAAGAAGGACACTAACAATTTAACCTACGCGCGGCTTCCCGTCTGCTAGCAAGTTGAGACTGGCTAGGAGTTTATTAGTTAGGAGGTCGTTAGCCCAGATGTCTAAACAGACAAGGATGATGATGATGATGATGATGATGTGGATAGATGCCCAGGTAGTAAATCGACGCCCTCCGTCCAGGACTGGGCCAAGCTACACAACCGCCCGTAGACAGCGATGCGCCCGCTCCCGCCAAAACCTGCTCTGTACAATGTTTCGGCTTGCCGTCCTCCAGGCTGGCACTTCTGATTGGCTTCTCGGAAGAGCCAGCCTAATGAGCGCTGTGGCCGCCGGATGTGGCCAGCGCCTAGGTCCTCTGCATGCTGTTGCCGGTATCCCGTTCCCCAGATGAGAGAGAGAGAGAGAGACAGCCTCTGCGGTCACAGGGTCTCTTGGAGACTCTGGTGACGTGCGCAGTTGTGTATGTGTGTATGTGTGTGTGTGTGTGTGTTTCCGTGACGATCAGGAGAGATGGTACGGGACACTCCCGGCCAACCAAAGCTGCCTGCAGTTTGCTGGCGAGCAACGTGGAGGGTGGTGTAAGGACAGCAGGCTGCAGATGAGAAATCTCCAGACCCAGCACCAATCTGGTGAGTAAGGTACACTGGTAATAATAGACTGCAGCAGACGCAGACCAAACACCACCCTTCAGCTAAAGGGACCGAAAGGAAATCTCTGCTTGGACCCTACCGACAGACATGCACCGAAGGCTTCGACGTTGCATCTGTCCCGAAGTCTGCTGCACTGGCGGTCGAATGCCTTGTCTTGGCCAGAAATAGAGCAGTCAGGTCAGTAAGTATATCATATTGCGACGCATCACTTCGAAACCTGCAGATAAAGTGCAATCTATCTAGCAGACGACAGGCCGTCAGAGTCACATCGATGAATGTGAAAGCCTACCAGGAGTGTCGTATTTGGCATGTCTTGGTAAGATTGGGTTTTAATATGGAAGCCCCAGTTCCCGCCCGGTTGTCAATCTTTTCTTGGCTTGGACGGCATACCGTTCCGGCGGGACAACACAACAACCACAGGTTCGCCTTGCCTCCGACCAATAACAGCCGGAAAATATCAAAGAGGCCGAAATGTTTGTTGGCATCCAGCATCGACAAATATCACTGTATCGAAATGAGTCGTGTCTAGAAGTAGCCCACAGCAGATGACTCCCGTAGAAACGTGACGATTGATCGACGAATTCACGAAGTATGAGAGAACAGAACCCTTTAGTCACGGTGTGAAGGACGAAGACACCAGAACTAGAGAGTATGCACCGAGCTGTACGGAACGACCAAGACTCTTGCCGTGAGACCAACGTGTATAGCACCTCTTCACAAGCGAAGATACGAGAAACCGTACTGCTTCTCGAAGATTTTGATCTACCTAATGTACACACGTCCAAGCAAAGATCTTCGACTTCTCCGTACACGAGTGACATGTGTCCCGGCGGGACTCCCTATGCCGCTGAACCCGAAAATAAACCCAATACATTACATCTACAACACCCATTCATCACCGCCCTCATGCATTGAACCCTTCCTCGCGCCAGCTCCCACCGGCTGCCTTCCCACCACCCACACCACCACCACCACCACCACCACCACCGCCGCCGCCCGCCCCGGCCGCTACGACAGCGGCAGCGGCGTTGCCCAGGTGCGTGGCGGCGTGCTGCTCCGCGTCGGCCGAGCCGAGCCAGTACAGCGAGAAGAAGACGAGGACGTGCAGCGCGACGCAGTACGCCGCGAACAGGTTTCTGCTCGTGCGGCTCGCCAGCACCATGCGCGTGACCGAGTACACCACCCGCTCGGGGAACGACATGCGCTTGTACGCGCGCGCCGACTCGCGGCCCCGGAACGCCGCGAACGGCGAGATGTTGCTCTCGTACGCCTTGCGGTAGCGGTCGAGCGCGATGCCCGGGTTGCCCGTGCCCCCGATCGACACGGTTGACGGGTTGGGGTTGGCGCTGTAGGCCGACGCCGACGCCGACGACGACGAGCTCGCGCCCGCCGCCGTGTGGTGCGTGCCGCCCCGGCCGCTGAAGCTCGACACGTACCGCGTCTTCTCGTACAGGTTGAGGTTGTCCTTCTGCAGGGCCGCGACCTCCTGGCGGAGCTGCGACAGCGTGCGGTGCGAGTCCGACAGCTCCTGCTCAAGCTGGGCGTTCCGCTTCTTGAACCTGTCCCGCTGCGCCGTGATCATGGGCAAAATCCCCGAGCCGCCTCCCATTGGCTCGCCAGCGCCCGAGTCGCGCGGGTTGAAGCCGCTTATTATAGAAGAGGTGGGTGACGTCCGGCCACCACCCTTTCTGGTGGGCGCTATTGATTGCGCATAACGGCTCACATACGTGCCGGCCACGGACGCCCCTGAAGGGAACGCGTTTGCGCCCTCGGCCTGCATGGTGGACAGGTCGTTCTCGAGCTTCTCGTTGAGGTTCTGGGCCTTCTCGAGCTCTGCATTCGTCCTCGACAGGTCTTCCTGTAGATCCTGTAGCTTATTTTGGAGGTCCTGATGTGACACTCGAAGGATGGTCAGCTCGTCACTCAGCTTCTTGTTCCGTGCCAGAAGAAGCTGCTCGAGTGTGTCGCCCTTGCTGCCCTTGGTAGCTGCACCATCCTGCTCTTCGCTGACATCACGAATGTCGTCGTCGTCCCCGGTAGCAAACTCGATGCTTTTCAAGACTTCCAGTTCCTGTTTAATCTCGTCGTAGTCATTCCACTTCTCGACCTTCGATCGGAGGCTATCCCTCTCGTCTTTGAGCAGCCCAACTTCCCGCTCGAGGCCTCGTAATCTAGCGTCCAGGTCCCGCTTGAGCCCTTCCTTTTCGACTCTGTTTGCGTCCAGCTTGCGAATGAGAGATGAGTTCTCGGAGCGCATCCGCAAGAAAGCAGGGTCATCCTCCAGAGACGTCGCATGTGCTGGCACTGCTGACTTTGACTGCGCCAGCTCGAGGCGTAGCTGCTCATTGCGTGCCTCGACCTCCGCGAGCCTCATGCTAGTTCGCTCCAGATCGGAATTGACCATCTCGAGCTCAGCGCTGGTGACATGGCCGCGCTGATTCTCCTCTGCGTCCTCTGAGCGACCGAGCCGCTGGTTGACCTCGTAGCTGGCCTTGATCTCGGTGAGCAGCCGCTCCTGGTTCTCGACCTTGTCTTCGAGAGCCTTCTCCTTGGCTTCCCAATTGTCCTTCTTCTCGTCCAGAACTGCAGACCAAGAAGACTCTACTTCTTTGACTTTGGTCTCCAGAGTCTCCTCTAGATCCTTCTTAGCTGCCATTTCTGTTTGGAGCTTGCTCTCCGTCTCTTCGAGCTGCGATGTGAGCTTCGCCACCGTCCCCTGCAGGTGCTGGTTCTCTTCCGTCAACTTGGGCACCGTATCTTCGGATACGAGCATGGCATCGACGGAGGCCTCGAGAAGAGGATATGGATCCGGCGCCTCGGAAAGGGCATTGTAGGCGTGGATGAATGACGAGTTGATCGACTTTGAGTGGTTGGTCAGAAGGTCAATGAACGTTTGGTAAGCCTTGAGGAGGCCCTTGATCTCGGAAAGCTTCGTTGTATCGTCGAGCTTTCTGAAGTCCTTCGTCTTCTGCGCGAGATCCTTGCGCTGCACTGTCGAGTCTCGCTGGTAGGTGACTATTTCGGAGGCTGTATTGTCGAGCTTGGATACGAGATTGGTAAAATCGAGATCTACAGAGGAGAGGCATTAGTGATACTGAGGCATCCAGGTACGTCTAGGCTGGTGTGGGCATACTCCTCCATGCCCCAATCGCTCCTTGAAACTTGTTCGTGGTCTCTGATCCAATACCACCTGCCCCTGGCCTAGTCGCCGGAGCGTCTGGCTTTGCGTCATCCGCCATCTCGACAAGCTTCCTAGATCTCTGTGGGAATAGGCGTGTTCATCAATAAGCGTAGGGATGAAGTCCGGGTCTGATGGCGGCCGAAAGTGTAGTCGTCGCAAGCACCAGCCTTTGGGGGATGTTGGAAAAGAGGTTGGATTGAGAGCTGTCTACTTACGTACACAGCATTCAACGTGTTCGTTGGCTCGAGCTGACAGACCGAAGCTCCGTCACTAGGTACCAGATGCGCCAAAATTAGCGGCATGCTGCAGGGGTCCATGGCCTTTCTTAGCCTGTAATTGGCGCTGTTCTTCCTGGCGTTTTGGCGGCTGGAAACAGTGGACCTTGGGGAAGCTACAGCCTCATGACGAAGCCCCGCGACCGAATGCACAGCTTCTAGATCTATATTCACTCCCAACTATCCAAACACTACTCACATTGTGGTAATTGTGCCAATTCGAGCAGACCAAGCGAAATAAACACACGAGCTCTCGGACGGCGCCCGATAATGGCACGGAAGATCACCCAGCTGTGAGCCATGGCGTCTGAAGCCCAGAGCGAGGACCCGTCTACCGAGACGAAGTCCCTGACGCGCAATGGACTTGAGTCTGGTCCTTTCGTCCTGCGCACCCTGCTGGCCGATGTGCCACTGTCTGCAGATGGCGACAAGGAGGACATAAAGATCAACTGTGTTGACTATCTAGGTGAGACTCTCTTTGTGCCTTGTCAGCTTGGCTGGCCGGCCTGAGCCCTGACTGATCATGGTCCTTCCTAGACGGCAATCTCTATGTCGGCACTTCAGCCTCCGAGCTCCTTCACTTCTTTCAGATACCACCCGACCCAGCAGACAGAAGCGGCGCGAGCCCACCATTTATACTTGCCTCGCGGCTGAAGCCGGCTTTTGCTGAGCCATCCGGAGGATCGAGGCCTGGCGTTCAGCAGATTCTCCTGCTCCCGCAGGTGGGGAAAGCGTGTATTCTCTGCAACCACACGGTCACCTTCTACTCCCTTCCCGAGCTGAGTCCCGTCCTTACTCAAGTACGGAATTGCAATTGGATCGGAGGCGTGGACCTCAACGAGGTTGGCGACAGCGGCTGGCAAGCATCAAAGGTCACGGTTCTACTCTCCCTCAATCGAAAGATACAGGTTGTGAGGATCGGAGAGGATGCGCGCGGTGTCAAGAACATAGACTTTGCCGGTAGCACGATATCGGTGCGGAGGGACTCGATTGCATGTGTTGCGGATTCACGAACATATGCGCTTCTGGATGTGGACCGTCAGCTCAAGATTCCGCTCATGAGCATCTCCTCCCTGGATGACTCGCAGCCCCCAAACGTTCTCGGACATGTTCAAAACCTTCACACCACCGCCGATGGCGGTCTGTTGCGCAGTGCATCGACAGCACAGGCGCGGTCACACTCGCCTGCCATCGAGGCGAGCGGGCACAGCAGGAGTACTAGCTTGGGAGGCTTCATCGCAAATCGCTTTCAGGACAAGAAGCCAGAAGAAGAGCCTTCACAGGCATCCCAGCATGCGGATAGACCGCCACAGTCGAGAAGTCCAGCCCCAGAGGGTGCATCGGCGTCGAATCAAGGCACATCAGCCGACAAACCACTGCCCGCCGCTCCTGGCATGCCACAGTCTGCGACGGAATCGCAAGTTTCAGCGGAAAGAAAAGCGCAGCCTGTTTTCCTGAAACCACATATTGCCTCGCCTACGCAGGAAGAGTTTCTACTAGTGACGGGAACAGGCCCATTGGAACCGGGTATTGGCATGTTCGTGAACCTGGACGGAGACCCGACCAGGCCAACAATTGAGTTCGACAGATACCCTAAGGAGGTTGTCGTCGATGGAGGCGCATCGGACCTATCCGCATCGAGGACGTCTCTGGCAGAGGAGGAAGAGGGCTACGTGCTAGCATCCATGACCCGGGATTTCGCAGACGGACTTCACCACGGCTTAGAAGTTCAAAGATGGGACATAAGCGATGGGCAGGAGCCGATAAAGTACTGGCTGGAGCCTCGTAGTGATGAGGAAGCCAATGCGCCAAACACATCGCCCATCGGCATTCGACCCTTGATGGGGAAGCAAGAAGTCCAGTTCCGGGAAGTCGTCGCGAGATTAAGTCAGAAACGCTTCTCTCCTTTTTCATCCGGGACGCCAGATGCAGCCGCCACTCTCAAAAGCTCTGATTCTCGAACAGCAATGTCACTGGAGAGGCTGTCAAAGGAGAAGGATCTTTTCGAACGTGATCTTGACTCATCCGACGACGAGCCACTTCCTGAAGGCTGGGAGGCGAGCCGCATCGAGGAAGAGGAGGACTTTGCTGCGCGACTCGCCAAGTCATCGGGCCGCTTGGCTATATGGACTGGTAGTCATATCTGGTGGGGTCTGAGGAACCCCCTAATTCTACGTCTCGAAGCAGGGCTCGATGCCAACTTGATGGACGAAAAGATCTTCCCCGAGACGTCCGACGAGAGGCTCCAGCTCTTCATTGTCCTTAATTCATTCCGTGGCCAAGAGGCCAAGACGGAGCTTGAGTTCCTCACGTTCAGTTTCATTCGACAGAGAGCTGGAGCATTACTTTTCGCAAGCTTCCTGCATGCCACCGACTCATTATTTGCCGAGTCGGAGCAGAAAGCTTTGGAAGAGGTTCTTCTAGACGGTGGTCTCGATCCGAGAGTTGTCCTGGCAATGATACCCGGTCTCCGCAACGAGATCATACAAAGCAGAAAGGGCATATGGATCTACGGCGGCGTCAAAGACACGATTCAGAGATACATTACAAGCGAAAGGTTTACTCGGATTGGCTCAAGCATCAGCGCACTGGGGCCGAGGATATTGCAGTTTTTGAAGAAATTCCTGACGGCGTGGAGACGGAAGAAAGGATTTGGAAGCATTCCCGACGAAAGCGAGGTATTCCGGACAGTCGATGCGGCCCTGCTGTCGGTGCTACTCGAACTGGACCAATCATCGCCCAAAGGGGAGGCACGAAAGGGATCTATACGAGAAGAGCTCAACAAGGTCGTCGACAAGGGCGTAGACTGCTTTGATAGAGCCGTCGATTTGCTCGAGTCCTATCATCGACTCTACGTCCTGAGTCGTCTATATCAGAGTCGAAAATCAGCAGCCGACGTTCTGGCAACATGGCGACGGATTATTGAAGGAGAGCAAGACGACGGAGGCGAGTTTCAAGACGGCGAACAGAAGCTACGCGACTACCTCTCCAAGATCAGCAACCAGGCACTAGTGCAGGAGTACGGCCTCTGGCTCGCCGAACGGAACCCGAGGCTCGGAGTGCAGGTCTTTGCAGACGACAAGGCCCGCGCGCCCAAGTTTGAGCCGACGCAGGTGGTCAGCCTGCTGCGCGAGGAGGCCCCCGACGCGGTCAAGTACTACCTCGAGTACCTCGTCTTCGACAAGGGCCACACAGTCTACGTCGACGAGCTCATCAACTACTACCTCGACATCGTCATCGCGGACCTGCGGTCGTCGGCACAGGCGCGCGACGTCGTCGCCAACACGTACGCGGCCTACCGCGCCCTACGCCCGCCCAAGCCGACTTACCGGCAGTTCCTGGCCGAGAACGCGCCGCCCGACGACGAGGTCTGGCGCAGCCGCCTGCGCCTGCTGCAGCTGCTCGGCGGCGCGCACGACTACGACGCGGCGGCCATCCGCGCGCGCATCGTCGACGGCGGCCTGCCCGGGGCCGAGCAGCTCCTCGTGCCCGAGACCATCATCCTCGACGGCCGGGAGCGGCGCCACGAGGACGCCCTGCGCCTGCTGGTGCACCGCCTCGGCGACCACTCGACGGCCGTGTCGTACTGCCTGCGCGGCGGCTCCGGCGGCGCAGAAGACATCTTCACCGCGTCGGCGGGCACCAGCAGCGGCGGCACGGCCGCTGCTGCTGCTGCTGCTGCGAGGGAGGAGGAGGAGGAGCCGGGCCGCGTCGTCGACCTGCAGAGGCGCCTGTTCGGCGCGCTGCTGCACGAGTTCCTGGCGCTCGACGACGTGAGCGAGCGCATCGAGCAGACGGGCGCGCTGCTGGCGCGCTTCGGCGCCTGGTTCGACGTGCTCGAGGTGCTCGAGCTCGTGCCAGACGGGTGGCCCGTCGAGGTGACGGCGGGGTTCCTCATCAGCGCGCTGCGGGGCCTCGTGCGGGAGCGGCACGAGAGCGGCGTCGCGCGGGCGCTCAGCGGCGCCGAGAACCTCCGTGTCGGGCACGAGCTGCTCGAGAAGGTGGACGGGGCCGGGCCGAGGGTCGAGACGGGCGACCGGGTTGTCGTTTCTGGGCCGGGAGGAGGAGGAGAGTCACTCGAAGGGTGAACCCAGGGGGCAATAGATGCTGTCCCGGATACATACGGAGTTGATGCGAGATGTCGTGGGACCCTTTGAAGGGGAGAGGGATTGTGAACCCTTTGGCTATATTCAAGTTTGTTTTTACTACATCATAGGGAGCTAAGCGAGTTTCCAGTGCCTTTCATTGTGTGCACTTCATGGCCTCATCAGTCTCACAAGGGAGTTGCAAAGGTTTCCGTACTCTTGCCTGGGAACGAGCACTCGAGGGTTCTCACCCAAGATACTCTGCATGAAGTCGAACTGCCGCTCTATCGAGGGTTCTCGCCTTCGGATTAGACGGGAAAACATCTGCCAGAGAGCAACAGTGAGAAGCTTTGCAAAGTTTGCCGGCTCCGTTTCAGATTGCCGAAGCCTCCATGCGCAGCGACGAGGCGAGGGCGCCGGCTTTGGTCACAAGAATCGAAAGAGCTGCTCTGAACGAAACTGTGGACATGTTCCTCCGGTTCTTGCAAATTCTTCTGTAAGCCATCGAGAAAAGCTTACTAGTGTTTCCCTACTGCAGGATCACAGCGTCCGAGTTGCGCCTCTTGCCCTCTTCAGGCATCGATCTGCGCTGTCAGACCTCTCCCCCCTGAACCTAGTCCCGGCATTCATATTCGGAATCAAAAGCATGAAAAGAAAAAGAGTAATTTTGTCCCCCCTCCCCATCTCCGCGAGTACTCCGTAAGACGGAGGCGACGATCTTCTCCCTCAGCGAGCAAGAAGCATTACATCGCCCGCTTATCTTGTTCGCTTAACCCACAAGTACTTGTAGTAGCCCCCTTCTTCCCACTTGGGACATTGGGCGAATGCACGAATTGGGAATACGACGTGAAATTTGCCCGAAATTGGCCATCCTGCCCTGATATTGTCCATGATCGCCATAGAACCAGACTGCAGGATTCGGAAGGCAGAAGTGAACCAGATTTCCGCACTTTGACAGCGTGATAGCCCTACGAGGGAGCGAGCGGTGTGAACCGGGGATCAGACTGCAGGGGCCGTTCCTGTGGACTTTGGTCTTTGCTCGAACAAGGTGTCGGGACACGGTGAGCGGACACACGAACATGGCCTGACGCTTTGACCTTTTCCTGGTCCAGAGGATTACCCCAAATGAGGAGGAGAAGGCCAGTAGGTTGGTACCTACACACGAACTGGCGAGGAGGGAGAGGCCTCAACGACGTCAACGGTGGTGGAGAAGTGCAAGAGAGTTTGGGGGCCCGTAACGCGCTCCGCGTCGAGCAGGACGACGCTTCATGTTCGCGGGGCAAGCTCTCGAGTGTCCCCGTTCAGGACAGGAAACAAGAAAGACTGTTTGGGCACTGGCCCCATGTCGTCTGTGTGTTCCTGTGATGCGTCCTGCAACAGCGGCGCGCGCAGAATGGAGCCTCTTGAGTAGGTACGGAGTACCTACCATGCGAGGCGCGGCACGGTGCGGGATCCACCGGGCAAGTCCCCCGCTCCCCCAAAGACACAGACACGGCCTGTAGCGAGAGAGCCATTTCACAACTCCACGGCCTGGGAGGGTTGCAATTGATGGTGAATTATGCAGGAACGTGGGTACGTTAATAACGAGTCCGAGTGCCGATAATTAAAAAGCACAAGGCGGGAGGGAAATCCTGGTTGGCAGGACGTATTCGAGCCGTCCGTCTCCGGGGTACCGAAGCGTCAGCCACACAGGTGACATTGGACGTCGTCCATTGCAGGTCCGGACGTCAGCCTGGCATGGACCTGTGATGTACGTGATACTGTATGGACTATGCAGTAGTACAGAGTAATAAGTCATACAAGTCGACATAATGTCAAGGTTCTGCTGAACAACTCGCCTGTTGACCAGGCCCCAGTCGAGCGATACTACACTGTTGTTCCATCGACTGTCGATCATCGGCCGCAAATATCCGCACGTCGTGGTCAATAGTAAATGATTTACGAACAATCATAACCCAAGACTTTCGTATGGAGTAGCTCTGAATGCTTGGGTCTCACTCTCAGCCCTGTGAGTGTAACTCTGGTCAGCTCGGTGAGTGCAACCCTCTCCTCTCCTTTGCTAGTAGTGCATTGAGGTCATACAATCAAGACATCATGATGAAGCCGGTGGGTTTCACTTCGTGGGGCATAATGACGCGGTAATTCCATGGGGATGTGCGTCAACTCGTCGCCGCTCCGGCTTAGCCAAAGCGAACAGTGCTCAACAGCGATCCTTCGGTGGGAGCCCGCCTTGACAGGGCGGTCTCGGGCCCAGTGGAGTCATTGCGACACTGGCCTTCTGCCAAGTATTCTCGGGATGGCTTGGGTTGTGCTCAAGAGACTGGGCGATCGTGGGTTCCTCACAGCTGGGAGATTGCCCAGACGCTGAAGCTCTCGGGATACAACGCTGTGTCTATGGCACTCCACCGAGTGGGAGCTGAAAGACTGACATCGGATCGCCTATTGATGTGTATGAAATGAAAACGCGATTTTTGAGGTAGGATTGGCGTGAAGTTCGACGTCGTTTCATGTTTGCTGGATGGCCTATCTTGCTTGGAGCATGATACTGTACTCTGGTCATTCAAGGCCGAGGATCCAATTTGATACTCTTACCGTTGTGAACCAGCACAGTGTGTGAAGTCTTGATTGGCGCGGCAAACTCACTTGTCCTCAACCTTAGGCCTTCGGAAGACGCTAAGGATTGTTATATCTTGCTGTTGTCCATCGGCAAGCGAAACATGACGTTGGATCGTTTGTCGGTGGTATCAAAGTCAATGTCGGACGACTTGGACGGCTTGTCGAAAGATCGGCATTCCGTGCCCCATGAACGACGCTGCATGTGAAGAAGATCTCGAGACTCGACCGGAGTGTGGTCCGGGGGCCACGGGGTAGTGTTTGACCATCGCCATCTAACCAACCAGGAAAGCCGAGCATATTAGGCCTACTGAGCATCGAACTAAACGAGACGATGAATATCGAGGAAGACAGACGCATCCAGATAAACACCTAGTCTAGGGAGTCCCCGTGAATCGTCGTTACGGCCCGTGAAGCGGACGCGAGTATGCGCCTCCCTCTACTGTCGGGGCACCAGACAGTTGAAGAATAGTCGCATATTCATGTGCTGTAGTCTCCAACAGATCCGCCGAGGCTTTGATGCTTGTGAAGTTGGGCAACTCGTGCTAGCACCAAGCCTAAAACTAGCCAGGCTCGGCGACCAGGTCCAAATCAAGCCTTTGCCCCTGGCCGCGAAGCTTTGGGGTTGGTCCCAGGGCGCCGAGACGCCAACCGGGCAAGAAAAATGACCTGACATTCAAGCGCTAGAGATTTGTGGCTGGCTCATGATATTACCTGTTGATGCGGGGTCCGGGGATAAGAGGGAGAGTGCAGAGCATTAGGATGCCGAGATGTTCGTGCGTTCCTTGGCCTAGTCCTCTGGGAATAGTTGCTTCAGCATTCATGGCTATGGCGTAGACAAAGTGGCTTGGCTGTGCGGGCATGGCACTGGCTAGCTAGGCCTCGCAGCACATGTCGCCGCCGCAGATCTGGCGTGTTGGCTGCGAGGATGATTGGTGATCCTTTGCTAATCAGTGAAATGACCTGCAGATGATGCTCGAGGGAAAATTGAGTGCTCAAAGCTCTCTCGAGTCTTGGCGATGGCAGGGGTCTTTGAGGGGGATGAAACAAGATTGACAAAGATAGCTCCAGGCGAGAACCCTTGCAAAAGGCGAAACACACGTGCGGAAGCAGCTTCTAGAGAGAATGAAACAACCAAGTTGAGACACTGTCAAGACAATCTTGGTAGTGTGGCACACTGAACAATCAAAAAAAAAAATTGACGTCGGGAGCCACGAGAGAGTACGGACGGGAATCAGATACCTAAGTCCTTTTGTTTTCTCGTGGAGACAGTTCAATGGCACCAGCGTCAAGTTGGAGAGGTCATGGCGGTGCCCAGACCTACCTAGAGGTACCTAGGTACCAGAATCAGTGCCTGCCAATGAGGAAGTCGGAAACGCCTTCACTTCAAGTAGTTACCTACCAGATTCGCCCTTTCCACCGTGGCAAGCCACTAACCCGCATCGTTCTCGGCAAGCACGAGTTAGACTCTTCCGGGGTAAGTTCAAATCTAAGACATTGGAAGGAAGCAAAATTGCGGCAAGCCTAGAACAATCCCAAACCTTGACACCAACATGACGGCTTCCATTGGCGTCACCAGACCAGATGGTTCGGCCATGCTCGATTCACTCGAGGCTCCGAATGCGCATATGCAAGGCCTCAACACGCTTTTCACACCAGGTTGCGTCCGTGCGCCATGATGTTACACACTGACCGGTCCGGCCTTCCTGTGCCTCGATTTGCACACGCCCCGAGTTTTACCAACTGGTCGGCTTGGCCGTCTGAGCGCTTCCCGTACCTTGCACAGCGGTGTCTGCTTTGGGTTGCCTGTTGAAGGCAGACGGCAGACCGTGTTGTGATTCTGGCGAGGCCGACTGCTTGCATCGCCCATTGGTGACACTGCTGAGCAAACACTCGGCAAGCGGAATATACGATATGGAACTCAGCATATTCTATCTCCATGGGCTTCTGTCAGACTCGCCCCCACTGCAAGCGGCTTCAGCGGAGAGTGACACGAATGTCGATGGCCTGCTTGTCGACACGTCTTTCGGGGAGAAGAAAACCGGCCATCCGCGATCAGCCATCGTATCCTTGCTGGCATCGGTCATGGCGGGATCGCTTGCTGACAAGCCCTGTCGAAATCTCTCGCCTCTGAGACCTCTCCGCGGATCTCTACAGCAAAGGATCTGGTGGCTGGCTAGGAAGGCCAGGGTACTCGAAGATTTGCGCAGCGAATACCTCGAATGGCATACGCAGGGGTTTCACCATTGAATCCTTGTCTACTACACACCTAAAGCAGTGACCCATTTGCACCTTTTGCTGCCTCATTGGCTCTGCTGGTACGGAAGCCATTGCAAGCAGTCGCTGAAGAACCAAAGAAACACAAGCTGCGCCGAGGCCCCCAAATGCGGTGTCCCCGCCCAGCTCTCGACCAGTCTTCGCGGTACTTTGGCGTCATTGCTAAGCTACCCCAAAAGCCACTAACCCCGCGCCAAGTCGGGGCGGTTCGTTAGCACTGACAATGGAGGCCAGTCCTCTCCTGAGAGATCAGGGGGATACGATAGAGAGAAATATCCACTGCCCGCCATATGCCTGATGTAGCATCACTGCTGACGGCGGCGCGCATGCTGCCTTCGTCGCAACCAGGTGGTTCATTTGGCGCAGTGCGGTACTGCCCACCTCTCTCGACAGTGCCAACATGACTGTGCGCAAGATGCAGCCATGAACATGGATAGCCGTCTCCATCAAGGGGCCCACGAGGGCACCCACATCTGCAACACCCCTGTCACCGTTGCATCCTTGAACCTAGCCTCTTTGCTCGCTCCACTGCCTTTCCTGGCCCCCTGTCAGTGCAGAGCCCATAGGCTCCAAGGTCGAACCCTCGGTCGCATTTTACCGTTGGTAGGCATTTTGCGGTTGATGGTCCAACTTGTTTTGTTACGAGTCATTGCCGTTTTCCCTCTGGCGCATCTCCATACCCCCGACTTGGGCCATGTCATAGCAGCAAGCCACTCGAAAAGCATCCTGGCCTCGAGTCAGCGGGGGGTCACCCTGGCCAGAAACAATGGTCCCTGGAGAGTTCATTGTTCGGTGCTGATGGCCCCCATCCCGGTCGCTCAGGAAGATTGATGCATGAGATCTAAGTATCACCGCTGTCAGCAGGCCTGCCAATCCGGCCGGCACTCTCCAGGTGGAAAACGCTCCAACTTGTAGAAGTCTTTCAGAATCCTGGACGCCACGCTATGTACCTTGCCTCCCTCTAAAAGGGTCGTGCAAGCATGGCGCCGCTTGCTCCTCCTCCTTCTCCTCATTCCCACTCACACACATACGTACACACAGGACCCATCTCATCCATGCTCCCCGACCGTGCAAATCTGTTGCGCTTCGTGTTTGCAAGCAACTCATCCGGAAAGGGGAAACAAGTACTTGAGGACTTGATGCCCACACCCTCATCTTGTGCTGAATCACCGCCGTGACTGTTACCGTCATGGCCGTGATCAGCACTGCCAAAATCTGACGAACCCATCTGCACCCAAAATCTGACCACACCACCTTTTCTCCTTGGGGTTGTATTCTCTCCTGAACATCTCTTTCTCTACTGAAGAATCGTCGCCCAATTTTGGAAGGGTTAGTTCACGCCATCGACACATATATCAGAGCTACCACCTCGCCCTGTGGGACGCTCCCACCACTAGGCCGGGCCTATCCTTCAAAGCTTGACTACCCTTGGCTCATACCGTTACCGAGCGAGAGCCTACTTCCCACGACACGCACGGGGAGAGGAGCCGCAAAAGGCCGACCCTCCTACATACATACCCTACTACTTACTACCTACTTGCCAGTCAAATGTGCCTTCCTCTCGCGGGTCCAGCATACTAGTTGCTCTTGATTTTCTCCCAGCACATTTCGTACTTGGAAGAATCAACTCAACATGAACGCCTCGGACCTGACCGAGAGACAGCTCAATGGCTTCAGTGTCATTGAGCGTGTCTGCTCCGTTCTCTCGCTCCTCGGATGTCTCCTCGTCATCATCACGTTCTCCACGTCCAAGTCGTTCCACAAGCCCATCAACCGGCTCGTCTTCTACGCCTCCTTTGGAAACATGATGACCAACGTTGCTACGCTCATGGCGAGGACATATCTTGGAGATACCAACTCGGCCGGATGCCAGTTCCAAGCCTTTCTGATCCAGATGTAGGTCGGCGCTTGCTCGTTATTGGTCGAATATATTGGCAGCTACTGACAGAGAAATCCTAGGTTCATGCCTGCCGATGCCTTCTGGACACTGGCCATGGCTGTCAACGTCTATCTGACATTCTACTACAAGTTCGACTCGCGGAAGCTCCGCCGAATGGAGATTCCCTACCTGCTGTGCTGTTACGGTATTCCCTTCATCGTGGCCATCACCTACATCTTCATCAACGACTCCAGCCCCGGTGGCCGTGGCCGAATGTACGGCAATGCCACTCTCTGGTGCTGGATTAGTCCAGGATGGGACATTTGGCGTATTGCCACCTTTTACGGCCCGGTCTGGTAAGTTTGATGGACGAGGCGCCCGAGCTCGTGATAAGTAGCAGCACTGACTGATATAGGGTTGTGATTCTGATCACCTTCTTCATCTACATCCGTGCTGGCAGTGAAATCTACAAGAAGCACAAGCAACTGCACGACTTTAGCAGCTACAGCCACCACGACCCCGAGCCTATGCCACCCATGGATGACCCCTTCAGCGCCAACAAGACCACCGAGATCTCGGTCACGACCGAGACGGCCAACCAGCAGGGCATCGACCTGGCGCCTCTTGGCCGGCGCGGCCAGGCCCAGGGGGCCACTGACGAGCCGGCTCAGCCCAACCCGGCCTACTCGGTCACGATTTCGTCCGACAAGCGGAACAAGCGCCAGTCGTACAACGACGTGATCCTGCCCATCCAGAGCAACGTGGTCATCGAGGCGCCGCCGGCGCCCAAGAACCCGACGAACCGGCTGCGGCGGCGGGCGGCGTACGAGGCCAACAACGCCACGTGGTCGTACACCAAGTGCGCCATCCTCTTCTTCACGGCGATGCTGGTGACGTGGATCCCGTCGAGCGCCAACCGCGTCTACTCGGTCGTGCACGTCAACGAGATCTCGCTGCCGCTCGAGTACATGTCGGCCTTTGTGCTGCCCCTGCAGGGCTTCTGGAACGCCATCATCTACGTCGTGACGTCGTGGAAGGCGTGCAAGATGTTCTTCACCGACGTCGTCTACGCGAGCCGCCGGCCGCGCATGCAGGACATTGTGGGCTTCAGCCCGTCGGACGAGTTCTCCAAGATGAGCAGCTCGGTGCGCGGCGCTGCCGGTGGCGTGGTCGGCGGCGCTGCGGGCGTGGGCGGCGGCGGCAGGAGCGGCGGGCGGTCCGAGAAGAAGGACTACGAGACGGAGAGCATGACGGAGCTGGCCAACTCGAGCACGAGGCCCAACTCGCACGAGCGTTCATGAAATTGAGACAACGGCCGGGCACCATTTTCCCACTACGATAATCTCTGGGATGTCTTTTTGCTTTCTTCTGACGGATGGGCTGTACTAGTATTCTGCAGCGTGCTCTTGACCCATCCTTAACCCCCAATACCCCCTTTACACCAGTTTCTCAGGCATAAGAGCACGCAAGTGTGTATTTTCTTTTTGGTTTATTACTCTTCATGACAATCTTTCTAATTTACGACTTGGGGCGACGTGGGAACCCCTGACGTCTGGCACAAAAATCATAGCTTTACTCGCCTTTTTTTTTCTTCTCACTTATCTCTATACCCCCTGGAGCGAGTACGTGCGAGCGGCTCTCTACATTGAGCATCTGGTGGTGTGTATGGCGGGACTGGAGGGAACCTTGGTCTGAGAGGGGGTGGAAAGGCTGGCAAAATGGCGTCTGACTGTACGTAGCTGTACCACTACACAAAATGATGACTTTTGGACAACATCTACTGCAGAAGGAGAGGCTCAGCAGCTCTGTGTGACCAGGCGTGGTAGCTAAAAACTGTACTGTAGCTGCACACACACACGCACACACGCACACACGCACATACACGGAGCTAGACCAGACACAGGCTATTGCTACGATGTCGTAGTGGTGTTTGGGAGTTCATCCCAATCTTAGATTCATCACCCCTTTCCCGTTGCGGCTGCTGCAGAAACGCACTGACGAGAGTGGAGAGGGGAGGGTGGGCAGGCAGCGGCACGCATGCCGTGCTTACCGTACCGTGTCTCGAGGGGCAATCATACCCGCCGAAAGGGGAAGAAGGGCGGCCGGCCAGCTCGACGAAACGAGGCAGGAGAGGAGCCGCGACATGCCCAAATCAGGAAAAAAGGGTTGGGAAGTTGTGGTGGGAGGCGGGCCAGGCCAGAGAATGGAAGACCAGACGGCAGACGGACACGGCACGCAGGGCAACCCAAGACAAGGGGAGGGGAGGGGGGGGGGGAAGAACACACAGACGATTTCTTTTCGGGCTTGACACCTAGGTCTGTCATTGGGTACCCTCGATGGTTGCTTACTATATGCTGCATACAGTCTTACACCGTTGTTTGTCTGTATGTAGGTACGCGAGGCGCAGCGGGCATGGCAGATGCATGGTCTGTGAGTTGAGTGTCTGCGTGCTTCCCTGCAGGTCTCCAACAACCTGCTTTGCTTTGGGCTTTTCCCCTCCTCGGTAGCATACTGTGTACCTACATCGGTCGTTAGTCGTTAGGGCAGCAGTAAATTCGTACTATTGATAGTGGACCGGACTGGGCTGATATCGTCAGGGACAATGAAAGACGGGCGGGCTTTGCGTCTGACAGCAGAGTTTATTAGTTAGGTGCCCGGCAGTCGATGGCGGGAATTGGGGGCGGCTGGGTGGGAATTACGGCACCTGCCGTTGCCGCTACATGTACCGTACCTACCGCTACCCATGCGACGCTGCAGGCAGGCAGGTTTGCTTGGCCTGATGCAAAAACCCGATGCTTCTGTCTGATCTCCTCAGCGGCCACGCCGGGAAAAAAAAAACAGGGAAACAGGTGTCGTCGCGGCCTCTTTCAGCAGATATGTTTAGCCGTTCGGAGGCATGGGGGCCGGGCAAGTAGGTGCAGGATAGCACATTGAGGCTGCTGCTGCTGCTGCTGCGAGGCTTGCTTCGCCCTGGCTGAAAAAGCAAAAGAATCAGGTTTGTCGGCAGTCGCACATGGAAATGCGGTGCTTTACTCAGCCCGAGCAGCCTGAGCAGCCTCACCATCAGGACTGAAATTGAGGGTGTGGGAGGGCAGCCACGGCTGGTGGTGGGATGGAACGGATGTAGTGTCGTTGACGGTGGATCCTCTCTGGTGGGCTCGACGAATTTACGGTGGACGTTTTCCGCCGCCCCATTCATTCTTTGATGAACGCTCAGAACGTAACTACGTCTTCAAAGAACCAGCAGTGAGACAATGTGGAGAGCACATGAGGGAAGACTGCGTGGCATCGAATGTCGCTGGCCATTTTCCAACGGCCGGTATGCCGGGACTAGGAACGTAACTGCAATTATCCACATGTTTGCCCACTGCACGTAGGAATTGGTTCCGCATCGAAAAGGAAATCAGAACCCCCGAAGTCGAAGCAGACTTCATTTGCATGCAGAAGTGACGGCGGCTTCTCTGTATTACGGTCGTGCCGGAAATTAGGCCTGTCAGCTTGCTGACGCCGACGTCAAGCCTTTGAAAATTACAGACCCAAAAGCCCAGCATCGCGGAAATGTCCTCGGCCTTTCTTCGCCTCGTCGACGGTGGAGCCTCCGACAAGGCTCTCATTTCCTCAGCTTTTGATGTTGGAGTTCACCGAACAGAGGAATTACCTAGACAAGTAGACGGGACGGGGGACTGTTTGGCCCGCTAGGCTGAAAAGCCTCGACCGACAAAACGAGGCATGGAAAAGCTATTATGTAAACGGGGTAAAAGTACGATCGTCAATCCCAAGACATGCGAGTCTCCAGCTGGCGAGCAACTGAACCGCGGGGAGCCGCGCTCCAAGGTGAAAGAGTTGAAAAGGCACACCGAGGAGCAGCCGTGGGAACGGACTTGAGAAAGGCTTTCGGTGCCTGATCAAACCACCTCCCTCGTTGGGGAAAGTCTGGAGGAAAAAAAAGCTGAGCAGATCCAGCGCCGCCCCCTAGCCGGACTGGCCTACCCCACACCGCAAGGCCTAACTAGCGCCAGGGCCGTCCCTCAGGGGCCTCTTCCCCGATGCGACGGCCTCACTGAAAAGCCTCCAATGACGTCCCGGCGGGTCCGCGCGAGTCTCAGGGGGGCCGCACTTTAGCGTTTCGACTTTGCTTGGACTTTTCTCAATCTCACTCATTCATTCGTCCCTGTGTCTTCTTGTAGGTAGGTACTGTACGCCGTGGCCAACACTCGTGCTGTGCTTCTCTTCCGTGGAAGCCCTGCCCGCTTTGCCGTGCGCCATCACCCCTTTCCAGAAGTTCTACCGAGCAGGGACGAGCTATGCAGGGGCAGCCAGATCTATCTCGAGTCGGACATCTTCGCCGAAATGCTAAGCTACGTACAAGCTTTCCGCTGTGCCCCTTCAGGGTGACATCCTGCTCCACAGCCTCTTACCACTGGGTTGGGAGTCTTTCTGGCACCAAGCCGCCGCCGCCGTCGTCCCCTTCTCAGAGACGAAATCCAGACCCAGAATCCGACCGAGACGGCGCCCCTAGGCGTCCCCGCGTCTCCAGTCGCTCGAATGAAGTTTGTGGACTCCACGCATGAGAGAGGACCCAGCATAATGACCGAGCAAATCTCCAAGAGATGCGGCGGGACAATCTGGGCCTCGAATCGTGGTGTTCGTTAGCCGCAAGACGACTCTCTGCTAACCCCGGGTTCCTTCGATGATGTGGCCAAAATCCACCACTCTTTCTCTCCGGTGTGTTTGGCTCGCTTGGGAAAGAAAAGCCGCAACTATCTATCCACGGCGGCTGCAGAACCACCTCCCTCGGCTTGCACGGATTCTGGCCGGGGGGTTCTCGTGTGTTTCAAAACACACATGAGAAACACATGTTCGGCTCTCGATGGACTGTGGTCCCATGCCTTCACATGATTTTCACAGGGTGCGCACTCGCATTCGAGATCGGCGCAAGTAATCAATCGCGGTTCTCTGCTGATCGGCGTCCCCCTTCGGCAGACATCCATGGTTGGTAGCCTGCGCTCGCCTGCCTCGGGAATTAGACGACGATCGCCTTCTTCTTTGCGGATCTTGAAAGCTTGAAGGAAAAGGGCCCATCTGCACAGTATCGGTCGTTCGTGTCCCTGAACAGAGGATCCTGTCCACCCGGAACGCTGCCATATGCAGACGCACATGGCAAGGGGGAAACAGGAGGCCAGTTTCGTCGTGCGGAGAACGAAATATGGTGACTTTGTAAGTGGAGGTCAAGTTCAGGTACCCGTCTGATCAATGCGTTCCCCAGCTTTGGACTGGATTTCTCTTTCCCCGGAAGGTGGTGTACGGCTACGACGCTGGCTGGGGGAAAAGAGAGAGAATGGGTTCATTGCGCTCCTCTCGCTTGAGCGACCCTGAGGCGCTGTTGGATTTACTGCTGCACAGTTGCTCTGTTGGGTCCCAGCCACAGCTCGCTGCCAGGCCGACTGATCCGTCCACGCCGCCAGCACGTAGCAGATCAGTTCATCTCGTTTCTCCTCGCTCCGGGATAATGAGCCTGGATGCCAGCCCGCAAGGTGCTCTTCCCAAGAGGCTGGATCGGCCGCCTGGCCGAGCCGTATGTGCGTGTGTGTTGTGTGTATGTGTGTAAGTGTATGGAAAAAAGCAATGCGCCAAGGCTAAGACAATGAAAGAGCCTCATGTGCTTGACCACAGGAGGTCCCAAGGTACCTACCTACCGCAATAAGTCTCACTAGGGGCAATGGATACACTAACTAACCTTGCGTACCTCCTCCGCGAAAATAAAGGGGGGGGGGGGAGAAACCGGGGAAATGGCGTACTTATGTGCGGTGTTGGGGAAAGATTGACCCCCCGTCTCGAGGAACACTCCGCGCGCCCGGCACCACTGCCGCCGCATGCCTACTTGCACAAATGGAGTTCGTGAGGTGTCTTCCCTTATGCGAGGCTTTTTCTGGGGGTTAAGTCTCTCCTTCCCCGTGGGCCATCATCGCGAGATGCACAAAGCAGATATGGTGCGGCCAACATCACACCACATAACTCCCCACCGTGACGCGCATGAGCTTCTGGGGCAACCCGTCTCGCCGGCCAAAGAGTCTCAGAGCCTGCATCGCGTACGTATGCAAAAAAGCTAGTCTACCACAAGTATGTTGGTCAACAGTTCCGGGGGAGGAAGGAACCCTTGTTCGCATGTTGGATGCTACACCGTACGAATTAATGAGGAGGCCCGATACTCGATAAGGAGATGGTATCATAGTTATCATAGGGGGAACTTCCAGTCCCTGAAACCCCTCCAGTGCAAATAACCATCCATGGTGATATCTCCATGTCCATTACCAAAGGAATCAGCAGATTTGTTTAATGCATGTCGGAGCTCTGTGTAGCCTTGCAAAAAGAGTAGCACCGGCAGTTTGAAGCTTCTGCGCCGGGATCTCGACCCGGGGGCAGCATGCCATGCCGGGCTTGCCTTTGCATGTCTGGGGGCAAGGGCAGGCCAGCCAGTACGGCAAATGCCATGAGAATCATCCATCTACATGGAACTTGGAATGACTCCAAGGACCTTGGATACGAGACGGCTGCATCAAGGTTGTGCTGTCGTGAGCCCTCGAACCATGCCACGCGGTTCAGAGACAGAAAGGAGAGAGCGTCTTTCAACGGGCAGAGCTCATCAAAATTCCCGGTTTGTTAGGCGAGACGACATGGTTTGGCAGTGAAAAATCATCGATTAATTTCATCAAGTACGGTTATTTTACGTCTAGTTGCGCAAGTCTTGCGCCATTGATCAAGATCAGACCGATAGAAGAGTCCCTTGGCCTGGGCGAGACGAGACGTGCTTGTCCCACATGCCGTCTCTTCGTCCATCTCGACACTCTTCGGATTGAAAGAGTCAAGCGCAACAGAATCTGCGCTCCATATCAACAGTCCTCCGGTTTCCTTTGCGCATAACTCTCTGCATGCTTTTTCAAGTGAAAGTATCTTCACTCAGATGAGAAAGAGGAAGAGACAATGCCAACCAAAGGCTGGTGACCATGTCCGGCATCTCCCCTGGTACAGCCAAGGGCAAACATCACAAACAGACGCAAACATAACGTGCAAAAGACAAAAGGTGTCTGTCGAGTATCGACAGTTCCGACCTGCCACAAAAAGACCACAGCAGCCGGGCCTGCTGCTTGGTCCCTCAAGACTCCCTGCCGGCTTCGAGGATCTTGTACTCCCAGTGGGTGCCGAGCTCGTGGCACTCGGCAACACACTTGGGCTCCTCCCACCACCACCTCTTGGCGGTGACGTACTGGCCCCAGACCTCCTGCCAGAAGAGCCGGCCAACTTCGGTTCGCGCGAGGTTCCTGATACGCTCTTCCGACTTCCGACTCTGGCTACTGCCGACGTCGAATGTCATATCGTCGTCTCTGGCGCCAGGCACGGCCTGGAATGCGATAGTGTGCACATCACTCTGAGGTCCTCTCAACTTGGCCTCGGAGAGCCAAAAGGGAAGCAGCCTTGTCGGACTCATACAACGGAACTGGCGCTCCATGTTGATCAGGAGATGATCCTGCATCCACTTCTGAAGGTGTGGCCCCATCGATGACGCAACGGGCGTCGGGTCGATGAGGACGAGCTGCAGCACCCCAGTCTTCGTCAAAGTCCTGCCAATGTTCCTCAAGAGCTGGGGCAACTCGGACGCTGGCACCAAAGCGGGGAGCCGAAGGCAATGAACAATGTCGAAGAAGTTGGGAGCAACCGACAACGTCGAGTGCGGAATGGTCGGCGATACAATCGGCTTGATGTTGGGAAAAAGGTTGTGCGAAAGAGGTGTCGGCGCCATATGGTAGACCGGTACCTCAGAATGGATGGCAGCAACATAGGATGTGATTGCTGCATTTCAGAGTTAGATCTGGTTCCAGAATCACAATAGAAGGGTAGTCTCACCGGGAGGTTCAAACAGAGCCAGCACTTTTCGAACCAGTCTCTCTTCCTTGGGTGCCTTTGATTTGTGTGGCATGTCTTCAAGGCTTCTGTTCATTAGAGCCGACAGCATCCACCTCTTTCTCTCCATTTCCAATTCCTTGTACAACGAAGCATCCGCAGATACTCCCCATTCTTCGATTAGACGGCTCAGGATCAGTTGAGGTCCAGCTGCCGCCATTCTTCTGATTTCTCTCTGCAGGGAAACCAAGTCCGTTGACATGTCTTGCGTTTTCTGCTCGGTATAAGACACCAAGTCTTCAATCGAGGTTGGGGAGTTGGCACTCGATAATTTCGAGTTCCAAGACTTTGGAGGCTGCCATTTTTCCGAGGTTGCGGCGGGTATGACATCGGTATCGGTCGCCGGCTTCTCAGTTGAGATCGGGGAGTTGGCACTCGACAGTTTCGAGTTCCAAGACTTTGGAGGCTGCCACTTTTCGGAGTCTGCGGGTATGGCATCGGTCTCAGTCGCCGGCTTCTCAATTGGGATCGGAGAGTTAGCCCTTGGCAGTGTCGAATTCCAAGACTTTGGAGGTTGCCATTTTTCTGAGTCTTCAAGTACAGCGTTGGAATCGGCCGCCCGGTCCTTGATTGCGATTGAAGAGTCAGCAATCGGCAATTTCGAGTTCCAAGACTCTGGAGGCTGCCATTTTTTGGATTCTGCAGCGGGTACAACATCGGAGTTGGCCGCCATGTCCTTGATTGCGGTGGGAGAGCTAGCACTTGACAATTTCGATTCCCAAGACTTCGGAGGCTGCCATGGTCCAGAGTCTTCGGGAATAGTGTCGGAATCAGTGGTCGTTATGCGCAAGCTGGGCCGAAACAAAGGATGCAGAGGTGAGCTGAAGCTATCTTGGGCAGACGCAGACGCAACAGGTTGCTGAGGCTCTTGAGGTCCTCGAGGAGTGAAGAAAATGCTAAGAGAGTACTGTTAGAAACCTAATCAAGTGCCATACCATGAGGGTAAACACTCACGGTCGGTTAGCAGTGCTGGGTGTCATGTTTCTCTTGGTATGTTTCGCAGAGATTCTTATGCCTGAAACAGGGCCGTTGATGGGCTGTTCAGGAGTCCGAGGTTCTACCACGACCTTGGTCGTCTGTGTGATAGTTGAATGGGGTCCAAGAGTCTGAGTAACACGAGACTTGGCACCTTGCTTCTTCACCAAGGGACTTGGGGTTGCTTGCGCGGTTGCTTGCGCAGTTTCTTGGGACACGTCTCTGACGTTCTCTTTTCCCTTTGGCAAAGTCGAAACTGACGTGAAGTTAGCAAAGTCTCTCATGTCTAAAACATCTCTTGCGGCCCTTACCTCCTCCTTCAGAGCCGCTGGGTCGCCCGGGGGAAGTAATGTTGATGTCCGGCGAGTTCTCGTGCTTGGCTTTGTTTGACTCCATCGATGCTGCCGATCGATCCTCCTCTCCCGCCAGGGATGGGATGGGCGACAGCACCGAAGACTCACGATTGTCCTTCATACTCTGGTCCTGGCTGGAGGTAGAATCGGCGATGGATCTGGGTTTACCAAGGGTTGACATGGACTTCTTGAACCCGATTCCCTTGAACAGAGAGAAGACGTTCTCGCTGCTATGTGTTGAAATGGAGCTAGTCGTCGACACCGAAGACCGGCCGCTTGGAGCTGCACTTCGCTTGCTGGAGTTCTCTGCCTCGTTTGGGAACTTGCGACGGTCCCTCCTTGCGCCAACTGTTTCCCTACCAGGATCTGTCCACACCACATCAAACATCTCCCCTTGTCGAAGATGTGAGGTTGTCAACTGGTTGCTGACATGCACGCTGTTCTAGTCTCTGCTGGAGAGAGGCTGGAGAAGCATGCCTAGAGCCTGGAAACCATGAATCAAGAGCGCACTGCCATCAAGGGGAACACCGGATCTGGGAAGACGAGGGTCAAAGAAGCAGGCGGTGCTGTCAGAGAGAAAGAGATCTTGTTGGCGATCTCTCGGGCTTAATTCATACCAGAATTATAGGTCCCCTGGGTGAATGATAAAGGAGGACTGGTGAATTGCTGGCCTCTGGGGGGGTGGGGTCAGTGATGGCGAGAGCAGCTGAGGCTTAGATGAAGCTGATATCGATTTTAATGACGTTTTTCTGACTGGTGAAGAAGAGGTGGGTTGGCTTGGAGCCGGTCAAGTGAGGTGAATATGCGGACAATCTGAGGACAACCTGACGGCAATCTGAGGAAGGAGTGACCAATGTCGCGGCCCTAGCCTGCAGCCTTTGACGTTGACGCGATCGAAGGCTAAGAAAGGCGTATTGTCCTGCAGTGCCCACTTCGCACTGCTGAAGTACCTAGGTAGCCGGAGAGGAAAGGCTGGACTGGGCTGCCAGAGAAAGGTAGAGTGTGTATGCTGTGCTGGGTGTGATGCTAAGAAAAGTGTTGTTTTGAGACGCGCTGCCTGTCTCACGATGTGGACTCGCGAAGTCTGCCCACCACTGAGTACTCAGTAGCAATCCGATATAGACTCCAAGCACCACTACAGAAAAGAATCCCATCGCAGCTTTGAGACGGGCCAAGCCGCAATGCCATGATTGCCCGACCAACACATGCAGCATTCAGCGCAGAAATGACAGCAGATGCTGTGCAACCATGACAGGTGCTTCCTCTTCCAAGCTCGACCCCAGACTTCGGCTCCAGTACGTTGGTAGTCCCATATCATTCATATTACCTAGCAAACAATCGCATCGGCTGCGTGCTTGACCTGGTGATAGGCGTGACCAGCCCGGGCGTGGCCTTCTCGAGTGTCCATCCAGTCCTCAGGGACTCGGGTCAGACAAACCATCCATACGATCGATCAAGCAATACATCATCAGTAGACCAGATATAGCCAGTGTCATGTAGAGCCAGTATCAGAGCTGCCCTTGTTCAGAAGCTTGACAATTTTTTGCCATTGCTCACTCTGTCAGAGTCATTTTCTTTTGGTTGGCCAGTTCAGCCCACTCTCGTCAGCAGTAATAGCAGGTTGCATGGCTCTTCGATCTGCCTCGATCAAAGGGAAAAGATCAGGATGCAGGCCGACTCCGCTGCAGGGTTCTCCGCAAGCTTGCGGCTCCAAAAGATGCATGCCTTTATGCAAAAGCAGCGAGGAGCCAATCACGCCCAGTTCTTCCTGTGATGCAGCATGTCTGCAACTCGCCTCCGTCTTGAATTTGAGTCGCTCAGATATCGGAGGATTGCCGGGCATTTAAGATGAAATTCGCTGGAATCTAAGACATGCTGTGATCTGGAGGAACACATGTTCTAGCCGCCACCTAGAGCACAGACAACATTGGATGAGACCTTGGTCGGAGAGGCCATCCTCGCTAGGCTTGGGGCGAGGTCCGGTACAGGAAGGCCTGGAGATCTTCATTCGGCCGCAATGTTCCTGTTTGTACACAGCTGTATTTTCAATCAATGCTTCGCCTATTTGCACCTTGTTTACAGGAGACATCTGTTCTCGACCATCATCATGCCCCCCCCCCCTGATGCTCGACTACGGCTCTGTTCATTTTAGAGATATAGGGGTGCTTCCCCAGTGCCTGTTCCCTGTGCGCCTGGTGTTGGTGTTGGTGTCGATGATTACTCGGAGACTTGGCAAGCAAACGCTCATATGAAGGGGCAGATATGTTTGTCAAGGCCGAGGACCATTGCCAGGGGGGCAATCAAGGCTATGATTGGATTGCTTTTGGTCTGGCCGCACAGGACCCCCCGAGGACTTGCCTTGTTGAGACTGTCGAACATGCTGTATCCTACATTGCAGGCCCTTGGGAGTCAGAGAGGGACGGCAGCTTAGCCACTGCCCACCGGGAACGAGCGACATGCTGTAATCCCTAGTGCCCATTGCCTGATAACAGATCAATCACTGGCCAAACCATGGCGGGTTGTAGGACAAGGAGCTTGATGTAGGAAGCACACAGAGTTGCGAGCTGCAGCCATGCGTGAGCCGCCCGGCTTGTGCTTCCATATGTCACACCTCCTAGTGCACTGGATGAAGTCCGCTTTTCTAGGTACTTGGCAGTGTCATGGCCTTTACCTAGTGATCTAAGCTTCTTCCCACTCAAATATCTACCAAACTGATGTGTTAGCATTCTTGATGTGGAATCCTTAGATTTTCATGAGTCAATACTACTTGCAATAAAGCAAGGAGTTTTGAGGTTAGATAACAGGGACCAATATTCAGTAATGAAAGAATGCTGCTACTGACCTCTGAGCTCTATCAAGTAATTAAGGTGTTGCATAATGAAAGGTAGTCTCGTCGATCGGTATACTAGGTAGATGTTTGTCCTCATGGGCAGGCAAGAAACGCTGGCACTGAGGTATTGCACTGGGAGATTAATAAGTTTGCAGCTCCTCCTTGGACCTTTGGACACCCAAGGTCTTCTGATAAGCCCAGAAGGGATCGAGTGTTGTGTTAATTAAATCAAGGCCTCGAAGCCAATCTCGGAGCCACTGATAAACAAACTACTCACCCTGAGTTCATGGTGCGAATGCCAGACCTCTATCTTAGGCCTGTATCCAACTGGGAGAACGACTTGAATTTCTTCAATACCATTCACGTTCAGAGGAGGGAGGCAGATCGCATTTCAAGCTCACTCTATTCTTGCTTTTGTCATTTGTTGCCTTCTTCCAAGATCCAGCGGCAAAGGCCTTGTTGATGCTCACACCCTCAGGTCTGCCCATGTTTCCTCGCTTTCCACACCCTCCCTCACCCAGATCTCAGATATCCACAGTCACTGTAAGCACAATCTTTTCCTGCTGCACCTGTCTGTGTAAACCGACACCACGATCCCTGACGCTGTCACGCGGTTCATGCCGCTCCCCAGATGAATCTTGTTGAACTTTGTGTCACTTGCCATTCACTATCCCTCTTCCTCCCCTCTTTGTCCACTCTCCCTTCACTCCAGAGTCAGTCACTAATCTGTCATCTGCTGTGTCTCATCCCATTATTGACTGAAGACTGACACTCTCTTTATTCTTCTGCAGTCTGCAAAGGCACCACCGAGTCTGGCCACATCGCTCATTCTCGACTTGTTCATCAACTGCACTATCTCATCTCTTTAATTGATACTTGGCCTGGCCTCTGCCTTTGAGATATCGACCAGCCAGATTGAAAGGCCATGGAGCGCGATTTTGCTGCCGAGGACCAGTCCAATGGTCGAGGCATAATGGGCAAGGTGGCTGTGGCCTTCCACAATGTCAACAAGTGTGTCAACACTACCACTTTTGGCCGGATGTTTCGCCTCAAGGGCTGTGGCCATGTAAGGAATACTCTGGCGATCTTGATCTGACCCCCTCCCCGATGAAGGCGTGTTTGCTAACTCCTCTCCCAACTGCAGCCCGATGAGATCGCAGATGCCAACTTCACGACCGAGATACGTGCCGGACTGACTACTTTTGCGACCATGGCCTACATCATTGCTGTCAATGTGAGTGCTTGTTTCTGGGCCTATATACAACGATCTCCTATCGACATGGCATATCTGACAATCTGTAGGCTTCTATCCTCAGTGATAGCGGCGGTCCCTGCCATTGCGAGAAGCCGGATTTCCCTGACCTCAAGTGTACCAACCTCGACGAGTTTCTCGAATGCAAATGGGGTAAGATCTATTGAACGCCAGTCATGCAATTGAAACGTTTTAACCATCTTCTACAGGGGTTCACCGCGACCTGATCACCGCGACTTCTGCCCTGGCTGGCCTAGCTAGCATTGTCTTTGGTTTCCTCACCAATCTCCCCGTCGCGCTTGGGTAGGTTGCAAAGTCCATTCGCTGCAAGAAGCCAACCACTGATGTCTTGAAACAGACCTGGAATGGGTCTCAACGCCTACTTCACTTATCAAGTCGTTGGTGTCCCAGAGGATAGAAAGATCCCATACGGTCTTGCGCTCACAGCTGTCTTCGTGGAGGGCTTTATCTTCATGTTTCTGGCTCTCACCGGCATGCGCCAATGGCTAGTTCGCATCATTCCCGGAACATTGAAGACTGCTAGTGGCGTCGGCATCGGATTGCTTCTCACTCTGGTCGGCCTCTCGTATTCTACAGGAATCGGACTTGTCGTCGGAGGAACCTCGACCCCTTTGACTCTCGCAGGTTGTGGCGCCGACCAACTGTCCAAGGATACAGGTTTGTGCCAAGGCCATTTGATGAGCAACCCAAAGGTGTGTTTTCTGGATCTTCACGGCTGGCAGTGCAAGAACTCTAACCTTGACTGCAGCTGTGGCTTGGAATTGTCGGCGGCGGTCTTTTCACGGCATGGCTGATGGCATTCCGAGTAAAGGCAGCCATGATCATCGGCATTGGCTTTGTAGCTATTCTTTCTTGGCCGTACGTCATCCATCGCACGGCCTTGTATCGCATGTTGTCGTATGCTAATTGTGCTCTAGTCGCAACACTCCGGTTACTTTCTTCCCGGACACACCGGATGGAAACGAGCGCTTCAGGTTCTTCAAACAAGTTGTCGCGTTCAATCCGATTCAGCACACACTCAACGCTCAGATCTGGGATCTAAGGGGACCCCACGGCTCTCAGTTCGCGCTGGCATTGTTCACCTTCCTCTATGTTGACATCATCGACTGCACCGCAACCCTCTATTCGATGGCGAGATTCTCGGGCAAGACCGACCCGAAGACTGGTAACTTCCCAAGATCTACTATTGCATACTGCACCGATGCTGCTTTCATATCCATCGGCTCGCTCCTTGGGTGCTCTCCGGTCACCGCATTCGTTGAGAGCGGTGCCGGAATTGCCGAGGGTGGCAGGACTGGGCTGACAGCCATCGTCACGGGAGTCTGCTTCCTGATCTCTGTCTTCTTTGCCCCCATTTTGGCCTCGATCCCCCCTTGGGCCACTGGCTGTACTCTTATCCTTGTGAGTTTGCCCGGGTTCTCGGTCTGTAAAATTGCTGACCATCTGTTTAGGTCGGATGCCTCATGATCCGCCAAGTCACTTGCATCAACTGGAGGTATATTGGCGATGCAATCCCGTCGTTTGCGACGATGGCCCTGATCCCCTTCACTTACAGTGTTGCATATGGCCTCATTGGGTGAGTCTTTCCTTGCCCTTGCAACTTCTTGGTAGACTCGCTTGCTGACTATAGCAGTGGTATCTTCATTTACGCAGGTTTGAATTCTCTGATTTGGCTGGTTATGTTCCTCAGCAGGGGTCGTGTTCTGCCATCAGACTACGACGAGAAAGAGTATTGGACCTGCAAGCCTACTGGCGAGAAGCCTTGGTTTATCAGACAGGTCACAAACGGACGGTTCTGGACAGATGACCGTCGCCGCAGCAAGGATGAGATGGAGCTAAACGAGATCACTGATCCGACTCCCGATTCACGCGCCGCATCAGCTTCTTCCCACGAAGAGAAGGGACTCGAGCCGATCGCCACGCCGCGTCGGAGCGTCCTGTCTCGTGATTAAAGAAGACACACAGCTCACACAGCTTTGGTCCAGCGTATCGCCTTGCGTGTCGATACACTGATGAGGTTATTTGGTTGCTTAGTTTGACATCACGGGATTCCTACCACGCATGGTCTGAGTGGCAGATACAGTTTGGGATTTATGGCCGATGGTTCTTTTCATTTCTTTTTTCTCACATGCGAAGTATGGGTTGCGTGGGACGCGATGTGTTTCAAAACACCGGCTCAAGAGAGATTTTGAGGAGGAGACATCAAAACGATAGTGTAGCAACAGTGACTGATCATAATCGAGGAATTTGACCCGAGATATGGGAACAGTCTGTGTTGCCTGAACTTTCCAGATTGCTTGTGATGTTGTGAATGTTCGAAAGCGGCTGAAGTATGCGCCGATGACCGATGGTCGGATTGATGGCCTTATCGATAAAGCTGTATCGAGCTTACCTCACCGTCCAGTCTGGAAGCTTGACGCCACTTCTCAAAGTGGTCACTCTGGGATTTCACAATAGCCTTTTCACCGCCTCCAATATCGACAACAAAATTCTGGGCAGAGAATCTCTTGGTTTCTATACTCTCAAAAAAGACCCTTCCAACCGGTGTTTTTAGCTCTCTCAATTTTGTCACGTTCGGCAGCGGAGGCAGTGACAGACAGGGGTGCAGAGAATGAGTGACCAAGACTACAGCGCCAGCGGTGGCTGGAATACAAGTGAGTACCACACCACTGTGCCACAGGAGCTCTCGGACATGGCATTGACATGGCGTTCGCAGTTGAGTCGGATGCGGTATGTATTCATCTGGAAAGCCTGTGGTTTTTGTGAAGTCGGAATAAACAGCAAAAGGGCTTCCTGGCATTTGACTGACTGGATTTGCCTCTTCAGGGAGTCTTCACCTATCTCCTTGAGAACCTCGGGGTCAAGGATGTCCAGTTCGAGGAGCTCATCTCTCTAGACCCCAGCGCTCTAGCAGAGCTCTACCCCGTCTATGGCGTCATCTTCCTCTTCAAGTACCCCACCGACACGCCGTACACGGCAGAGAAGCCGCTGGACGGCTCGTTCGACCACGTCGCCGCCGAGCGCCTCTGGTTCGCCCGGCAGACCATTCAGAACGCCTGCGGCACCCAGGCCCTGCTGTCGGTCGTCATGAACAAGGACGAGCCCGAGGCCGGCCTGCCGGGCACCATCGACATCGGCCCGCAGCTCGGCGAGTTCAAGGAGTTCACCATGGCGCTGCCGCCCGAGTTCCGCGGCGAGGCCCTCTCCAACTCGGAGCTCATCCGCCAGTCGCACAACTCGTTCGCCCGCAGCGACCCCTTCGCCGACGAGGCGCCCCGGCAGTCGTCCGAGGCCCAGGACGCGTTCCACTTCATCGCCTACACGGCCGCGCGCGGCCGGCTGTACGAGCTCGACGGCCTGCAGCCCGCGCCCATCAGCCACGGCGAGTGCTCGGCCGCGCAGTTCCCCGAGCGGGTTATGGAGGTGCTGCAGCGGCGCATCGCGCGGTACGACGCCGCGGAGATCCGGTTCAACCTGCTGGCCGTGGTGCGGGACCTGCGGGCGCGCGCGCGAGAGTTTGCCGACGCCGAGGCGCTGGCGCGCGAGGAGCGCAAGCGGAAGGAGTGGGAGTTTGAGAACGCGCTGCGGCGGTACAACTTTGTCGGCTTCACGGGCGAGATGCTCAAGGGCGTGGTCAAGGCCAAGCTGGCCGAGGGCGGCGAGGCGGCGTACGACGAGTGGATCAAGGAGGGCGCCGAGAAGATGGGCGCGAGGGCGGCGGAGAGGAGGAGGATGGCTGGCGGCGGCGGCGAGGATGTGCAGATGGGAGGTTGAGGGAGTCGATTCACGTATGGCAGTTGTCCTTTTAAACATCGATATGACGAGCTAGGGACGGTCGTCTAGACGAGGGGACGGAAATACCCATTGCCCTCTGTAGGCTTGATAGAACTTTTGTGATGGACTGGTTGACTGAGCATAGTATCTAACAGGATACGACTCATGAAAGGCCATGGGTCTGTCTGACTGACTTGATTTCCGTCTTCTTTCATTACCGTACCTGCCTTCTTTCATTACCCTACCTGCCCTGTGTTGTGTTGTCTGTTCCTTGAACGAATTTCTGGAAGCCGTCTTTCTGTCCGCGTTCTGTTCTCTTGGCCTTTATGTATCGTCACCCAGTCTCGTGGCTTATTGGCAGGTCTTTTCTTCTGGAAACGTATGTTGCCACTCCTGAATCAGTCTGTCGGCCTTCGGTTCATCGATTGTAGGTCGTCTCGTGTTTTGGAAGGCAGAGCGTGTCGTGGAGAGATGGTGCCCAGTATTTTGAATATTTGGCCACTATGGCCTACACGCGACGATTTGATCTGTCCATGTTCTCTGGAAGTAGTTGGGAGTTCTTCGAGGCTCGGATACTCTTCTCTTCTCGACAACGAGCTCCTGCGTTCCCGAGACTGTCTTTCTCTGACCTGTGCTGGAGAAGCGTTGGGCGATGATGACGAGGTCGCATCGGCGCGACAGCTCGTGAAGGAAGTAAGGGCATCGTTACGGGCATCAAAACAGTACATACAGGTCCCGCGGGGAGCGCGCTTTGTCGTCGTAATGCGGCAAATGTCTTGTTCCTATATTCTTCCTTCTCTCGATTGCGGTGGGCTATGGCATTGGGGTTTGGGAGAGAGCTGGGCAGAGACAAGGTGGCCCAATGGCGTCGAAGTGTTCATCGGATGCTATGCACGGAGAGACGCGCTGTGTAGGAGCACAAACACTATGCAGAAGATAATTATGCACCAAGGCACTACTGGGAACTCGTGTAGACTCGAGTTGTACCTTGTTTTGCTTTAGTGTTGAGCGTGGTGCCACGATAGGAGGAGTTCCCCTTTTCCTGCAGCGAGTCTTTTTGAAAGGGAGCATGCTAGGCTCGAGGGGTTTTGCTGCCTAGTATACGTTGGTAATTGCCATTTCTCTGATCTCAATCCCACGACGCTGGTACTGAGCTGCTGTGGTGTCCTAGGGGGCTTGTGCGGATGTTTCTGACAACAGTAGCAGCGCAGTGTTCGACTTGGGGCTTGGGTCAAAGATTCTGATTTTCAAGTTTCTCCAAACTCTGTTACCATACTCGACCGAATTGCTTTGGATATGCACCATGCTGTCAGGGTTAGAGCGCAAATAGACAAACAGATTGCAGCACGTCAGGGGCGAAACATAGGCATTGGTCGATCTGCAAAGAAAGACCTAGATCTCGAAGGACGGACACTTTCTTCCTGGCCGAATGGCCGCTACCAAAACAGGAGCAAGAGACCAATGCTCATGAATTAGGATTGCACTGATCGCCGATCCGAGAATCCTTGAGATAGAAACGTCAAACTTCGTTTCCTTATAACCTGAAGGGACCAAAACCGTACGATTTGGTCCTTGCTGGCTACTGACTCAGCTACATGCATGACTATTCATCCACGAAACTACCTGAGGATAGAAGAAGCACGCAATACATAGACGGCGACTACCTCTTCGCGGAGCCTGGAGAGAAATTAGGCTCCTGATTCTGTGCGAGAGGCCAACCATGGTTCGACGAGCAACCTCGCCGACCTGCGAGCTCTGTTTTCGGGCACTCGGGCACCAAATACCTTTCCTTCCAGCACCTCATGCATGTCCCAAGGAATCAATTCAAAGAAGCTTGTCCAGAAGGCTTGACCGAGGACATAGAGACTTACACGGTTACCCGAGCAGAGCCGAATGACAGATCCAGAGCTCACCTCCGGCCCCGGCCCATGTCACCGACGCCACTGGCACCTTAATACATTCCACTATAACCCATCGAGACTACTCTCTATTTGCGGTTCTCCTCCGTCGAATAGCAGGTGTCCCTTTGCTATATGACCACGATCGTTGACAGCACCATCCGTCCCGTCCGTCAAGGCAAACTCGCTCAAGACTCCCCCCAAAGCGGGCCAACGTCGCATAACGCCAAGCCAGCACCCTTTCCAGAAGCGTCAGGGAAGCCGAAGGAGGCGTGAGCTCGTGAGACGCATACGAGAGGAAGCAAGCCACTTTGTCTGGGGAATCCATACAATGGTCTTTGTCTGCGGCCCAAGCGAGCGCGCTTACGGCATTGGCGGCCACACCAGCCCGGCTCTAGTGTGCATTGTTGTCAAGTGAATAATCATTACACTTTCTTCCGTCAGTCTGGATCCTTTTCCCTGACTGCAAGTCCAGGGCAGGGGTTGCTCTGTGGTGGACAAAGCTCTCTGGGACCAATCAATGCAACGGGCCAGGTCTGTATTCAGCTTGAAGCTCCACGCACACTCCTCCACTCCCACTCCTGGAAGACCCCCCCCTCTTCTTCAGCCGCACGACCACCCCCAACCACACACACAGGGGGATCAGAGAACACATCAATCTTATATGTGGTTCCCGCCTGTCATATGCAAACGAGGGGCCGGGGACCTGTTGTCCTTCGAGTGATTCCTGCTAGTGCGGCGCCAAAAAGGGCGTGGCACACGGAGCTGTTAACCTGACTGAGCAGTTGCATGACCGTTTGCGGGGATTTGTTCGGCGAGATGGCGCCCGTTAGATTTGCCAGCCTTTGTGCCTAAAGAGTTGCAATAGAAGGGATAGGAAGTGTGATATGATCGTGGTATTTTTGGTCTAAGACATAAACAAGCGGTCCCCGCTGGCATTCTACACCGTCTTCTACCCATTCTTCCCCCTCCCCCCAGGAGTGACATGTATACGTCTACCATCGCCTAAAATGAACAAACCCGTCGCTCCGGCAAGAACAATGCATGGATGGCTATGAGACAAAAACATGAAGCACATATCGCTCAGCTCTGCCGCTTCTACGACATCGTCCTCTTCAGTATAGCAACCACCTGCCACCGCTTCCGGGCCGTGATGTCCTCGCCCGGCCAGTCCCACGCCCACTCCCTCTCGAACCCTTCGCAGTCCCGCTCCCAGATCTTCTCCACGACCAGGCCTACCGCCTCGAGGGCCGGGACCGAGAAAAAGTCCCGCAGCTTGTCCCGGCCCGTGTGAAACCCGGCCACGACCCAGCACCGTGCCGACGGCGTGCGGGCCAGGAACCAGTCGATCGACGCCCGGAGATTCTGGTGCTGCCACGGCATCCACAGACAGTCGCACGCAATGACCCTATCAAAGACGTGCTCGTAGGCGTCACCGGCCAGAGGGTTGCCCTCGGCGGGAGGGACCTCGCCCCAAGCGTGTCCCTCGACCACGAGGTCTGCTCCGGCCAGGGCGGTGCCCAGCGGCGAGAAGGACGCCTGCACGTTCCGCCGGACGTTGGCACGCATGTTCGGAACGACCGAGTCGGCAGGGTAGTCCGTCACGGCGACCCTGCGGGCACCCAGCAGGGCGGCCAGGATCGAGGGCAGCGCCGTGCCGGCCCCGAGCTCTAGCGTCGACAGGCCCGTCACGTCGAAGGCGTGCGCCTCTGCGGGCCCTCCGTTCTCGGGACTGCAGCTGCCCGTGCCCGCCAAGGCAGGAGGGACGGCACCGTCGGCAGGCTGTGCCTGCGCGGCGATGTCGCCCCCACCGGCCGAGGGGCTATTACCTAACAGCAACGAGGACGCCCGGTCGCCGTCGCCAAGCCTCAGGGCGCCGGCCTCGACGAGCTCGGCCATGAGCAGCGAGCTGTTCCACAGGTAGTGGCTGAAGAGGCGGCGGTCCTCGTCCTGGTCCGGGTCGGCGAGGCTCAGGTTCAGCGGCTTGGGCAGGTACGGCGACGTGTAGACGAGGCCGTGCTCGGCGTCGCCGTGCTGGTTCATGACGTCGTCCGGGAACACGACGCCCAAGGTGTCCGAGAGGAAGTCCTCCGGGTCCGTGGCCGGCGGGCCGGACAGGGCGATCCGGGAGACCAGCGCCATGGTGTCCGGACCGGCCGCCGGCTGGCCGGGTGGTTTTCTGTGTCTCGATCGACAGACCGACCAGTCTGGGGAAACCCCGGTTTTCGTGTGTCTCTTGTTTCTTTTTTGTCTTGGCCTTACGAAATCCGCGCTTGGCGGCACGGCACAAAAGACGAATCGAGGACGTAATCAGATCACTTAGGAACGCTGGCAACCCTGGAATCGGCGCAGGTTGAGCTGATTGCCACTCCCAGGGAGCTCTTTACCCTGGAAAAGGACCTCGTCGTCCTGCCATGATTTTTTTTCCCGCCTCTGAATTCGGCACGCACCGAAGGAAAAAAAACACACCACCATAATGATGCCCACTCATCATGGCGGCATTTTTTTTTCTCCTCTCATCTGTGTGTTGCGCATTATCGTCCAAGCCCACACCGCAAAAATTCATTGGACAATGGAGGGGCAGGCGCGACCGTTCTTGCCTGCCGGGCAAAGCAAGGGCGGGGCGGGGCGCCGTTTCCTTTTCCAGAGCTTAAAATGCGGAAGCGACTAACACGAACCGCTCTTTTGCCTGCTCTGGCCGCGTCAAAGTCCAAGTGCATCGCCACACTGCCTTTGCAATCCTGCGAGGCAGTGCTGACAAGGTCAATGGCAATGGGGGAGCACGGATACTCTGGCATCTGGCCTCTTCATTTTCTTCCCATCCCAGACCCCCGACCTTGACACTGCATACAGCGTTTCCCGAACGAGTCGTTGCAGTGTTGGATTGCATCAATACAGTACCGTACCTGTGACGCGAGGATACTCCGATGCGATAAAGACATTCATATGCCGTCTTATTTCGATGACGATTACAACAGACTTCGACTGACCCGCAAAGGCTTGATGGAACGAACACGCAACGAATCAATCGGTTTCTGGACCTCACCACAAGTCACGACGCAAGATGGATGACCGAGGACGAAGCGATTGAAACAAGAATATCTTTATCATTATGCCATGGGCGAGCAGAGACGGCGAGCAATAAACAGGGTATCGTAACTCCTCTCGAGCGGAGTGCGCAAAACGAAACAGAAACCAAGAGGTAAGCAAGACGCGGGAAACCTCTTCTTCCCTTTTGTCCTTTCCCAAACAAAACATGTCGTGGCCCATATCGTATCGTCCAGCCCTGGACCCTTTCCAAGTATCCCGCACGCGCCAGATATGCTTTCCCAGATTCTCTCTTCGCCGTTTGAAAAAAACACACATTAATCCCATATAGTCGTGTAGTATATATTACGTGGCGTCACCCAGAGGTGACTTGGTTGACGGTGGTGGTGGATATTTATTGCTGCATGGCGGCAGCCATCTGGAGCAGCTGCTCCTCGGTCGGGTCATCCGAGATCCAGATGCCCTTCTCCTCCTCGGTAGCACCAAGGAAGCCCTCGGCGCGCTTCATCGTCTGAACGTCCAGGTCGGTGACGTATGCCTTGCCGTCGCTGAGCTTGACACGGACTTCATGGTCGGTCGAGAGCATGAGGTCGTCCTTGGCCAGGCGGCGCTGGCCGTCAAAGACAGCCATGACGCGCTTCTTCATTGTCATCTGGCCCTTGTCAAAGCCCCACGACGACGGGTAGTCGCGCCTGTTCTTGCGGCCACGGGTCTTGCCGACGAGAGGGACGCCGCCGCGCGAGTGCGTCATGCCTCGCGACTTCTGCACTCCGTTGGCCGGGTTGCCCTTGCTCTTCTTGCCGGGCGAGGTGGAGGACTTGACACCGCTCTTGTCATCGTCCTCGTCCTCGTCCATCTCCTCGTCCTCCTCATCCTCAGATGTGGAGGTGACCTGGGTGGTCGTCGGCAGCTGGTTCTTCTCCAGGGTCGCAACAACTTCGCGGTCGTTCTCCACCTCGGCGAGGCGCTTGGCGTTGACCGCCTCAGCCGGGTCTTCTTGCTGGACGATGCGGAGAACACAGTCGTCCAAGTGCTCGTAGAAGTCTTGAGCATTGGAGAAGGTGGCTGAGCAAGTGCTGCACTTTCCAGTGGCATCCGGCGCGTATCCGGTGAGCTTCTTGCCATTGGCGCTGGCGGTCTGTGTCTTCCGCCTGCTGTTGGGCGGGGTCTGCTCGACGCCGTGGACAGCCGTCAGATGGCGCTTGAACACATCTGCGCGGTTGAACGACTTCTCGGCAGCCGAACCAGAACCAGGGCAGAAACCGCACACCATGGTGCCCTTGTAATGGGTCAGAGTGTGACGGTTCTTGTCATACTTGCGCGCGAATCCCTTGGTGTGGTATTCGCAGGTCTGGATAGGGCACTTCTCCGGCCGCTCCGTTTGGTGCGTGAGCATATGCGCCTTCAGATCCTTGAACACCTTACCACACTCGGGATGAGGGCATCGCTGCTTCTCCTTGGACTCGTCGCCTGAGATGTTCTGCTCCATTGAGTAGCTCGAATGGAACGAGCCCATGCTCGGGCGCCGACCTTGATCCATGGGGACAGGAAATGGGCTGTACTGGTGAAAGTTGTTGTGGGAGAAGGGAGGTGAGGAGGATCCATTTCTCAGCTGAGGTGAAGCAGTTCCTGTCATCGCTGGCGACGCAGGATAGCCCGAGTTGGGGGGCTGTGGATATGTGGGCTCGAAGGCGGACATTCCCATTGGCCGCACGTCAGGGTGAAGTATGGAGGGGTCTATCCACCGAGGGAAAAAAAGCAAAGGTCAGCAAATCAGCACTCGTGTGGAGCTCGGGATTGACCGAAAGGAAAACCAACAGGAGGAATCGAGAGGAGCGATGAAATGGCCGCTGCTCTGAGAGAAAAAGGGAGAAACCAAACGGACAGTCTTGTGCCCTCCGGTGGGGCTGACCGCGTCGACCCCACTGGACAAGCTGCTGACTGGAGCGAGTGGAGGAGAAGAAGAAAATGAGGAAGAATAAGAAGTTGGCGGAGAGACAAACAGGCTCGACCTCCGCGAGAAGCTCGGGGACGAGGTAACGGCTGGCGACGCAGTGGTGGGAGTTTGAGTTGACTCACTGATCGACCAGGCCGGCTCGCACACGACAGTAGACGACGAAGAAATGCGCGAAATTGACGGAGATACAGGGCCAAAACTTTGAGATCTAGAGATCTGTGTCGACTCACCAACAAAACCGGCCTTGGCCGTGAAGTCAAAGGCCGTGAAGTCATCCATGCTGGGGCCGGCGAAGGAGTAGTCGGCTCCGGGGAAGTAGTCGCCGTGGCCGACGATGCCAGGGCTGACGACACCGAGACCTTGAGGACCTGGCCACTCAGGCACGCCAGTCGGCTGTCCGTGAATGGATCGGGGAGAGCCGACTGCTGATGATGCTGCCGACGGCAGGGAGGCTGTGGAAAGAGAAGCGGCACCCCTGGGATCGGCTTCCTCTGGTTGCGCGTGCGGCGACATGTGACCGCCGTTGAACATGTATGGGACTTCGGCGTAGAGACCGTTGGGATCGAAGTTCATTGTGGTCGGGAAGCACTCCTGGGTTGTCCTGGGATAGCCGTAGGCTGCATCTGGGGAGAGGCCCATGCTGTCCATGGGGCCGTTGGGGAAGGCGTTGCCGTGCATGGGATCTGGATAGAGGGCGTTGAAGTCTTCGTGGTCGTTTCTCATGGTGGGACGGACAACAGTGGCTTTATTCCTGAAAAGCCACGTACGTGTCTCTACGGGAAGGAAGCGAGTCCTTCTAGGCAACGGATGGGATTCCGAGCCAAGGAGCTTCCAGGAATCCGAGTATCCTCGAGAGCAAGCGCTATGGAAGGAACACTGGAATGTGTCAGGTAGGTGAACTCAAAGAGATTTGCGCTTGGGGGACACGGTTGCTCTACCCACCTGTGGAGGACTATCTCATAACCAAGCAGCAAAGCACGGTAAGAATGCACGATTTAGGTCCAACGGTGGACTGGTGATCGATTCTCCTTTACTCGTTGGTTGTCGACGCGCTGAGGTTGGAAGGATGCTACTAGACTGAGACAAGTGTCGTAGTCCAAGTCGATCGGGGCGCGAACAAACGGTTCTTCCGATGGAGGGAGCGAGAGGGACGTTGTCCTTGGTTTGCCGGGGCTGTCTCCGCTTGTCCTGGAATTCTGTTCTATTTCCTGATATCGAATTGGCGCGAGGGATGGCACGAAGGGGTACGATATTTACTGGGCCTGGGGCACACAAGTGGTGGAAACGAGGGGACGAGGACTGAAGCAGCAGTTCCTGGGTAGGAGGATGGGTGAGGAAGAGGACACAGGGGGCAGAGGACGAAAGAAGGATGAGTCTCTTGTGTGTAAGACGACGGCTGTCTCTGCCAGGTGAGTCTGATGTTGTGTTTGAGGACAGGACCAGAGGGGAGTCTTCATGAGATCGCGGAAAAGTTGGGGGCCTTCGACGATACATATAACAATTTCCTGTATGGGGAGACCCAGGTGGGTGGAGGGGAGGAGTTGTGTCCACACTGGATCTGGTAGGGCGGATGGCGAAGCACAGAGAGGATATGCAGTCAACATACAGGGCCGTCCAGTACCTACGTACCTAGGAAGAGAGACGAGAAAGCAGCCATTTCGTCGGGCTTGTACCCAAAGTACCGTACTTCCTCCACTACTGACTTGACTTTGACTGTCTCTCGAGATGGGGGACAGGGGGGGAGGAGGGAGCAGCAGGGGTGGAGGGTGAGTTGAGGTACATGGGTTCAGGGGGGGTCCCCTGGGAGGTCTGCGTGCAGGGGGGGGGGGCATGGCAGAGTCGTTGCAGGGGGTGCCGTCGTCGCTGACCCACCCTCGAAGGAAAATCGTCGGTAGCAGGTACGTACCGCGACTAGAGGTACATGAGATACAAATTCGGGTACATCTGAGCCACCGCCAAAAAGGCCACTGCCCACACCCACTGTGTAAGAGGTAGAGAGAAAGTGGTGAGCTCCCTCCCAAGGCATCTCCACCCAAAAAAAACGTCACTGACTTACTTTTGACTGACAAGACACTACTGGATCCGACCGGCTGTCCGTCTGTCCGTTCCACCCAGACAGAGCAGCAGCCGAGCAAACGGCATGCTCTTCGCTGAAAAGTGAGACCAGACTAAACCATCTTGCCAACTCTACCGGTCACCGCGCCGTTCCTCACTCGTTGCTCTAGGTATGTCCATGAAAAACGGCTTTTGCCCACCTCCCTGCCCCTTCTCAGTAGGTAGGTAGTGTGTGTGTGTGTGTGTGTGTGTGTGTGTGGGCATCCCGTTGGTACGCTTTCCGCGTCTAACATGGAGCAACAGGCGATGGCGAGAGGAGACCAGGAATGCGAGGATCAAGAGGAGGCTCCTCTGCACCCCGCCGGGTGGAATGAAGCAAGACGAGATCGGGACCGAGGGGGAGATTTCATTGCGCAGGGAATCGACAATACAGACATGGATTAGCTAGTATCATACGGCAGAGCAACGACACGAACAACTTGCAAGGTAAACGATGTGCAGAATCGATGATGGCGCAACTTGCAAGGCCCCTGCCCACCACCACCACCACCACCACCTGGCCTTGAAGGTGCACTCCTCGGGCTCTGTGGGGTTGCCTCTCGCTATGCTCTGCTCTCAAGTGGTCGAGTTGACGATGGAGGACGGGGAACCCCGGCGCTCTCGCTAGACGGTGACATCTTTGGTCAGTGGTCACCATCCATCCGTCCATCCATCCACTACCATCCACTACCCTCCCTCGTCCCCTACTGCTTCGTATACTTAGTTTGTACGGCCACTGGAGCTTACCTACCCGCGCGGAATAAGCTCGCGATCGCTGGATCTGCTCTAAGGAAAATGAAACACATCGCGCCGCGACTTGGGCGTGTGTCTCCCGCAGCCTCGTTCATGGATCCGGCCAGCAAAAGGGGAGTACCTAATCGGCATTTGGGCCTTCCATCCTACCTATCCTTCCCTCTAGTTACAAGTCACCGACAGTCTGGAAGCAAGCCTCCCGTGAGCTGGGTTCTTCCGTCCCATGGAGGAATGCGAGCCGCCGAGAGTGACGACGGGCGGCATACCTGAGGCAATGGAATCCTGCCTGGATTGCCGTTCCCGGGACACCGGTTGGCACAAATCACATCGCCAAACAACTGCGACGGGGGATCTGGCACAGCAAAAGAGATGATTCTCGCCTAACCCTTGTTACCTCGGCCTTGACGCTTGGGACCCCGACCAACTCCAACTCTGCGCGCCAAAATTTAAGGAGGGTACTTTTAGGGCTGGCCGCGGACCCTATCACAGGCCCCATCGCGACCCCACCGCAGACCCCTGCTCGCTCGACCTGTCGTCCACTCCCGTGCCCGCTCCTCCTCTTTTTTTTTTCTCCGACCGGGGAGACTTTAGTGCAAGCACCCAAAAGACACCAGGCACTGTACTGTACTGCACTGCACAAACCAAAGGCCGGACAGCACATACACACACAGAGAGAGACTGCTGCCGTCCACTGAGCCCTCACTGATCAAGTCTGTCTGTCTGTCTGGCGACAGGCCTCCGTCTCGACACCCACACCCCCGTGGTGGCCGCTGTTGGCGATCGGGTCTCACGTCTCTTTGTTACCACTGCCACCCTGGAGCGTAGCCAGGCCAGTAGCATCCCAACCCGCCCCCCCCCCAAGCCGAACTTCTTCTGCTGGGTGTCTCTCCCTGCTGGGCCGAACCAAGAACGAAGATAACTAGGTACGTGCAGGTGCACACGCCGGATCATGGCTCCCTGCTGCATGTCTCTGATCTTTGCTTCTCGACTGGCGCTGTCTTGTCCTTAGGATGTGTCTCTTAATTTTTTCAGGGTCCCCCGCCCTCCGCCCCGTCATTCCAGTGCTAGACGACCCGGCTATGTCAAGACCCGAATACCTGATGACGAAAAGGAAAGAGAGGCGGCAGCGAGACACCCACAAGACAGTTTGTGCCGTCGGCCACATACCACGGCCGCTGTCAAAACGTTTCTCTCAAGGTTTTGCCAATGGCGGGAAAACACACATGGACTACCAGGAAACGCTTGCCCCTCCCTTGGGGGTGCCATGCCGCACGGGATTCGAGACATACTTTTCGGTCCTTCAGTCTACCATTTCGTGAACTCACCATTCTTTCTCGTGGAAGCAAGATGCGATTTGTTGCCGAAACCCGTCCCCAGCAGAGATGATGTCTCTCTCCGTGTCAGAGCAAGTACCTCGCCCCTTCCGAGCGGGTATCACGTAGATACTATCTCGCTCCTTTGCCCTAATGCAGGTTGCTAGACGCTTGCCGCACCTCTCATGTTCGTACAGCCTCCCAGTAGGGAGGGAAGCAGCCTACGCCATACTGCAAAAATGCTAGATTAGGCTTTCTATCGTCTCTAACGGAGGCCGGGACGAGCGGGGGAGGCCTGCCTAGGTATCGGCGTGCGGCGCCACTGGACAATCCATCTCAATGGGGGACCGAGATGGGACGAAAAGAACATACCGACCTAATGTCCTCCTCCGAAGTAGGTATCTGACGGCTTCTCTCCACCCCATTTTCCCCTACCGAGCCACTGCACCGTCGTAGCGTGCTTGGTCTAGTTAGTTTCGTGGCAGTAGAGGCGAGTTTCTCCAGCGAACGACGCCGGCCTTTGCATCGATCGAGGCCAAGAAACGCCATACCCGCGGGGGGAGAGGCTCTGGCGGGCGGCCCTGCACTGCACGCAAGGCACTTACACTGCCAAACGCTAACTAGTACGAGCGCGCTGGAGCGGGCTCAGTGTGACGCTGTGGTGGGATATTTTTGCACACACAGCACACACGAGACTCGCATCTTTGTGGTTGCGTTTTTTGTGCGTGTGCTGTGCAGGCAAAGATCACAGTCCAATCCGGATCGCTGGAGGCCCCCAATGCAACCCGAGGAGAATGAAAGCGCCGTCTTACTTCTTCCGTCAGCGGTTTCGGTTCCCCCCTCCTCTCCTCCATAGGCTACGGGGAACGAACGAAGGACGAAAAAAAAAAAAGGTTATGACATGTGTTGTCGTTGGTGTTCGGATTCCCCATACTTTAAGCTCATCTTTGACTACTTGCACAGCCTCTCCAACTTGGCGACTCGCCTTAGCTGCCGGTATGACATGTGTCTTTTTTGCACTGCCATCCGGTAGTTTAAAAAGAACAAAAATAGTATTTTTGGTTCTTATTCGTTCCACGGATGATGACATAGTTTGCTGCATTGCCCTACGGGGTTTCTTGGCAACTTGGGGAAGTTGGAAGAGAAAAAACCATCAAGCGATGCATCGTCATGTCATCCTGTCAAAAGAGTTCACCGCCCTTGCCAAAGGCCCGATGACTTACATGCATGCGGGCAAAACGGTTCTTTGTGCGCCTGTCGTGTTGTATGGGAGGACAGCTAATTAGTCTATTCTTTCTCTTTTCTTCTTCTTCTTCTTCTCCTCCTACGCCCTGTCTCTCTCTACTTGGTGGTAAGCATCTTATTGTTTCCTGCGCAGGATGACCTAGCACAGCGGCAGGCACTTGTCCCAAAACGGATGGAATCCAGCTGTCTTGTGGCATCGCACAAGTCCGGATTACATTACTTTGGAAAATCATCCCGAACGCGCGACTTGCTTGCTTGTGTTGTCTTTGTGGTGTGTGGTGTTGCGTTGCAGCAGCAGCCGAAGGACACGGCGCAATA